TTAATTTGGCATTGGAATTCATCAAGCTTTGGCGATAAAAGGAATTCATGACATCTAATTGCACTTCCCATACTGTTTAGTATCAACTTTTTGTTTTACGTGTTCGGAATGGTTATTAGTGCGCGCAGACGTGATAAGGCTTAATGTAGTTAGTTGGGCGGTTCAAGAAGAGTTGTTTTAGGGGTAGAACTTTAAAGTATTTGTTGGCTAAAACTTTTTTTTATTTTTGATTTTTTGTGTCATTTTTATGTCATACCGCCCAAAATACCATGCCCATGACAAAATACTTGGAATGTTTGAGCGGACAATTAAATTTGGCTAAAAAATTTTCATTTTGTGAATTCATTTTTAATTTGGCTTTTGTGGCCTGCGGCGCCTTTTGCTGGCCTGACCCCAACAATACTCTTTCCGGTGAGGGCCCGAGGTCTCGAAATTGTCCCAAATTCCTCGCTTTTTAGGCATTTGATTTGGGGGATCGAAAGAAGGCTAAATTAAGTATTTTGGGTTGATATTGTAGTAGATTTGGTTTGGATATTGTCTTTAGTTGGGAATTTTTAAAGTCTAGAGTCTACATTACACATAGGCAACTACGGTACCGGGAGTAGGGCAAAATGGTCAAAACGGTAGAAAGGCACGGCATATGAGAGCAGGGACTAATAGGGCCGAACATATTAGAGCGGGTTAGGTTAGGGCATAGTAGGGTAGGATAAAGTAGGGTAGAGTAGGCAAGGCAAGGCTAAACAAAGCAAGGAAAAGCAAAGCAAGCTTGATGGGATTGATATCTTCTATACTCTCCCCCCTCCCCTCTATAAAAATGACGTTCTTGGCATTTTTACCCTTATTTTGAAATGAATTGTGTATCTTTACCATATTCATTTCCAAAATTTCTCTAACATTGTTTAGAATGTAGAACATTGTTTATGCCACTCCACACCTGACCTCTGGTTTCCCCCACCCATGCCTCTGTTGGGTGGCGCTTCTGGTTGTTAAGTTTTGTTTGAATAAACAAAAACCTCATTTTCACTTGTGCCGGAAACGAAACCTTTTCTTCTCCAGAAGTCTATTAACGGTCCCATCCCAGCTGAGGCTCAATTGTCTCTCCGAGCGAGGGGGGTCTTTTCGGAATCACTCCAAACCTTTTCTGAAACCCGTCTTCTTAAGAATGGCACAGTATTCGTTTAGAGTACTCTGTAAATTCTTAATGAATTGTGTCTTTGAGCGTTGGCATGGGTTTGTTGAAGGATAAGAGGTTTGGGTATGGGTTTCTTATACTGTTAACGGATAAGCAGCTCAGACAAGAGATTTAGGTATGGGTTTCAAGAAGAAAAGTAACGATTTGGAAAGCCAAAAGATAAGGCTTGAGCATGGGTTTTTGTACTATAAAAAATAGAGGGTGGGTATGGGTTTTTTTACTAACAAAGGACAAGGGGCTTCAGTGTGGGCTTTTAGCTATAAATGTCAAAAGATAAGGCTTGGGCGTGGGTTTTCTGTAATAAAAGTAAGAGGTGGGTATGGGTTTCAAAACTGTTAAAAAACAAAAGGCGTGGGTTTTGGCTATAAATGTTGAAAGATGAAGCTTGGGCGTGGGTTTGTTGTATAAGGGGTAAGTATGGGAGTTTGATTTTTTTGATTATTTTGTAAAATCTACCCCGCTCAGTATTTGTTACTTTGTTTCTTTCTTTTTTTTGTCTAAATATACTAGTTTGGGCGGGGTAAATTTTCCAAAAAAAGTTTTTTAAATAAAAAAATGATTTTTCAACTTAAATTTTTCAAAAAAAAATTTAATAAATTTGAAATCCGTGATTAGAATGCAAAACTATTTGAAAACAGGATGCTTATTAGCAAGTGCATACCCAGCTACAGTCGAAAAACGCGGCATAATGGGAGTACGAATAATTGATGTGGTTCGCAGCAAAGTGCACTCCTCTTTGGTTCAGGGCATATTAATGTAGTAGGGTATGTTGGGGTTGACTTTGGCATAACTTTTCAAATTATTCTGTTTTGGGTTTAAAATCTTTAAATTATTAAGTTTTTTTGGCTTTAAAATTGATGCCTAAGGGCTTGAATTTAAAAAATTTTGCCCTGAGGGTCGATCTTCGAAAATTTTGGGACGTTTGTTCAGCTTTATATTGAGTTATGACCTTATTTTCAAGTTTTAAAGCAACAAAAATTAATTTTGGTAAAATACGACCGGGGAAAGTAAGGTTTTAAAATTTTTCAAAATTTTGACATTTGGCCACGGCAATTATTCCATCCTCACCTCGACGATTCAAAACGTTTCCGAAACGGTCGTTAGGCTCGGAATGGGCATTCACTTTTGGTGGTCCTGAAAATGTGGCGTGGGGAGGGGGAAAGCCGGAAAGAAACCTGAAACCGGTGACTTTGGAACGAGATATACAACTGTTTTGCACATCTTCACCATGGGTTTTCTTTTGAGATTTGAGTCTATTTTGGTTTGACATAGTTATGCAGGGCTGGGTGGAATGTAGAGTTATTTACATTATGCTTATTTTAATCTTATTATTAAGTTGTTTAAATAATTCTGTGCCCCTATCCACAAAAACGTGTTTTTAAAGATGGGGGCACAGAATTAGTTGAACGACCTAATATAGGGTAGGGTATTCTAGGGTAGAGCAAGATCGTACTTTCTAAAAACGTGCTCTCCACTGTTATCTTCACAAGTACCTCAACTACAGTGGTATGTTTGACCAGTTTACAGAGTTAACTATGTGTAGTGTTTACCCACCACTACAGGACGACTTTACTGTAATAACGGGAAAATATTTGCAGTTTTTACGTAGTTAACTTGTCGTTGCTTACTAATAGGCTATCATAGGTGTAGTTACTGTAATTGTAAGTTTCAACTCTTACAGTAAGTACGTTATTTTAAGTATACCTACGATACTACTACATTTTTATCACGTATTTTACATTTTACCGTTTATTGATGAAAAATCAATTTTTTTGTAAAAACATTCGTCGCAAGACCCAATCAAAGCTTTAAAATGTAAAAAAGGGTCAGCATAAAATTATATATTGTAGTAGATATCTAAAAACGTCATTCTGCGTCTGTTATAAGTGTCTTACAGACATATGGAGGGTATTACATAGTAAAAAAGAAACCCTTTATTGGCTTCCATTTAGGGCGGGAAAATTTTTTATAAAAAATATGTGTTCTTACAGTTGTGTTGACATGAAGATATTATCCTTCATGGTATTTCTGTATTTAAAGCTTATGTTAAGCGTTAGTTTATATTTAAAAAACCCATAGTCGCCACAGCGTATTCTACTTTTCCTAATTTATATTTTTACCTTTTTAAGAAACATTTTATATTATTTTATTTGTCCGCCACGTATTTTACTTTTTTTAAGATATTTCATTTTATTTTAACTTTGTTCTTTGGCCGCTCTCTTCGTTTCACGCGCTCTCCTTCTTACTTTTGTGGCCATGCTTTTAGCCGTTTGATCAAGTGGCTAAACCGCTTTAATAAAACCTTTATTCACTATATTTCTATGCTCAAAAGACCCCTTTAAACCATCTTTTATCTAAATTATGACCTACATTATCTTTAACCCAATTAAAGTACAGTAGAAGTCTATTCTAAGATCTCTGAATCTGCCATTTCTTAGTTATGGGTCATAATGTGGCCTCCCAGATACACCACAACTTTTACATTTCGAAGGTCCATTAGGAATCGGATCGGACCCTTGCGTTAGGGACAAACAATAAAAGAAGCCAAAAGTTTAACAGACGCCAGACCTAAGCCAGGCCCCCACCGCCCTCTCCGAGATATTCGAGGCCTGATCTCGAGTGTCCTCATCGAGATCTGATTTTTTCCTCTCTTTTAACTTTAAGTCCCCTCTAAGCCCGGGTTTTACTGCGAAACTGGTCTTGTTTTATATAATTTACTGCTTGTTTTTGGCTGATTTTGGGGCTTTTTATTATTTTTTGGGGTGGATTTTGCTGGTTGGATGGCTAACATAATGTTTAAAGCCTTATTCTTTAGGCAATATTTGAGTTTTTGTTGGCTAAAATGTTCAATATGACGATCTTTTTACTCAAAATATCTCTCTTTACAAAATGTAGCTTATTACCTCAGGATTCCTCTCATAACATATTACACTAGACATCAAATGCGCGTTGCCGGCTTCAAATGCCATAACTTTTGAAATTAGCATTGATATTTGTGCTGAATATATGAAAAATGCTTCCCCAATATATAAATCTCTTCTTATTCTGAAACAGCATCATACGAAAGTGTTTTTCGAGCAGGCATAGCTTTAGTGTGTGGGTAACGTGGGTCAGGTGATTGAATGATAAATGATGGCAGTGGAAAGAGATTTTGGTCAAAATCTATTTCATTCAAAGCTTTTTGACTTGAAATTGCAGAAAATGTCAATTTCCAAACATATCTACTTCGTTTAATCACTTAATTTTTAAAAGAATTGAATTTTGACATCTCTTGATCATGCCGTATAGTATAATATCGGATTTTTCTTATCTTCCTTTTGCCAAGTAACGTTGTAGAGCATTAACATTATGATAATACCCTTCTCGACCTCTTCCTTCATTTCTACCCAAATCAACTCTTCAAATCACATAAAATCTTCTGTTTCCTCAAATTCTTCATTTTCTTCTAATTCCAAGTTTTGTCCTTAATATTTGCCGTGTTTTAATCTGAATATGCCCTAATATTACTCACTATCGACTTATCAATCTTTGAAGATGTACTACCAACTTACCGTCCAGTTTTCGACCGGTAGATACCCGATTTACACGATTTTTCTTTGAATTTTCCAATTTTTTGTTGATTTTCGTGTCGAATTTGTTAGTTTTTAACGCTCAACACATTTGCAGTTGTAATTCCACGGTTTAGATGTTATTTTACAGCCATCTAACTTGTATTTCATATGATATTGTTTTAGATTTGGGTAGAGTTTGCAAGAAATTGCTCGACTTTTGGACGAATATTACCTAAAACGCTAAAAAGCGAAAGAAAATGTTACCTGCTGCACTGTATGGCCAATTGGCCCCAACTGCCTTCGCTGATCCATTGATTCAGTCTGCTTTGGCCGCCAATTTGGTCCCACAAACATCGGTTGCTGCTGCGGCTGCCACAGCTAATGTTCAAGTAGGTTAATATTAAAATTATTAAAAGTTAATCGAAATAATGAAAAGCTTCGATTTGAGCTAAAGATTTTTTAAAAAATTATGGGTACAATTTTATTATTTATTTTGTACCTAATTTTACTTTTGATTTTTATGGCCCGCCTAGAAAAAAACTAAAAAGCTGCGAACTGCGCTTTGCGGGCGCAGATCGGGGACGATTTTATACCTGTAAAAGCATTGATTTCGGGATTTTTTTGGAAAATATCGACCTTAAATTAAAATTTTTAGGGTTTTAAGAAATATTTACAATTTAAATATAAATTTTGTATGTTGTAGTAGATATCAGTATTAACAATAAAACTTTCAGGGAGGCGATTCCAGCTCGTCCACAACGCCAACTGGCTCTCGTGACACCACGATGACCAAGATCTTCGTTGGCGGATTACCGTACCACACAACCGATGACACTTTGCACGAGTATTTCAAGCAGTTCGGAGAGATCGAAGAGGCCGTTGTTATCACTGACAGACAAACCCAGAAGTCGCGAGGCTACGGATTCGTGACGATGAAAGAGAAGCCTGATGCCGAGAAGGCTTGTCGCGATCCCAACCCCATCATAGATGGTCGCAAGGCCAATGTGAATTTGGCTGTTCTGGGCGCCAAACCAAGAAATAACGTCAATTTAGCTGGTGAGTACAATATTTTAAGTAATATTGCTGTAGATTGTTGAAAAACGGAGTATAATGTTGCTGTAGATTGTGAATGGTATGCTAATATCAGACAGTACAACGTTTGCGTTTTTTTTCATTTTGGTATTTCATTTTAATCGAAGGTTTTCGTGCCGGGACCCGAATTTGTTTGCAAATGTGTTGCTGTGGATTACTGTAGATTACAGTAGCCAGTTTTTTGGAAGTTTGAAGGAAAATTGTTGCCTTTTTATTTTGTAGCTTAAAATTAAAAAACTTTTTGGAATTTTTTATTTTAAATTATTTAAAAGGTTGAATTAGTATGCACCGTGCAAAAAACAATGCGATTGCACGGTGCAGGCTTTTCCGACAACTTTTGAAACGAAAAATGAAAATTTTATGAAAATAAACAATAAAATTGTGCTATTAGATTGTTCAAATAATTCTGAGCCGCCCGACCCCGAAAATTTGCTTTGAGAGGCGCTCAGAATTTTTTGCACAACCTATTACTATTACCATTAAGAGCCAACGTGTACTAAAGATAGAAAATTTTTACATTTCTTGACGTAGATTGACAGTTTTTTTGGTTGTTCTTACTGTTTTGCTCATGTTACAGCCTTCACCGCACTTGCACCTCAAGTTCAACTCCAGCAACAGCTTCTGCTTCAAGGACGTTTGGGGTGAGTGTGCCATTTTTATTTGACTCTTTAACTCTACCGGCTTTTCTTTGTGGTTCTGAGGTGATTGGAGAGAGAGATACTGTAGTTTGCACTCTTTGGGTTACTGTACTTCTTGATGATTGGGGTTACTGTACTTTAAAGATGCAGTATTAGGTTGTTCAGATAATTCTGCGCTCCTTCACTCAAATTAATTTCAAATTCGCTTTGAAGAGGCACCTAACTATTTGAATAACCTATACTGTATTTTTTATGATGGGTAACGTAATTGGGATTACTGTACTTTAAAGATGAATTACAGTATTTTTTAGGATTTTTGGGTACTGTAATTAGCCCTACTGTATCTTTGAGTTACTATTACGGTATTTTGGCGATATAAAGACTAATTTTGTATGTGTCACAGTAATATCAAAAACAAGTTTACTGTAACATAAAAGTAGCAGTTAAGCCCGATTTTAAATTAAAATCTTTTTAATTTAAATTTTTAAATTTAGGCGTCTTTTTTTGACGTAGACTTGTCAGATATATTATATTTTTGGCTCCAAAACACAAAACATCCGGTAATAAGCAATTCTGGCTTTAACGTCACAAAACGGAAAGCATAATAATATAGACCTTAATATAGTGTTCTTTATCTCTTCGTGTGATTTTATTTGAAATTTTGGGATTCTTGACATGATTTTGTGTTCAATCTTTACATTTTAGTATCGTTAGAGACCTTACTGTAGTTTTAAAGGCCTTACTGTAGTTTAAAGAGCTTTACTGTAGTTTTAAAAGCCTTACTGTAACTTTTTCCAATAACATCATCTTTTATTTTATAAACAATATATTTTCTTTCTCTTTCAGCGTGCAACAACTGTACAACCCCGTGGCAACGACCGCTACAGCCGCAACTAGTCAGATGATGAACCCTCTGGCTCCACAACTGACTCCCCAACTATTGGCAGCTATCTCCCAAATGCAACAACTGAGTGCCCACCAAGCACAGGTAGCGGCTCAACAACCTCAAGTTAACGCACAACTAGCCGCGGCCATGCCCCAGACCAACGCCTACTACGCCGCCTTACAAGCAGCTCTGGCCGGCCAACAAGCTCAAGTTGCTCAACAACAACAACCGACTGCTGCCGAACTGGCTGCCCAGTTCGCGGCCCAATCAGCTGCTGCCGCATCGAACTCATTGACCTACAGAAAGGAACGAGAAAAGCACAGAGTCAGCCCATACTAAACAGTATCGTACTGAGTAGTACAAAGATAACCCATATTACCATTCTATTTCAAATTTTAACATTGTTTTGCAACATGGTACATAAGCATTATCGTCTAAGTTACAGTAACCTTTTCAACCCAAAGCCAGCTTTACACCCTCGGATGTCTCGTTAACTAACTGAAAGCCATTTCAATGTAATGATTACATAGTACCACAATCGATAGCTATTAACTTTTCAAATTGTCCCAAAAGATCTATCTGATAACCCATCTTTTGTCAGTGCCTGTAGATTAAAGTAAGGTCGGCCAAGACTGACCCTAAAGCCATGTTTTTGTTTTCGAAGTGAATAATAAACAAGATTGGACTATCAATGAGACATACTACAACGTATTTTAAAATGACAATTTTTTCAGTGTAAGGCATTAAAAATTTAGCGCCAATTACCAGTTTAACCAATGACAAAACGATAAAATTAGGTGATCGTACCCTAATCCAAAATCCTAATCATTAAAAAATACTATCTTCTCAAAGTAAAACAACATGAAATTGTTGAAGAAAATCCGGTTTGAGTAAACAAATAAAATTTACTGAACAACAAAAACAAATGAACGGAACCGGCTTAACATTGCTTAAGCAGTGGTCTTCTTGGACTTTTTGGTCTTGCGTGGCTTGACCGAGCGGAGAAGTTGAGAAGCTCTCTTCTGGGCTTTGTGGGCCAATTTGCGGTCGTAAGCTCTAACTTGTCCACCAACAGCCTTGATGACGGCCTTTGGACCGCCGGACTTGTGGGTAACCGAGAGGACAGAGCTGGCTGGACGGTGTTGGGCTCCTTGGCTTCTCTTTCTGGTCTCAACAACGACTCCCTTGTTGTCTTCGGTCAATCTGACAGAGACAGCGGCATCAGCTCCAACTCCGGACGAGCGGGTGGTGTACTTGCCAGTCAAGTTGAAGCGGTCCGAGCTGAATGGAGTGCGGATGCTTCTGCGTTTGTGGAGGAAGGCAGAGTGACGGCGAATCACGTTCCATTGGATAGCAGCAGAGGCGTTGTTAACGGCGACCATGTTTAAACCTACAATAAAACATATAATGATTTGGAAAACAGAAGATTGCGAGCAAATCCCGAAAATAAGTAATAAGGTACTACATTGTAGCGGGTTATCAACCCAATGTGAAGCCAATAAATCATCCATAAGAACATAAGTTAAGAGTTTATTCACACTATGTACAAAAGGCATCAGCCTTAAAGTCCTTGAGATCGTTTGGCTAAAGCCTGGAGGTATGCATTTGGAGTCTCATTCTCAGTTCGAGGACGAACAATCCTGAACTTATACTGGGCGTTCGGATCGTGCCTGTAAAACGACAATTGAAAACATAAAATTTTAAAAATGTTTTAAGAAAGTTATTTTAAAATATCCTAATAAATAATATAAAAAAGTTGTACTTACACAGTTTTGTACCGCATTGGCGGCTTTCTTCTGTGAATTCCTCTTGAGACTTCGGTTAGTTCATCATCTTCTTCCACCTTTACAATTGGTGCTGGTTCTTCTTCTCCTGTCTCTGATAACCAGGCTACGTTTCCTGGTGCCTTTTCTCCATCCAATTCACCTTCAACTTGTCGTATAGCATTGAGTTGAGGATTCATTTCGTTACCATTATCAGGGTTACACTTAATCAATCTCAGCGAAAACTGTGAGTGCACTAGAAAAACATTATTATTATTCTCGAACATAGAAAACTACTTTTTAGCAAAGGCTCTTATACAATTTTGAAGCGTGTAGCAAAAAACCAAAAAGAGATAACATACTTTTCTGAGCTTGTGCTTTGAGAATCTCCCATTCTGGAAACCTGCCCGCAGGAGTATCCATTTCTCTATACAAGTTTTCAGCATCAGCCGAAGCAATATCTCTCAAAGTAGTGTAGGCGCTTCGAAGTTCAGCATTCTCATAAGGAGCAACCGTCTTCCAGATCCTGTCCAATTGTTGTACCACAAAAAGAGACTTCGACACTTCTTCGCACATTGGATGATGCATTGGAAATCTGTCCGAAGCAATATCTCCATCCTTGATAGTGATCTTTGGTCGAAATATTCCCAAATCTGGTCGAGACTTGTTGAGGTGATCACACCTTGAACACCTAAAGTAATGTGTATTCTTCTCCATTATTGTCGTAGATAAACGGTATTGTCGCAAGCTTCCGTCGGTTTGTTCAATCGATAAGATACTAGAACTTAGATTCCTGGAGTAGAACAAGAATGGTGCTGACAATTGTCTTCTCTCTTGTTTTACTTGGACTGGATGAAGATTCAGATGAGAAGAATCAGTGAGATCAAGAGGATATTGCTCTGTAAGTTCTCGTTCAGCTGCTTCTTCAAACTGTTCCTCTTCTGGCATCGTTTGAAGCACATCAAGAACAAGTGAAGGATCTCCTTCAATAAGTTGAGCCAAGTTGAAGTAGATATCAAAGATATGTTCATCTTCCAAAGCAATGATAATCTCCTTTATCTAAAAAAGCTATTATAATAATGTTTTAAAATAGGATATTGTGCCTACTATAAAATAAAATAATATCTTACCCTATCAGTATAAACCGAGCTCCTTATCCATTTAGCTATACACAAAAGCAAAATCTCGGCAGCTTGCTCAACTGAAGCTATATTCCAATGACTGAAGACAATTGATTGAGCCGACATTTCCGTAGACAAATCTAATGAATCAGCAATGGCTAAAGCAACTTTCAATCGATCCAAAAACGACAATCCTTCATCAGAGAACATTTCCGGTAAAATGCACAGAGCAAGACCTACAATAATTTATTTTTTTACTAAAGCTTCTATTGGAAAAGTCAGTATAACATAATTTACAAATTATAATTTTTTATATTGATATCTATAAGAATATAAATCAAACAGAAGAACAACTTACGTTTAAACTGCTTTAAATTTCCACTAAAAGTAAGTTTACAACTTCCAGGATCATAAATTGAGAACGGTGCTATCGATTCTTTGATTTCTTCTCCAACATTATCCATTACCTCTTTGTACAACTCTCCACCTAAAACAATAAGCCATATATCCCTAATATCTTAAAAAATAATAGGTAAAGAGCGTAGAGAATCTACTTAGTATAATATTGCCATAAAAGAAAGTTTTGTCCATAATTAAAACTCCAATCAATCTAAAGTTACAAAAAGTAAAAAATCTAACTCACCACTCAAGATATCTGGATAACAAGGCACGACCAGCACGTCCTTCTGTAGCGTGAGACATTTGTCATTCAGAAGTTTCAATCTACCGTCGAAAAACGACGCTTCTAGCGGGTTATCCATCTGATTTTAGCCGAAATCCAAAAGAAAAGCGAAAAACCGAAAAAATCGAGAAAATATTTTCCAAGCGAGGAAACGGTAAATTGATCGTTGCGGGACCCAGATGAACTGCGTATGTAGCGTTTTATTGTAAAAAAGAACAGTATATAAAATTAAAACGAGTAAAATATTTTTACATTGTTGAAGAATATCTTATGTATTTAGTTAATTTTTTACCTTTAATGTTTTTATTTACAAAACTATAACAGCACAAATACGAAGAAAAAAGTCAAGTTAAATATTTATTGTATAATACTGTTAATACATCACCAGGTTATAAATAATAATTGAGATCGTTAAATAAATTATTGCACTAATAATATTAAAGTTAGATTAAATCTGAACTTCGAAGACTTCTTCAGTCTCGTCGACCTTCTGAAGTTTGGAATGGAACTTCTTGTGCTTCTTGTGAGTATAATCGTGCAGTTTTGGGTACTCTTGTTCTAGTTTCTTGATGCTATCTTCTAGACAAGTAATCAGACCCTTCAGGTACATTTAATCATATCAGCTTGAGTTCCAGCTTGAGCGGCGCCATTTTGAGACATCTTTTGGATTACTCGACTAAAATAATATAAATTAACATTTGAAAATGAAAATAAGTTACCATAACAAATCATAATTAGTATGTTTTTTGTAAATTATAAATTAAATTACTTACATTGTGTGTTTGAGTCTGATATACTCATTGTAGGCTTCCACACTCGATTGTACTGAACTTTCGATGGATGTCATTGTAGTACCAAAGAACTGAGAGACAATCTTCTCACTGTCTTGATGTGACATTTCCATTATTTCACTGGGTTCATCCTCACAAAATTCAGAAGGACTGATGGCGTAACTGTGAACAGACTTGGCCACAGACATGTTCTTCTTGTAGTTTGATGGTTCGATTCTTCCAAGAGTAGCTTCAACAAGGTCATCTTCATCATCACTATTAGCAGTGCAGTCAGAACACACTCCAGATGCCATAGAATTCATCACAGATGTCATCATAGAATTGACGTTGGCATTTTCGTAAACAGTGGCATCGATGACCCGGCGAGGGTTGGATTGGCCAAAAACATCGGCCATAAGAGGAACATCAGTTGAGTCTGGACAGTCGACTACTGTAGATTCACAGTCTGGAGCAATTGGTTCAGTTGGACCACGTTTTTTAGCCATCTTTCTTAATACTCGGGCACTTTGGGTATCATTGAGTTCAAGAATGACATTACGACGCTTCTTCATGGAACGGACGAGCTTTCTCAATTCAGCGAACATCTTGAGTTAATGTAAGAGAAATTTTGTTGATCACACACTTGTAGAGGAACCTTGACAGGATCTGATTTTAGCATGAACGGACTCGTCTTTTATAGAGAGTTGAATCTGCACAATTTTTTGATAATTTGTTAAATCACTGGCACTCGCACAAATAAATACTTCCGATATTAAGTTACGCAACAGGAACCACTGAAGAGGTCGAGGTTAATTTCTCTATTATCTACCCTTTAGGAAATGTTTTATATCTCGCGCGTTAGTCTCTACTTGTGGTTTTTATATCAATATCGGAAGTATGTGCGAGTGCCAGTGATTTAACAAATTATCAAAAAATTGTGCAGATTCAACTCTCTATAAAAGACGAGTCCGTTCATGCTAAAATCAGATCCTGTCAAGGTTCCTCTACAAGTGTGTGATCAACAAAATTTCTCTTACATTAACTCAAGATGTTCGCTGAATTGAGAAAGCTCGTCCGTTCCATGAAGAAGCGTCGTAATGTCATTCTTGAACTCAATGATACCCAAAGTGCCCGAGTATTAAGAAAGATGGCTAAAAAACGTGGTCCAACTGAACCAATTGCTCCAGACTGTGAATCTACAGTAGTCGACTGTCCAGACTCAACTGATGTTCCTCTTATGGCCGATGTTTTTGGCCAATCCAACCCTCGCCGGGTCATCGATGCCACTGTTTACGAAAATGCCAACGTCAATTCTATGATGACATCTGTGATGAATTCTATGGCATCTGGAGTGTGTTCTGACTGCACTGCTAATAGTGATGATGAAGATGACCTTGTTGAAGCTACTCTTGGAAGAATCGAACCATCAAACTACAAGAAGAACATGTCTGTGGCCAAGTCTGTTCACAGTTACGCCATCAGTCCTTCTGAATTTTGTGAGGATGAACCCAGTGAAATAATGGAAATGTCACATCAAGACAGTGAGAAGATTGTCTCTCAGTTCTTTGGTACTACAATGACATCCATCGAAAGTTCAGTACAATCGAGTGTGGAAGCCTACAATGAGTATATCAGACTCAAACACACAATGTAAGTAATTTAATTTATAATTTACAAAAAACATACTAATTATGATTTGTTATGGTAACTTATTTTCATTTTCAAATGTTAATTTATATTATTTTAGTCGAGTAATCCAAAAGATGTCTCAAAATGGCGCCGCTCAAGCTGGAACTCAAGCTGATATGATTAAAATGTACCTGAAGGGTCTGATTACTTGTCTAGAAGATAGCATCAAGAAACTAGAACAAGAGTACCCAAAACTGCACGATTATACTCACAAGAAGCACAAGAAGTTCCATTCCAAACTTCAGAAGGTCGACGAGACTGAAGAAGTCTTCGAAGTTCAGATTTGATATCACTACCATCATGCTTTATTTAACCATCTCAATCTGGGACATCGCTACGGTTTTCTCTAGAAAAATCGGCACCTGTGGACCGATTTTTCGAAAAATAACGACGTCCCTGATCTCAATTATTATTTACTAACCCGATAATGTACAATACCACAATGTTTTATTTAACTTTACTTTAGCTTTTGTCAATTATATTATTTAACTCGAGTGATTGCAATAAATAATTATAAAGAAAAATATTGGTATTATAACTTATGACTAGAACATTAATTAACTTGTTAACTAAAAAAATAAAATTTTAAATGTTATAAACAAAATTAAAGATATATAAACAACAGTATAACTTGATTTTACTTTTTTTATTCTTCAAACTTTGTCATATAAGCTTATCACAATATAAATTAGTATTAACATTCGATATACAAATAGATAGATATTAAAATTAGCTGTTAAGCGAATGATTTTTATCGTTTTTAATTTCTGATTGCTTAAAAGTTGTTTTTACACAAGGTATTTAGGGTTTTGAAAGTTGCACCGTGCAATCTTCAAAAATTATGGCAAATTACAGTAAAATAAATGAATATTTGTGCAAATTCCGAGAACTTTCGAAAATTTCATGAAAATACGAAAATATTCAAACAGTCCGAGAACTTTTGCTAGCACCCTGTATAAAAATCACTTTTAAATTGTCAAAAAAGCCAAGATCTTTCCCCAGTTTAGCAATAACACGATCCTTCTTCCGTGACGATCTGACGCGGCTTAATTGGCCCAATATCCACCACTTGGCGAGCATCAGCTTGACGTTCGTTCTCTGTGCCTGGCAGAGCGTTAGCAATGCGACGGAACAGCTAAAACATAAACGATTGTTATGAAAATCTAGAAAAAGCAATTTGTTAAATTTTAAAATTCTTGTTACCTAAAACTATATAAAAGCCCCCAATTTTACCATTAGACCATACCAGAACACACCTAATACTTCTATCTACAATACCATTCGAAACACTAACCTGTTTTACATTATAACCAGCTTTGGATGAAGTTTCGATAAACATGACATTCAGCTCATTTGCTTTTCGTTCTCCTTCTTCTGTTGACACTTGTCTAAAATACAAAATCAGTTGATAAAATGACATAAAGAAAGCGTATTTTAAATATTTATAAGTATAAGGCTCAAAAATAAGTTTCAATTGATAAAAATGTTATTCATGTTACCTTTTATCAGAAAGATCTGTTTTGTTACCAACCAACATGATAATAACATCACTTCCACGTTCTGTCCTCACATCGTCAATCCATTTCGATGTTTGATGGAATGAATTTGCATCTAAAAAACAGTTCGTTAAATGCTATACACAAACAAAAAATCATAATAGTCAAAATGACAAAAAAACCATTCGAAAAAAATATTTGACTAAAAAAGAAAATAAATATTAGTGTTACCTAAAAATAATTAAAAAATTGATAACACTTACTTGTGATGTCATATACAACAACAGCTACAGTAGAATCACGTATATAAGAAGGTATCAACGATCTAAAACGCTCCTGGCCTGCTGTGTCCCATAATTGTAAACGCACCTACAATTAATAACAATAACTTCATAAGCACCCTAATATAAAAGTTGGCCTAACGAATTGTTAACTAGTTTAATTCCTTATCAACTTTATGTACATCAATATCTCAAACAGCCACAAAAGCTCTAAAATTCAATAACAATATTTAATTCTCCTTACTGTTTTGTCTTCCAAATACATTGTTTTGCTAAGAAAATCGATTCCAATCGTAGCCTGGTACGTATTGTCAAAACTGTCATACATAAATCTTGTGATAAGCGAAGTTTTGCCAACTAAAAACGTAAAAAGATTAGTTCAACATAACATTTCTATCTGGAGGTTAAATTAGTCGTTTTATAAATAATGTTAGCCTTTAAATAACTATAATGCCTTTAATTTCTAATGAAAAACATTACAGATACTAGTTAAACACCTAAACTATCCAAAATCTCGTAGAAAGACTAAACATACCACTTTGCTCTCCCAAAAACACCAGTTTAAACTTCTTCATAGGCGATGAAAAGTCGGACGACATCTTGAGAACCTCGACAACGTTCAAATTTTATTATTTAAAACAAATTAAAATGCAATTCTTATGTTGGCTCTTCATTTCCGCAAAACGAATCGCAGAGTTGGAAGACGTCAGAAATAAAATGACATTATGCCAAGCGTTTGGTTTTCGTGTCGAGACTAAATTAATTGTATAAAAATTTATGATATTAATTAAAATTTTAATTACATTAAAAAAATTAAAAAATGTTTTTAAACTGGTTTCAAAATCCTGGATTCACTGTTGTAATTTTTTGCGAATATCCGTATAAACTTACAATGTAGAAAACACGCAGCTTGCACGAGCTGGGGCGCAGCTTATTGTTCATCCTGAATTCCGCTCGTTAAAAGTGGACCGACTGTACGTGGCGTTTACAGACATGAGGACAGCCAATATAAGAATTTTATTGTAATTTATTTTAATAAAAATTCAAATTTGACAAGACTTTCAACATGTCGTCCGATTTTTCCTTGCCTATGAAGAAATTCAAGCTGGTGTTTTTGGGTGAACAAAGTGGTATGTTTGTGTTTAAAAACGGGTTTCTAGTATTTTAGGTATTTGAATAGCATCTTCCAGCGCTTTTATTAAGAAATTTAGGAGTTTATAAGCTTTAAAAGTATAAAATTAACTCTGAAATGGATTTAAGTTACCCGTATATTCAATATTTAAATGTTGAACTAATCTTTTGACGTTTTTAGTTGGCAAAACTTCTCTTATCACAAGATTTATGTATGATAGTTTTGACAATACATACCAGGCCACGATTGGAATCGATTTCCTTAGCAAAACAATGTATTTGGAAGACAAAACAGTAAGGAGAATTAGATATTGTTATTGGGTTTTAGAGGTTTTGTGAATGTTTGAGATCTTGATGTCCATGAAGTTGATAAGGAATTGAACTAGTTACCAGTTCGTTAGACCAACGCGTTGGCCAACATTTATTTTGGGGTCCGATGAAGTTATTGTTGTAAATTTTAGGTGCGTTTACAACTATGGGACACAGCAGGCCAAGAGCGCTTCAGATCGTTGATACCTTCTTATATACGCGATTCTTCTGTAGCAGTTGTTGTTTATGACATTACTAGTAAGTTCTATCAATGCGTATACTTGTGTTCTGTTTTTTTTAAATAGCTTAAGGACGCCGAAAAGCATCAAGTTTACATAATTTTTAGATGCAAATTCATTTCATCAAACATCTAAATGGATTGACGATGTGAGGACGGAACGTGGAAGTGATGTTATTATCATGTTGGTTGGTAACAAAACAGATCTTTCTGATAAAAGGTAACATGAATAACATTTTTATCAATTGAAACTTATTTTTGAGCCCTATACTTATAAATATTTAAAATACGCTTTCTTTATGTCATTTTATCAACTGATTTTGTATTTTAGACAAGTGTCAACAGAAGAAGGAGAACGAAAAGCAAATGAGCTGAATGTCATGTTTATTGAAACTTCATCAAAAGCTGGTTATAATGTAAAACAGGTTAGCCTTTCGAATTTTATCGTGAGAAGTATTAGCTGTGTTCTGGTAATCGAGGATTTTTATATAGTTTTAGGTAACAAACTTTATTTTTAACTTGAAGGGTCTGATTACTTGTCTTACTTGAAGGGTCTGATTACTTGAACTTTATTTTTAACTTCAACAATTTTTCCTCCAAAATTCTTACAATAATCGTTTATGTTTTAGCTGTTCCGTCGCATCGCTAACGCTCTGCCAGGCACGGAGAACGACCGTCAGGCTGATGCTCGCCAAGTGGTCGATATTGGACCAATAAAACCAAGGCAGATCGTCACGGATGAAGGATCGTGCTGGTGCTAATCCGGGGAAGGACCTTTGCTTTTTTTGAAAATTTTTAAAGTTGGTTTTTTATACTAAGGTCCAGGTCTTAGAATTTAAAAAAATTTTCTTTTAACCACCATGAAAATATCACTGATCTTGCGCAAAGTTAATTTATTTTCTTTTATCATGCCATTATTTATTGAAATTGCGCGAGTGCTTTTTTAAAGATGTCTTTAGATTAAAAACAACTTTCTTTTAAATATCAAAAAAAAAATGAAAAAAAAACGGTAAAAATCGTTCGCTTAATCAGCTAATTTATCTATCTATTTGTATATCGAATGTTAATACTAATTTATTCTGTGATAAGCTTATTAAACATAATATATTACTATCTGATAATTTTTCCACTTGGGCATGTCCATCTTTTAGAGTAGATGTTTTGCTTTTAAAGTAAGATAAAAAAGTAAATTTGTAAATATTAGTCCAAAATTCGATTTTTAAAGAATAAAATACAACCGACTTATTAAATATTATGTTTATTGTCATTTGGACGGGAAAGAACCAAATCGCACAGATATAACAACAAATTTACCGGGTTTCCATACATACCCATTGGATAAAAGTATGAGCGAGATACAATCGTCGTTCTGTAAATGGATTCAAGAGAATATTAAAGCTTATTACAACTTCTAACTGGCAGTTAAACCCCTGCCACCACTAAGTAGAACAATATATAATTATGAGACGTTTCAAGGTGAATGATAGAAAATAACAGTGGTACTAAAACAGTATTGATATGTGGTGAACATACTTCTACTTGATAGTGCCGTAACCCTAGATATCGAATTGGATGTAGACGGAACATTTTGTTGTGAAAACACTTACATTATAGTATTATAGGCTATAAACTGTACTCAGTATGGTACTATAGGCTACAAACAGTACTCAGTATGATACTATAAGATAAAAGCGGTACGTATTATAGTACTATAGGCTATAAGAATACTGTGATCACTTTAGAAACAGACTAACAATAGTATCTGGGCTACAGTATGCTATAATATTACTGTAAAAAAACTTGACGTAAATTAATAACAGTACTCCCGTTAGGGCAGCCCACTGAATCACGAAACAATACTGTACATAAGAAGTTAAGTAACTAGTAACAGTACGATACTTAAGCCACCGCTACAGTATTCTCGACCTTTTTAGGTAACATTGGCTCGATTTCTGGCAGTTTTCCGTTTTTCGGTGATTGATATACAGATTGAGCTTCACGTTCGGTAGCATCGGTCTCTTCCTCATCTACAGGTTCATTTATGGCTAGGTTGGGGAGGGGATCGTCTTTGAGGGCGTGGGCAAAGAACATTAGGACACAGATTAGGCATACAATGGCTATCAACTGAAAAGACACATTTTGATACTCAAATTAGTTTATTTCTTGGGTCAAAAAGTTATTTTTTGATTATTTTTTCTAATATGACAATATTATCCATGACCAAAACGCATATTTATATTAATAAGCTTCGAAGAACTCAGCTATTTTATTAAAAACAGCCAATATAAAATCATTTACACTATTTACCTACCTGTCCAGCCACACTAAACGCCAAAAACAAGTCGGCCAGTAGCTTGTTCTGATACAACATACAACTTCCATGTGCTCCAGAGCACGGATCAAAGTGTTGCCTGATACAAGACACATCGAACAACCATCCAAACAACACTGGTGCTGGTATAGTACCAATTACTCGTACCAAAATCCACTGAATTCCCAAAGCAAACGCTCTTTCACCGTAATCTACAGTACGCAACACTACCGTAATCAACGGTACTCCCACGGCGAATGTGAAGAAGCAGAATGGTGCAAAGATGAACAGGAATGCGAACAACCCCTTGCATTTGGATTCACAGTATCCGTTCTTGACTCTTCTTACTCCACCTTTGGTGTTGTGTGGTGCACACGAACAGTTGTTGTAGACCTTGGTCAATGGACTGTAAAGGTCTGGGCAGCCGGCGTAGCATGGTGAATAATATGCGACTTGGGTGCCGTCTGAGAACTCGGCACATACAGGATGATACTCCGTGGATTCGCATTTACAGTGAGAGTTACACTTGGCTTGGAGTTTGAAGACGAAGCTGTCGGTGGAGTTGTCGTAGTGGTTTGATACGTCACTGAAATGAGTATTTTGGTAAGAGGAGTTTGGAAGTGTCAAGAAAGATAAAAAAAAAACAATATAAAAATTTAAAAACCTACTCATCAACTGGGTAATGTCTCTCAATTCCCACGAGATGATCATGATCACAGTAGATGAAGTACATTGGACTCAACAACAAGGCACAGATCAGTAGAGCCACGCAGAACTGAATAGTCCTAACACAACTCATTCTGAACTTGTGAATAACAAAACCAGAGAACATTGTGCCAATACCAGCCATCGGTACCATGATACAGCCGATTAACATGTTGGCCTTAGATGGGGCTACTCCAAACTGACGTTCCAGGTATTTGGACATGAATGTGGACACACCGGTTATGATGAGACCTGGAAAAGTTGGGTTGAATTTGTGAAAAAGTCATGGTCTTCAATTAAATATGGAAAACATTGTTCTTCCGCCCGTATTTTACCATAAAAACGCATCTTGTCATATATGTCTTACCATCAACAGCCATTCCCAACGTGATCAACATATAAGGACCGTTTAGCAAAATTCTATAGATGGCAATAGGAATATGTCGCACATCCAACCACAGTTGGTACCACAAAGGACCAGGACGAGCTGTGAGAGCAGGCATCGACTCAGCTACAGCTTGGCTAGCGGCGGTTTCGTCAACTGTCATCAGATTCTTGCCTGTGATGGCAGAAGTCTTGGAAACTGATGGCATTCCACAACATTCTGGAGTTCGTTTCTTTGATCCACCTAGGGTTTCCTTGCGCAGCCGGTTACGATGCCACTTGAGGGATTCTGGCAGCACTTTTGGCAAACTTAGAATAGGTACAACGGCGATTAAGGCCAACAGGGAGACGATTTGGAAGCCAACCCACCAGGCTCCCACCCACTTTGGGTCGGATTCGTTTAGATTTACTAGTCTGAAAAGATATAAGGTTAAAGATACATTCACAAAAGTAGCAAAAATATTTAAATAAATGAGTGTTTGTTACCTAAATTATTAAAAAAACCCTTTTAAGCCTTATTATCCCCAAAACCTTACTTGTCAAACTTCTTTCCAGTCTGTAAAAAGTCCGTGTGGTACTTTAAGAACTGTGATTGCCCGACAAATCCTAGAGCAGGACCAAACACTCCAAACGCATAAAATACACCCAGGTACAAAGAGCTCAGATTTGGTCCCACATTTTCATCAATGTAAGATACAGCGATGGTGAACAACGGTGTAGCCCCGATTCCGTGCAAAAAGTGTGCCAAACAGAACAAGATCACGTATCTAAAGGTTCCTGGTTGATTTTCTGGCGATGGACATGACTTTAGAGCTTCCGCACCCGATGTGTTTGTTAGAATCGATGTTACACTAGGGTTGGGACATCGACTGAAGCCGGCGTCGTCTTCTGAATACGAATTAGTGTAGGAATCGGCCAGTAAATGTGGTGTGGAGAAGATAAAGGCACCGATGGCCATTAATATTAACCCTACGGCCAGAGCTAGAGGTTTAGAATGTCGTCCACCAAAGTAACTGACTGGGATACAGAATAACACGTAGCCGAAATCGTAGAACTGAAAGGTAATTCATTAACATAATAGTAGATAGTAAATAACAGATTGGCTGTAAATTAAATTTTGACAAAAATCTTTAAAATTCTAAATTTAAAAACCAATTTTCTTAATCAAAATCCTCACCTGTGCTATCCTCCCAACTGTGCTCGAACTCAACTCGAATCTCCTCTCAATGGTAGATATCGTTGATGGTACCAGCCCATTCACAATGATCCCCTGAATCGCGCAGAACCAGCACATCCACAACAACATCCAATTCTTCGTGCCAAACTTCTGAAGCCATTTCGGCCGCCACGATCGGATTCCCATCAGTGACTTCTCGGCCATGACATCAATCTCCTTCTCAATCAACTGAATCTGTTGTTGTTTCTGTCGCTCGTCCATGGTCGACCACGGTGCTTCACGCTTCGGCGGCCGTGCGAACGGAGGCCCGGAGGCGAAGCCATTGGATCGTGTACCTCGAAGATGTCCACGTTGACGTCGCAGACGATCAGTGTCATCTGGAGTTTCGACCGGAGTTTCGGTGATATTGTGAAGAGAATTTATCGATGGAGTCATTGATGACGGTTGCGAGTTCTTCGAGATTAAGGGCTCCAGAGTGTCTGGGCGGGAGAGAGAAGAACTAAAATAATATTTTACAGATATTTTTTAAGTTTTATTTTTACATCAAACTATAAAATTTCAGGGCTTAAAATTTAACCCCAGATCAAGTTTTTCATGTTGAAAGTGATCTTTAAGCCTAATGTTTGTTTTGTTCAAACTTCTCGAGCTTTCGTACTTTTTTCACCTCTGGCTAATTGAGAACAGTCATTTACACTTGAAATTGTTTGTCAATCTTTGCAGGTTTCAAGAAAGTATTAGCTTTTACAAATAGAAACAGTTTAGAATCACATCATTTTTAAAAAATCATAAGATTTAAGTGCTTCTAAGGTTTAATGAGATTCAAAAGCTTAACACTTTTTTAAAAATATTATTTTTTGTACTTTAAAGCTGATTCAAAAAGAATGACGTTTATTAATCAAGTTGTACAGATAACAACGTTTACCCAAAAGATTGTACCTAAACCCAAAATGTTGACAAAACAACTTACTCTCTTTCCAATTGTGGTGTTTGAGCTGAAGTTCCTGGTCGTTGAGCTATGTCAACTTTGTGACACCATGCTGGTGGGAGCTTGGACAGATCTCCAGGTACTGATCTAGTCTCGGCATTTTGGCCACTGGGCGAGTTTGAACGGCGTTTTGCCATTATTATTGAAGACTCTTACTTCCTTGACATCAATAGTTGTTAACAAAGTGAGTACGGTAGAATCACAGTAGAATTAGGGTTACTGTAGAGTTGTGATAGTGTTGTTAGTGCTAGTATTGTGTGTTACAGTAGTCCAATCAGTAAAGTTATCTTCAAATTTCGTAACAAATACTGTACTTCGTCTTTATACAGTAGTATATTGTACTAAAAATCTTCAAGTCCAAGAATACCGTAACATGTAATTCACTGGCAAGTTTCAGGCCTCCACACTCGTATGAAATGTCAATTTATTCTGATATTCTGGTGCTACAGCTGAAAATAAAAAGTTTAGAATCCAAGAGAAACGATTTGAAAATTCACGGAATTTTAAATAAGACTCGAACACAACATTAAACAAACAACAAAAAGTGATAGAATACTGATAACACACTGATAACAAGGTGGCTAATGTTGACGGTTAATCATGAAAGTTATTTCTTTGAAATTGGGTAATAAAATGATGTTTTTGAACTTTTTTTTGTCAGATGTTACTATGAATAAAATACGAAATAGAATATTAGTTCAAATACGCGACATTCTTTTTGCATCAACCATAAAAAACTACCAATTTTACCGGAAAAACTAAGAATCCAAACTTATTATACCAAGTCCTATAACCACAACCTTTTCATGCTTTATAAGTCCAAGTTCTTTACAAAAACCACAATTTTTATGTCTAATTTAATTGATTTATCAATTACAATGACAAATTAGTAACGATTAAACCATCAAGTTACTACCAAGCCTTAGAATGTTGTAGTAGAGTAATATTAAGTTATTCAAATAATTCTGTGCCCTAACTCCAAAAAGTTGTTTTCAGAAAGAGCACAGAATTATTTGAACAACCTAATATTACTCTACTACAACATTCTAAGGCTTGGTACTATGGCATTCTAAAGCTGATTAGTAACAAATGAACTTTATATGTTCAATAATACCAAAATATATAGTTTTCCTTTTTTTCGATAATATAAACTCTATTTTTTGAAAAAAATAAAACTAAATATAGCACTTTTTCAACAAATAAAAACAAAAAGTAACACTGTAACTCTATTAAACTTAAATTCGAAAGTTTTGAACGTCAACAACTTTGTGATTCAAGTCAATTATGACGCCGAATATTTCAGAGATCAGTAGACTAACATAACGTTTTGCTTTTTGTTATTATAATGTACAATAACAAACAGACAAAAAAGCTGTAAAATTAGGAAAATCAAGACATAAAAGTTAAATTTAAATTCAAAAATTCTTGACAATTTTCTATTAGGTTGTTCATATAAAACTGTGCCCCCTCTCAAAGCAAATTTTCGGATTCAGGAGCACATAATTATTTGAAAAACCTAATATAACAAATTTACAAAACATGTCTTCATAGCATCAAAAAAGTACACGTATTTTACCTCTAACAAATTGTAAAACACTTAAAACCCTTGATATCAATTACATTATCGTCCCATGTCATAAAGACTGACCTCGAACTTGAGAAGCCAGTCACTCTTCTTTATTATGTTATTCTTGTGAAAGGTGAAAAAAGTGAAATAGAAACAAAACCGAGAGAACAATGTCAATCACGTCTCTATTGACATCAGCTCTCGAAAAAAGTCAAAAATCGTAAAAAAAGTTATGGAAAACATAGTAATTCCAGAGATTATAACATACAAAATAGTAATATGCACTTTTAATAATGTAATTCATCGTATGTTAGACTACTTTTCGTATAACAAATTCATTTTATAACTATATGTATTAGTTTGTCCAAATAATTATGTGCCCCTTCTCAAAGAACGTTATCGAATTTAAGAGCACAGAGTTATTTTAACAACCTAATATTACAATCATCATGACCCACCTCCTTCCTACCTAATAATTGACAATTATTTACAAAAAAAGCCATTCTTTTTGCATCACTTTCAAAATGCGCCATTCTTTCTGCATCAGTTTCAAAATCCGCCATGCTCGTGCATCAAAATTAAAAAACGATGTTTATTTTTGGTCCAAATATTACTTCTCCATAAAAAACAACGCCATTTCCTAACCCTAATATCAATATAGTAAACAAGACTTTATGCATTGTAACTTCCTTTATCGTAAACAGTTTTATGGCCGCTTAATCAAAAGTCCAATCTAGTCTTCGTATGGGCAGTAAGAGAGAACAAGAATGATTCACTTTTCCCCGTTTTTTATTCGATTAGATACAAAAGAATTACAAAAAACAACATAACATTGTCAGCAGGTTGAAAACAAGGTTATCTATCGGCTTATGTTGCTGTTTATAGATAATAGGAAACGTGGTTTGACTTTTGAAGCTTATTACTAGAATGTTCAGATAATTCTGTGCCTCTTAAACTTACAAATTTTTTTAGAAAAAGCACAAAATTATGTGAACAACCCAATAATAAGCTTCAAAAAAACCTAGTATAATATATAGTAGTCTTTGCCGATAACCAACTCGGCCAGAAAAAGAATACCGTAACAAATAACGTCAGTCCCATCTCTTATTGTGCAAATTATCTATATTTACCATACGAAAAAGGCCTTAAGCCTGCCATTTCTATTCTTATACCTTTGATAATAACTATATACAGCTGTTTATCATTACAATTGGGAATTCCCCGAGTTCCCATATGCATCAATAACCAGAAAAACAAGCCTCGAAAGATCGTGCCAAAACGAAAGAAGGCATATCATAATGAATATTTGACAGAATGCCACGTTATCGTATTTTACAATTAAAAGTCATTTTTAAAATCTTAACGGCTAATAGATGTCTTACTGCCTTCTTACTGGTCGGAAAGTCCTCTTACTGGCCTAAAAATCAACCGAAAAGTCTATAGAAAATCCGTTTTTTTCAACTTTTTGGCATTAATTATAAAAACGCGCCATTCTTTATGCACCAACAATATTCTTTTCGCATTATCCTAAAAAACCATACCATTCCAAAAACCAGCAGTCCCAAAACGTTTAAAGTAAAAAAAGAAAGTTAAACTGTCACGAGCCATGTAAAGTGCTTAATGTGTGTTTTAATTTCCTATTTTATCACATTTGACAACCTCGAAATGTTTCCCTTTTTTATAATTAAAAAACACTTCCTTTTATCGAATTCAGCTAGATGTTTGACATGTTTCAACGAAAGTATAAGTTACTTTACTATAGCGTATCTTTTAAAAACTATAATATATTTGAAGGCTAGCTACTGAGATCATGATCTCTTAAAAAAGACGGTACGCTACTAGTAGTAGATCATTGTGCAATGAGAAATACCGAAACCTTCTTAGAACAAAACTGCACATAGAAACGGAAAGCCAAGTTAACAAACTAATGTTAGATTAGAGCTACAAAACTTTAATGTTGTCTATAGTAAGCAAAAATTAAAGTTCATTAAACTAATTTAAGGCTCAATAAACCCTAACCTCAAAAAGCCCTGACCTTCATTTTGCAACAAGTTAGCAACACTTTTCGGATTTAATTTGGAAAAACAACTCGTGCACTTCCCTTAAGCAGTACTAGTGTTTATTCGAGTAAACAGCAAATTTCGAAACAGCGCATCAAAGTACTGCAAAGAATGGCAATTGAATTACCAGACAATGGCTTAAAAGCATTTATATCACTGTGGCCTCGACCTAATCGGTTTAAAACATTTAGCCAAATGTTTTTGGCCTTTAAGTGTATCGTTCTAGTTTTCGGTTTATTTTGATTATCGTGACACTTTAGAATGAGTATAGTTTTCTTTTTCTTTTTCGAACAGTTAAAGATGAAAAAATTTCTCAATTTATCCTCGTCTCCTGCCTAAAAACACCAGTTACGCACAATGATTAAATTTTTCTTGTTTAACGCTTTACAGAAGCCCTTAACAATAACAAATGTTTATACTTTATATTATGATTTATCCTTTACATCCACTATTATTAGAAATATGGCAACACCCATAACTTACAATAAGATATTACGCAGATAAAGCCATTTCTCTAATAAAGTAATTTGTCAAAGATGATCAAATAACAGATTGCCTCCCACCCTCACAATTAGCAACCCAAAACAGCCTCGTTTCGAGGCGAATTGTTAAAACCGCCTCCGCTTTCGTTCAAAAACTTTGAACTCGGCTTCGAAATTCACAAATTCCACTTCCCTCTAAGGGGATTGTGAAAAAAGTTTGGCAAAATAAATAAACCAGGTTTTTGTGGCCGTTTAAACAGCTCTCCATGACAAGCCAATTCCCGGGCATTCCACGGAAAAAGCAGGACAAGGACTGCAAAAAACGAGTGAAAAGCGAAAAGTGGAGAAACTTTCGCAAAAAAAGAGTTTACGGATATTTTTGGGAGGATGAGAAAAGAACGGAACTAGTCCAACGTACATAATGAAAAAATGAGGGACGGCTAATACGTTACATATGCCATTTCGACATTACGGGATGTTCTGGCGGTAAAAAGCCAAACTTTATCGAGTAGTAAATGGAAGAAAAGACCATGAACATCATATTGTATTTAGAATAGATCATGAATACAATATCCAAACACCTTTTTCACAAAACAACCCATTCTTCAAACTTTTCAACCGTAAATTTTCCTATACAACAATGAAAAACAGCTTACATACCGAAAAGAATGAACAACAGCTTACATACCCAAAACCATTCCTAGCCAAAACAGCCTATCTTTATACCATAAACATCATGTCTTGCATAGTATATCCACATAACTCAAGATAGCTATTTACAGTTGTTTGAAGGAATAATCGCTTTCTTTGAATACGTAAAAGCAACCCAAAATAGACGTCGTTCGTAAAGTAATTAAATGCAAAATTGACAAAAACTTCGTAAAATTTTTTAATTCGAGAACGCCGTGTCCAAGGTAACTAATTAACCTACATTTTACAAATACCAAATTGTACTTTGACAGATGGCACTAGTTGTTAGTTAAAAGATTGTAACATACATTTTAAATTAAATTTTAAATTTTGTAGTTTTAAATTGAAATTTCAAAATTTAAAATATACAAAAAACTTTGTTAAAGTTCAACTAATATTTAAAATGTCCTCCTCATATAAATAAAAGTAAAATTTACTTCAAAAGCCCCCAAAATCGACATTTTTCTGCTTGACAAACTTAATTTCGGCTTAGCGTCAAGCTTCCCTTTAAATTAATAGTACAATTAGTGTAAGACGCCAAAAATGATAAAATGGTTTTTTGATTAATCGTAAAACATCCGACGTTTTAAATGGATTTAGAATAAGATTAGTGGTATTTCATGTTTTAAACAAAAACACTACCCACTGCATACATAATATATTATATAAAAGGCAACAGTTGAAGACAACTGGCAAAGAGTACTTGTTTCGTTAAGAAATGGGTAGAATAGCCCAACATATAGCTATTCTACACATTCTTCTATCAAAACTATTATAGTACAATTTTACTTTTTTACAACTGTAACCCCTAATATAATATATATTATATATGCAGTAGTAAGAATTTTTGTTAAAACATACCATAACACTAATCTTACTCTGAATCCATTTACAACGCCGGATTGTTAGCCTAATAAGGCTACATGCTCAACATCTTCAATCGAAACACTATAGCCTACTCAATAGTATCCAGTCCGAGCTAGTTTCATAAAGTGACAGCGATGGGGTACAACAGTATCATTTTACAGAACTTCACGATAACATCCCCTTCACACCCACCTATTGTGACCCAACACTACTTCCTACGTAGAATGACAACTTACTCAACAGTACCTCTTGACAACTAGTACGACACACCACTCAATAATACCTCCAATACACAAATTTTTGTACCCAAATACAAAAACTTCGTACCCACCAGTACTACGTAACAATTAAAAATAGAATGACAGAGCTCAGATTGTATTTACATTACTAAATCGTCATAAAAACAGATTACTTGTCCTCAGATTTGTGATAAATAAACAAGATTTTGAGCACAAGTACACGAATTAATAGTACTTGTTTTTGAAAAACAGTGTTTTAAAACAATAAACACGTGGGTGATGATAAACACGTTTAACACACCACGACTTATGTTTTGTCATTTTTTGAAAAATTATGGCATTTTCTATAATATTTTAAACTACAATATACTATTATACACTATAACATATACTTCTAAGCTTCTTATAGTACCATACCTATAGAATAATAACTAGTACCAAATTATAACCTCCAAACATTGCTGCAAAACTCAAAAAGCAACAAAACCTCCCCAAAAACCCTAAGAAACCCAGTCATTTTTTGCTTCTACCAGCTAGAAGAACTTATTGTTGATTACACTTTTCTCTCCGGCCGAACAGTCTCCCCAGAGCCATAAAAGCGAATGCTCATTGCTCGTTTCATTCCCCATGCATTCGGATTAGAAAATCCCTCGAAAAAGAAAAAAAAAACCATCTCTTTCCGACCATTTATCCTTTACGAGGAAATCACAATAAAAGCGACTTATGAAGAGTAGCACAACCTTGAGGTCGGGGGAGGAAACGTAAAAAATGACCTCAACATGTGTCCTACTCCGTGTTTGATATATTTATTTGATTGAATGCGTAGAAACCATGAGGTTTCCTATTACTATTGAAAAACACTTGAAATTTAGAGGAAAAGTTGTAGAAAACCGATACAAATTGACTTTACTCGTTAAAAGTTCACATGTAGCTTCTAAAATATTATACGTTTTAAGAATCAAAAAAAACATGCCAAATAAGTCTGTAAAAAAAGGCTTTAAAATGGCCGTCAAGATAGTAAAGTAAGTTGACAAGTTAAAAAACTTAATTTAAAAAGCAAGACAGGTCCATGTTTGTATCGAGTTACTCTATCGTTATATTTACCTAACCTTAACAATACGTTTGGTTTTTGATCCCTTAATTATGTCTCAAGAAATATCAGCTGATAAAAACTAAAAACTTGTAAAACACACAAAGTAATTTCGTCCGGATGGCTGGTTTCTCCGTTCTAAAGCCAATGTTCTAAGGCCAAATGGTTAAAATCTATAACATACAATTATCGTACATAAAGCGCAGATAAAGTAATTGTTTTTCTACATTATTTTATATTATACCATTAGCCCTTCAGCTCAACTTTTCAACAACGAACCCTGAAAGTAAGGTCCCTTTTACAAAATTCTATTTATATTCCTAAACACCCTTATCAAATATTAAACCCCAAAATAAACCCTCGAAACGACCACTTCGAGCACGGCCAATCTCATCAATTCGAGCACTTCCAAGTCAAAATTATAAAAGTTTGGAAGTGGGTGGCGAAAAGTGTATTCGGCACGTGCTCAACTCGATCTCCATCCGTTAAAACAAAATTTATTTACTTTTGTTTTTCGATTGTTAGAAGAGCCAGCCATTAATTAGAATCAGCTAGACGCTGACTGACCTTTGGCCATGGAAATCGAACAGCCAGCTGACCGGAAAGTTAAGAAATTACAATAATTCACAGTTTATAATAGCATAACATATACTGCTTCTAGAACGATAAACTATAGATTACCACAAGTAAAGGATTTGAATCAGAATGAACGAAGCAAGATATCTAAGGCGCACCTAGCTGCCAAAAGATAATGTTAAAAACTATAAAGAGCAAAAAATAACGACCAATAATGTTGCAAATAAGAGTATAATTCAAGATACTCCGAACTAAGATGCACTCAAACTGCTTTTTAGTGTTTCAACCCTACAACTTAAAATAGACCTTAATGTACACCTTCATATGTCCACAAATGTAGATTTAGCCGTAACACATAAACTGCGCCCAAATTGGTGGTCCCAAAAGACCAGAATCAACCAAAGTTTCCATTGTTTCCTTTGACTAATCGCCAAACACCAGAAGAAGGCAAAAAACGTTTGAAAAGGTTTCCTCGGCACAAAGATTGATAGACAAACAAATGGTTTTAGAATATAAAAAGTGTAAAGTTTGCAAAAGAAATAGCATTATGATGCCAACTTGGCCTCTATATTACATTCTACATATAAATTGTACTTTAAAAAACAATATTTTTCCAATTCAGCTTAAGACTATAAGCTAATATTATAGTAGACAGCTCGAACAAACTTGTGGTAAAAAACGTCGTAAAACTTATTAAAACAAAATCTACAAACAGAAGACTTCGAAATACTCACGTTACTAACATTCATTCCTTAAAAATCTACCATAACATCCAAAAGTCAAAAACATCCGCCTAAACCAATATCATTCATAGTTTTTCAATAGAAAATCCAGCTTTCAAGAACAATATCTCACTAGGAAACACACTGAATACAAAACGCGTTATAAGCTTTCGATAGCAAACCAAATACAGATACAAAAACGCCTGATTCATCCGGGTGAGTAAGGTTTTTAATTTGAAATAATAATTAGTCATTTAAATTCCTCGAAATTATCTTTTAAAACACCCAAAAGCATCCCTTAAAGCTTTCCCAAACTTAACTACATATATACAAGCGTTAAATCTAGAAAACACGTTTAAAAAGCCTCGTTTCATGTTTATAAAGACCTTTCAAGACCTCATTTTGGCCAAAAAATAACAAAAGCTTTGACACTTCGCAAAAAGCCGATAATTCTGTGACACTCCGTTTTTATTATAAAACAAAATTTTGTCAAATAAATTTGGAAAGATATTTTTACAGAATTGTAAAATAATGAAGGAACGAGTATTATAATGTAAAATGGCATCTGGCGATAAACATGACACAGAAATGCAGATTTTGGATATATTGTCCAAGGTGTTCAATATTAGTGATGAAAGAATAACTTTGAACACGGATACGCAAAGACAGCTTTCTGGACTATTTGGTGAGCAACGGTTTTGGATGTTCGAGAGCTTGTTAAAGTGCTTGAATGGTTTTTTCTTTAACGACGATGGTAAGTGTTGACTTCTGGCGACTAAAATTATTATCTATTATAATATCACAGTCATTTTTTACAATTGCTTTGGCATCTCTATCATTTATGTCCAGCTTTTCAGCTATATCTTTTACCTTTTAGAGTACAAACAGCATCTGGATCATCTTTACAAGCTTTTGAATACTTGTTTGAACACAGGACACTTCTCTGAAGTCCCTGAACTCTACAGATTAATGTTTTCAGTTTGTTGTTTGATCCAGAGTTATATATTGTTCAAAACTTCTACTCCAGAAGTAAGTTTTTTAATTTTAATTTTTATTTTAAGTTTAGGAAGCTCTTGCGAAGTGTGATGAAGGTCTACTGAAAGGATATGAACTAGACGGAGACGTCTTGGGATCTATGGGTGAAGCTTTGAGTGAAATTGCAGCGCCTTTGGAGAAGTTACACGTAGGTTTGAGATACGTACAAGTAGAGAATTTTAAAGGTGATTTGTATTTTTAAAAGTAAAGGTAAAGGTTTTTTATCTACAAGTTTTTTTTTCAGTTTACATTTAAGCCTTCTACATCAATACCTCCGTCGTTGCAAACGACTAGGAAGATACAAGTTTTGGATAGGCCATCATTGGAAACGTTTTACGAGGAGTGTTTACTACCTGAGAGACCAATTATTATCAAAAATTTGCTGAAAAATATGCCTTGCTATGAAAAATGGAGGTAAACTCTTGAAAAGTTATAATTATAGAGTTAATTTGTTGAATATTACTTTATTATAGAGATATAATATGCATTTTTTATTTGTAAATAATAATATATGGTATTTATAATTTTTTACAGCTTCGAGTACTTGTACACCAAATGTGGACACAGAACTGTACCAGTAGAATTAGGAAGCAAGTATACTGATGATGATTGGAGTCAAATACTAATGCCATTTGGGGAATTTGTTAAGGATTACATTGTTAATCAGACAACTGTAAGTATTCCAGCCGCTCCAATATAAAAATGACTATCAGGTATTATCACACAACAAATAGATTTAAAAAATTGTTTTAGGCAGAACATCTAGGTTATATGGCTCAACACAGACTGCTGGATCAAGTGCCATCGTTGTTAAAGGATGTCATAGTCCCGGATTATTGTTGGATGGTACCTTATACCGAGCCAGAGAACATAAATTGTTTTATTGGACCTGCAAATACAGTATCTCCGTTGCACACTGATCCTAGACATAATTTTTTCTTTCAGGTATGGGTGTCGTATAAGACTTTAGCACCTAGAGGACTGTTTTTTTTCGTTATGTTGATAAGTTGGCTATGTGGACATATGTACCTTTCTAAATGTTACTTTGGATATTATTTTTAAAGTTGATATTATTATTGACATAACTTCGATTTCAGGTCCGAGGCAAAAAGTTTGTTCGACTTATAAACCCGGATCAGAAGGCCAATCTTTACTTGTTTGATGACTTCTTAAGAGCAAACTCAAGTCAAGTTGATGTGGAACATCCCGATTACGAGAAACACCCTAATTTTAGAAATGTCATTGTAGAAGATTACTTAATGGTGGCGGGCGACTGTCTGTTCATACCTCAAGGGTACTTTCATCACATCAGAGCTTTAGAACCCAGCATCTCAATGTCAATTTGGTTTGGGAATTCAAAGGAAAAAGAAAAATAAAGGACTTTAAGTTATACGTAAGGTTAATTTTGACATTTTTTAGTTGAGGTTAAGTAAACTTAGACTTTGTATTTGAACATAAATAAATTAGGTAGTAAAAATAACAACGTTATGTGTAAGATGTTCAAAAACAAATATATACTGAAGGATATTACAAAGTTTAACTTTATTTAACTTAGAAAGACATGTTTTTTTAAATTTTTTTTGGAGTTTTTAATATTTATCAGACATAAAACGTTGACAATATTATTAGACTTTCATATTTTACTTAAATAATAGTCATAAACAGTGATATAACACAATATGTAACAATAGTATAATGCCGTGTCTTGCTAATTCTCGTCTGGTTTCGGAATTACTTGAGACGCTTGAGAACTGCTTAATTGTGACGTTTGGGTAGTAGACAGATTGTCAAACGGTTTTTTCACGAATCTGACAATGGAACGTCGGAACGGCACAATAAGGTATAACGTGCAGCCAGAATTGAAAAAAGCGGACCAATCTAGGACAGCCGAAACAACCAGGCCTACACCAGAAACGTCTATTTTAAATAACACCAATATGCCTAGCACTGTCAGGGGAATGGAAGCAATGAGTGGTATAAGGCTCTCAAAGGGGAAGATTATTGATACAGTAACTTGACAATACTGTATGTTTGTAACATGACAATGCTTTATGTTTGTAACAGGACAACAATGTATGTTGTGACATGTAATGTGAAAATAGAAGGGTAATTAAAATTCTGTAAGTACAGTCGATCTTTGACGCAATTACTAAACACTGATACGAAATATTGTAAACAATTACTAAATATACTGTAAACATACTTGAACTAGTACAACACGAGCTAGCTGTTGTTGAAAGTACGCGGTCTTCTGGCTCATTCATTGGCGTGCTATTTTTGTAAATTTTACGGATTGGTAAGCATAATAGAACAACACGTTATAACAAATGAACACTAACAGACAGCCAGTTACAAGGTGCACCATGCCATATATGCCACGCTGAAATATTTTAAGTTAAAATGACTTTCTTTTGTCTACTAAACTACTTTAGGGTAGGGTAAAGCAGAGTAAGGTTGGGATAGGGGTAAATTATGGCGGGAAAGGGTATGACTTGTGCGTCGCTTGGGTAGGGAAGGCTACGATAGAACACTGTTCAGTAAAAAATCAAGCCGATAATGACTTACAAAATCTGTAACTAAAATAGGTGGAAGATGGTCATCTTTAGTGTACCACAACGTGTCGTTGATAAGTCTAGGGTAGTTATAGTTAGGCCAAAACTTTCCAGAGTGTATATAACTTAAATAACATGTAATTGCGATTGGTAATGGAGGTAAGAAAACTAATGAAAACAGTTTTATATAGGTGGATTTAGTTAGCGGTTTACTGAAATTGATCTTTAATGATATTATAATTCAGATGATTTTAGGAGTTAGACTTGGTTTTTCAGAAGTTTGGACTAGCCCTTTTAGATGTTTAGAATAGGCCTTTTAAAATTTTAGGTTAGGCTTGAGTTGGGGTAAAGCTTACTTTGTAATGATTCTGTATCTCAAAAAGTGTGGTCCACAATTAATGGTTCCGGCACATGTATAGATAGACGTCACAAACCCCCAACAAGCTGATCTTACATGGTAACTGTTAAAGTATAGAGCGGGACCATGTTGGAATACCAACATTACCCCATTGGTCACTTCTAATTGCTGGAACATGGGTTTTATAATTATGATAACGTTAATGATTACACTTCAAACAAACTATATATAGACAAACACAACCTGGATATGCTTTCACAAATATTGATATATTTATCAAATTTAAAAAGAAATAACCCTTACGGACTGATTAATAATAGTGGCAGTCAAATACTATGTATAATAAGCAATAACATACGACATTTCTTGAGTTCAGGTCTTTTTGATCAGAATAGCAAGAAAAGTAATGTTGCTGTAGTACAAACACCCAAAAAACTGGCTGTAAGACAGTTACTGCGCTCTATGGTTAAATACGTTTTCGAAGTATTTTTCGTAAGTTGAGGTAATAAATCATCGTCATGCCATGCAAATGGTATTTCCATTTGTTTTAGTTTGTAAACCTTATTATAAACAGATTAGAAATATTATTATCGCCAAACTTTATGAGAAAAAAGCCTTAGATTTAGGTTTAGACTAACAAGTTTCACAGATAAACTGCAACAAGGTGTGATCTTACTATTCGTAGTAACTCTCTAGGTTAGGAAGATTTGGTCACTTGAACCAGTTGCATCCGCTTAAACTAGTCTGTCAAGATAAAACTGTAGTAAATGTTAACGTAGACAAAAAATTGATTTATAAATGACAAATTTGTAGTTTAGGTACTTAACATGGCATTAATTGAGCCAAAAGTGTTTAGTTGGCAAACATAGTTGAGCAATTAATTTCAAATTTGTGTGTTGTGAATTTGGTCGTAAAGTGCTAAACTTATTTTGAAACTTCACGATTTCTGAGAGATTGTAGAAGTAACACGACATATTACAATGATATTGTGCTGTTTTTTTATTACTTGAGCTAATTCCATGAAAACGAATAAGTCTGAACATTTGAAGTAAAAGACATCTTTTTAGTTTTGGTATTTATAAATGTTTATTAGCCGAATTTAATGTCTTTAAGAAACTAGACTGTTATTAGTAAAACCGTTGACAGAAGTACTGTATTTAAGTCGTCGTTGTTTGTTGCTAACAAAGTTTGTGATTTTAAGTCGGAAAGGCTTAATAAGGTACAAGGTACTGCACGCATTTACAGCTGGTGCCCAATTTACAATCAAATCACCCAATAAGGCAACAAATGGAAAGTCCAATAAAAGTAGCGCTATGACAGCAACCAACGACGTAGGTATGCACGCTACCAACGGAATGATTGTCTGGAAAAATTAAACTTTTATTTTAGTTTATGGTTGTTTATGCCATGTTTTGACTAATTCCATAAGTTTGCGTGTTTCTTTATGTTAAAGTACAGAATGTCAGTAGTACAATATGTCAGTAGTTATTTACAGTAAAAGTTGTTTGAGTAGTTACCTGTGCCAGAACAACCTTGGAAAGTTGTTTTTGAAAGTATTGTGTACGTTTGCTGACGAAGCTTGTTGTTATAATCGAGTTCATTTTCACACTTTTGCGAGCATAGTAAAGTACAATACAGTAACTAAAAGATATTGAACAGCCAGCGAAAATAAAGTACGCGTAACCGTAGAATTGCCTCTGAAATCCTTATCATACATGTTTTCAAAATAGTTTTCGTGGCGTTTTATGTTAAAATTGTAAGCGCTTTATGTTTAACTAAAACGTACAAAATTAGTGACCATCATCAAAGGAATTTCACCGTTAGGTGTCAGCCATCCTGAATCTTTAATTACTTCGCCATAGTTGTAATTAGGCCAATAATATCCGGAATACATAAAGCTATGATAACATAAAACTCCAACTATCAAAACAGGTAATAACGATAAGGACAATATTAAAGCTATACCATAAGTTGTCAAAGCGTTTCTGAAATTGATTTATCTGTGGAAAACGTACAATTTTAGGCTTGTGTACTTTTTTTACTTTGAAAGCAGACGTCGCAAAAATGTTTAGGTTTCGCAACGAAAGCAAGTTTGAAATTATAACAAAAAGCGGAAAGGCAGAATTTTAAAATTTTTTAACATTTATTGCTTTGAATGCTTTATTTAAGGGCTGGTCAAAAACGTGCAGTTGGTAAATGTTTCTTAATGTACTTTTACGTTTTAATTTTTGTAAACAATAACTTTTATTTTTTCAGAGCGTCACGACATCTCGGGACAGAGCTACTTTCCTTTATACTAAACCGGCAAATTGAAAAAGGAAAACTGGAAGATAAAACGCCAATTGGCTTTTAGATAATTTTCATTAACGTGACTTAGATAGACCAAGTCTTGTAGTTGCGTAACGGTAAAATTATTTCGAATTTTTTGTTTATAAATTCGCTTCGAAGCAATTAGTGTTTGACAACTATCCACTCATTACTTTGTATTTTGTGCTAATTTATAAATGACTACCTTATCTGGCTACAGTGTTTACAGTACTTGTACAAAATGTCTCGAGTGAAATAATGAATGATAACAACTTTGCTTACTGCATGACCATTCTGTATCTGAAGTAATGTTGTGACGGGACAATCGTACATGACAATGTGTACGCCATAGCTTCGAAAGAAAAGAAAACAACACGTATTTGGTAGCTGTCAACTAATGAAACCACACCATGTTGGACTACAAACATTACTCCATTTGTCACTTCGAATTGCTGAAACTGATTCATTACAATAGTGTTTAGCATGACATAAAATGACATATTTACTGAACCTAATGTTTGTACTTAAACAAAACGTAACATAAGATCCGCACTAGCGCACATTAGCAATAAAATACGGTATTTTTTGATTTCCATTTTGTTTTTTCGTAAAATAAATACTACTAACAGTATATTCAAGACCATGCCTAATATCGATGCTAAATTGCGGTTGACATGTTCAATCTTAAATATCATAGGAGATGTATGTTGTTCAAAAGTAGCGTTTTCAATTGGCCAGGCAAATGGGTTATTACTCATTTTGGCTAGAGGTTCAAGTTTATATCTAAAAAATGAAACAAAATGAAAAACACGTAGTATCTTATAGTATTGTTGAAATGCAACGAAAAGTAAAAATGGTACTGTAAAGAAGAATACGCAAACACTATAAAGACGTAAAATATGAAGACATTTCTTTATAATGAGGATGTTTGCTTAACAAGGCGTACTTGCACACTAACGAAGACATAAACAAGTATTTGCATTATTATTTTGAAAAATATACATTATATGTCACGGTTTTATGTTTCAATTTTGAATTTCGATTTTTAGAAGGTACTTGAGACGACCTTTATATAATTTTAGCATAAGTATGATGTTTTACTAATAAGTTAGTACCCTCCTTCTGTACTAAATATCTTCTTATGGGAAAAAATAACAAAATATTACTGTAGAGCTTCTGGTGAATAAAAAAAGACTATTTTAAGGACATAGCTTACCTATAAAACCAAAAAAATGAGAATAATAATCTAACATATTGTTTTAAAATATATAGTAAAATAGTACTTTACGAACATAAAAATGAAAATAAGCAATTTGCCGAGTAACCAGATGATAACTATTATATGTAAGTGTTAGTATAATTGACATAATTACATTTCTTAAGACGAATTCTTTAAAAATGAAAAGGAAACTGTCTATTTACTGATTATAGGCCTAATTTTGTACACTTTTGACCGTAGTAAACATTTGAGTGAGTTGTAATCACAGTAGTAACTGTGCCTCAAACTGATCATTAGATATAGTTTTTGAAGGTAATGTTTTATTCGAAATATAATATTTGTTTTTCTGTAGTACAGAATAGGTATTATTGCTATGAAAGATTCATAAATACATATTAGGACACAGTATTAGAGTTTTATTGATTTAAGATTAACATGAATAAGTGCGATAATTGTATTAATAATGAGATTACTGAAGACAAGACGCTACTTGTCTTGTAAATTATTTCTTCACTTTGAGAGTGCCAGTATGATGTTAAGAATCAGCACTAAGTTTTCAAGTCATGACGTTTTTTGGAGGTAGTAGGTTGTTCAAATAATTCTCTCCCCGAACTCCGAAAATTGGTAAAATAAAAAAAACCTTTATTGACCTGAGGTAAAACAAAAATGTGCGAGTGAGATTAGTTAAGACAGTCAGTTCCTTGTCCTGGGAATTTGTTTTCCAAGTTGAAGGTACCCACATCATGCTCGGCACCAGCACTAGAGCCGCGAGTGATGGCACTCTTTGGGATTCCGACGCTGAATTTAATATCACAGATTGGGATCAGCTTTCCGCACTTGTGGTATCTAAATTATGGCATTTAAATTAGCTTAAATACATTTTTTTACGTTGTAATAGAACTTCTATCAAAAATTGTCTGGATAGTGTGACATCCTGGTTATAATGGCACTCTGGTCCAGTATCTTGAGTGTCATACTAAAGAGGTCTGATTATACTTACACGTTAAGTTTTGGAGTAATTCTGGTGATTTCGTGAGCAGTTCCAGTCAAGTGGAAGGTACCATCTGGGCCAGTTTTGCCTTGAGCGATCAAGTCGTCCAATGTGAAGGTGTCATGGTCGTACAATTTGACTTTCTAAATCAGTATTATTATATATTTTAAATTAAGGTTTTTGCTTTGTTTACATTTATGTCTTTGTTAAATTAAAGAAAAACAAAAATTGTTTACTATTTTCTAAAGATACTATGTTATGACACAATTATTGCCAAATTATATTTGATTATTAAAGTAATATTACTTAAAGAAAGTTAAAACTATAACATATTGTTAATTTGAAAATTTGCTTTGAGAGGGCGCAGAATTAAGTGAACGGCCTAATAGTATCGGGTAGGACAGAATAGTAACCAAAAGTCAACTTACAACTCCGCTAGCTGGTTTTCCCTTGCAAATCAGCTTACCAGAGACGGCAATGCTCTGGGATGGCCTTAGGCTGATGGTTGAGGTAACGGCGATTAATGAGCAAAAGATGGCTGATGCTAACAAAACACGCATTTTCTAAAAATTTTGTGATTACAAGGCTACATGGTCTATTACGTTTTAAAAAGTGTTTTCATGCTTGATTAAAAAATGGCACCTTACTCTTTTTATAAGCAACAGTAAAAGATTAAAATTCTATGACAAATGAAATTGAAATTACTGAAATAATAAAAATTTTCAAAAACAACAAGACGTTTACTTTTCATATCAAGAAACTAAACAAAGTAATCAAAATGAAAAAGCATCTCCTTCACTCCATCTATCAAATATTAATCAACAAACTTTTCACTGATCCACCCACCCCCGCCCGCGCTAAGTCTAAACACCACTGTCCTTTTTATAGAAAAAGCGATGGATTTATGACCTTGTAACATATAAACATCCACTTGTAAAGATGTCAAAATATCTGAGTCATGGCTCAAATGATCATACTCTGATCATGAACCTCGCACGACTTGTGAAATGGTCATAACTCTGTAAAAAATGACAAACAATGAGTAATAAACCCGTTTCCGGTGATTGAAGCGGAAGGTGAACAACTTGGAAATTGATATTGACTTCTGGAAGGCAGTAAAAATGGGTTTAAACTTAAAAAAAGTAAAAAGTTTAAGTTTGAAGAGGCCTTACGTCATGGTTATAGAGTCTTAAACTACTTATTAAACCGTAAAGATACCAATTAAAGGCTAAAAATTGATTTTTACAACGTTTTTAATGCTTACTAAACTACAACAATGTAGATTTCAAATTTAAAATAGTAAAAAATTATAATTTTAATTAATATCTACAAAAAAGACAACTTATCTAACATTTTTTACTACCGTAGGTCAACACAAGACATGGTAATACCGTTATAGACTGAGCAACGTATTCCTAAACAACTCTTGACGATGATGGTGAATATGATCGAGAGTTGTTTTAAACCCTTTATTCAAAACAGCGGGAGAGCATCGCTTATCGATGGAAGATGATGTCTCCTTTGTTCTACTGTTTTGTCATCAATCAACACAAACTGACAACACTTCTTCAAACTGTTAAAAGTGTTATTCTGTCAGGTTCAATTTCTAAATTTTAAAGAAATGTCTTTTTTGAAGCTTGAATTTTAAATTTTTCAATGCGTATACATCAACTTTTAAAATTAAAATTTAGAAATTAAAATTTAGAAATTAAAATTTATGTATATGTAATCATATCAAAATACATGTATATGTCATCGTATCAGATGTGTATCGCTTAGAAATGAATCCCCAAAGTGTGAGTAGCACATTGTACTCCATATTGTACATGAGAGATTTGCTCAACCACAAGTTTTGCCACCTGATCTCTTTCGTTTTCTGTTTTGGCTAATGATAATGCTTCTAACTAAAAGTAATATGTTTTTTAATAATATTATTCGTTAATAATCATACTATAATATAATATATAATCAAAACGATTATAGGTCCTTACTTGATCATAAACTCCAGGCATGACTTTTCCAGCATAACTGTTCGAAGCACTAACTGAAAACAAGACATTTCTTCTTTCTGGGGATCCAGGAAGGCCTTCTGGTCCTACAAAACACCTTTCCATTGCCATCAATCTGTCGTTAATCGACCGAGTATTCAAAGTCCAAGCATTAAATTTATTATCTCTTATCGACTTTTGGAAAGCGTCTGCTACTCGTACAAACTCCTAAAGAAACTCGACCAGTTGATATCAAAAAAAAAATTTTTTTCATAGCGAACCTTCAGCTACATTTACCATACCATAGCAAAATATTATATAAAAGAAACTTTACTTACTTTTGCGTTATTGAGCAAATTTGTATATTGAGTAATGACTTGTTTAATTTGTGGTATCTTCATCGACAAGTCATCAATGTCTTTCTTCAAATCTCTAACGTAAAAGTCTAGGAAATGATGAGCGAATAATGACGCATTAATTGGAACAACATCTGGTTCAGCAAAATCTTTAACCAACTGCATCTAGTACTTTCCTGTAGCTGCGTGGACCTAAAGCAATATAATATTTAAAGTCATACGAGTTTTCTTATTATTCCTGTTCCACTGCCTTGCCGTGCCCTGCTTCTTATCTGCTTTGCCTCAACATGTCGTGCAATCGACTAGTTTGCAGTAGTCGATCTGTGACTTGCCGCAAAGTTATCGATATCAAACAAGTGTTCATTTGTAAAAGGTGTTTCATATAGAGTATGATACAATGCGTATGTACTGTCGATAGATCCGTCCTCTTTCTGCCTTCTGTATGTTATATCGACAGCCGATATACCTAGATACGAAATAAAGGTTTCATGGTCGCTTCCAGAATTCGGAATTTTTAATTCGGGAAAGCCAGGGTAGTCTTTTCCTGGTAGTTTGTGACACCTAGAACAATGTCAAAATATGTTTAACTCAAATGTGATAAAAAAAGCTAATACAGTATATTATATAGGTATTGACGCCATAGGGTTTTTCAACAGAATCTTACTATATTTTTTATTGATTTACCATGTGTCATAGATGGTCTTTCTTCCTTGTTCGACTTCAGATTTTACTGGATTTGGTACTTTTTTGGCCGCATTTACTACAACTTCATATATAGATGGCAGTGTATCAGCAGTTCTAAAAAATTTTGTGATATTACACAAAAAAACAGTAATATATAAACCTCTAACTACAGTAAGAAATAAATATTATACCATATCAACTTACACCGTAGCATTTCCTGAAATCAGGTCTACATTAAGCATGACAACAGCACGATCTCGTAGAATGTTCGCGAACTCTTCCACGAACTCATTTGACCCGACTAGACCGTACTCTTCAGCATCCGAATTACAAAAGACAATAGTACGTTTCGGCTTGAAAACTCCGTCCTTTTTAGCCTGGACTAAAGCTTTGGCTATTTCACTCAGAATGGCAGTACCACTGTTTGGATCTATTGAAGCAAAAACCCGGGCGTCGAAGTGATTGCCTAACATAACATAACGATCTGGCTCGGTCTCGCCTTTTATGTAGCCAATTACGTTCTGGATTTCACTAAAAATCTATAAAAATTTTAAAAGTTAGGAAAATAGACGTGAATTATGTATAAAAAAATATTATTTACATATGTCTTACCGTTTCTCTAAACCAGAATGTACGTCAACTTCTAGTAAGGCATTATTTTTCATTTTTCCTTCAAATCGATATAGTACATTAAGTCCTCCCTGCCATTCTTTTAGCACCTGGTCTCCTTCCAATCGCTTGAATATCTCATAGGCATCACTGTAACTTAATGGTAATACTGGGATCGTCGGCAATATTTGTGCTTTTTTCAACTAAATTTCCAAAAATTAAATTTTTAACCAGAATTTTACAATAAAAAGCTGTCTTTCTTGTTCTATCTCTGAGATAAGTAGCTATAAATATTTGTTATTAATTTGTATAAAATAGATTGAGCTACGTCTTACAGCGAACTTATTATATTATAACTGACCTCATCAATAGTAGTGTTGTAGGAAAGGTCCTTCTTGGCCGGATACATCGGAGACAATGGGTCACCAGATCTCATTATCAGTGATCCTCTTTGTACACCATGATGGGGCATGTAATCTTTGTTAGGGTATACGTTTTCTAGAAAAGGTGTTTAAATATATATTGTTATATATTGTTTTACAGTTTTTAAGAAGCTCAGTTATATAAATCATTTCGTTGAAGTTTACAAGTTATTTAGTACAATTTTTAGCCCCTACTTTTCTCTGTACCAGCCTCTGCGGCTTCAGCTGGGTCCGAGTATAATATCACTGCTACAGCTCCAGCATCTTGAGCAAATTTGACCTTGTTACCTCTATAAACTTTCCCATATCTAACTACAGCTATCTTGCCTTTTAGACTGATACCCAACTTCTTCAAAGTCTCAAAATCATTGGCAGTTCCGTAGTTACAAAACACTGGCTCTCCCTTGACATGACCATCTCCAGCATACGCCAACCATTGAATGTCAGCTCCAGGTGCACCTTGTTCGTCAGGAAGGATTACTGTACTTCTGCCTGTACTGTGGAATACAGACTTTCCATTTTCAGATATTGTTATTGTGTTTGGGCTGGTAAAGTTGGGGTAGCTCAGTAGGACTTCGTATGTTTTGTAGCCAACGTCTAAAGATATTACTTTTGATGATAGATAGCAACAAAATCAAAAAATCTTCATTTTATGCTATTGCAAGTCTATAACTATTATATAAACTGATCTACTAAAAATACCGTATTTCCTCCTTCTCTCTAGATTACCATACTTTACTTCTTTAAAGTTTTTTTTCAAAAATTGATTACCCATCCACCCCTTACTTTATTGCCCTCTTCCCAATCTTTAAACTTAAACTGACCTTCCAGTCCATATTCACTCCATTTTTCGGCTATCTTGCCAGCTACTCTTAGATTAGCTGGCGTTCCAGCCACATGAGTTTCCGTAGTAAAATACCGTAAGTTTTCTCGTATTACCTCAGGCTCTATATAATCCAGAAAAGCTTTACAATGAACTAATGCTAAAGTAGATAAACCAAAGAAAGTAGACAACAACTTCATGTTTGAAGAGTTGTAGACCTGTTTTTTAAATTTAGCTCTAATTGACTGTTAAAACATAATATAAAACTGTATTTTAATGTATGCAACATGTAAATTTGCTTGATTTGCACATACATCACGACACATTCAAAATAAAAATGGTTTTTTAATAGCTTTTTTTGTTATTCTTATAAAAATTTAATTTTAAAATCCTAGTTTTAAAAAATGTAATTCAATGTTAACAAGAAACATCTTTGCATATGCAATACTGTTTATAAGTTACGTATTTATATTATAAATACTATATTATGAATTCACAATTTAGAAATGAATGCCTAAGGTAGAAGTAGCACACTGAACCGCGTATTGTACATGAGATATTTGTTCGATTAGAAGTTTGGCTATTTGATCTCTTTCTTTTTCTGTTTTGGCTACTGATAATGCATCTAACTGAAAGAAGATTAGATGTATACTACAATTTAAAAAATTATAGTTCTTTGATGACCCTACGCTTTGAATTAAGTAGCTATAGACTCTTACCTGATCATACACTCCAGGCATGGTCTTTCCCTCGTAACTATTCAAAGCACTGGTCGAAAAGAGGACATTCCTCTTTTCTGGTGAGCCTGGAATGCCTTTAGGGCCTACGAAACATCTTTCCATTGCCATCAACCGGTCGTTAATCGACCGAGTATTCAACGTCCAAGCATTTATATTATTGCCTCTTATCGACTTCTGGAACGCGTCTGCTACTCGTACAAACTCCTAAAAAGTTGACTAATAATTAACAACGAAAAAGTCCAAAAAGCTTGTGATACTTGGCCAAGCTTGGACAAACGTTCTCACAACTTTAAGTTTTAAAATCATACCAAAACGTTGCACAGTAATCATATTGTAAAAAGACTAGTTAGAATAACCTTGCTATACCTATATAGAACTTTAGCTTACCTGAGCATTCCTGATAAGCTTCGTATTCTGAGCAATGACTTGTTTAGTCTGTGGTATCTTCCTGGACAAATCATCAATGTCTTTCTTCAAATCTCTAACGTAAAAGTCTAGGAAATGATGAGCGAATAACGACGCATTAATTGGAACAACATCTGGTTCAGCAAAATCTTTAACTAACTGCATCCAGTACTTTCCCGTAGCTGCGTGGACCTAAGATAATGTATAACAATTTATATTATAAAGAGCTTTTCCTTACCTTACCTTGCCCTATTCTACCATACCTTACCTGTTCTTCACTTTATATTACGTTCCTTTGCCTTAACTTATACAATCCTAACTTAATCCTACCACCAATCTCACTGCAACCCCTCTGAAGTAATATACCCTCCAACTTACAGCAAAGTTGTCAATATCAAACAAGTGCTCATTAGTAAAAGGTGTTTCATATAGAGTATGATACAATGCGTATGTACTGTCAATGGCTCCGTCCTCTTTCTGCCTTCTATACGTTATGTCAACAGCAGGTATACCGAGGTAAGCAATGAAGGTCTCGTGATCACTTCCACCGTTTGGAGTCTTCAGTTCTGGATAGTCAGGGTACTCTGGCTTCTTTCCTGGCAAGCGGTGGTACCTACAACAATCTGGTTATATAGTTATATAAGCTAGGTGTTAATTATCTTTATGTTATAGTAGTAAAAGATGTTGACAAAAGTTGCTTGTAATGCGTGTATACAAAGTATTTAAAGATATAGGTTTACCATGTGTCATAGATAGTCTTCCTTCCTTGTTCAACTTCAGATTTTACTGGGTTTGGCACCTTCTTGGCTGCATTTACTACAACTTCGTAAATAGATGGTACTGCATCTGCCGTTCTAAACATAATCACATTATACTAACCTTTATAAATAGTATATATAAATTATGCGAGCTTATAAATAGCCCAAAACAATATAAAATCAAGCAACTTACAACGTGGCATTTCCCGAAATCAAGTCCACATTCAGCATGACAACAGCACGATCTCGCAGGATGTTCGCAAACTCTTCCACAAACTCATTTGAACCGACTAGACCGTACTCTTCAGCATCCCAATTACAAAAGACAATAGTACGCTTAGGCTTGAAAACTCCATCTTTCTTGGCCTGGACTAAAGATTTGGCTATGTCACTCAGAATGGCAGTACCACTGTTTGGATCTATTGAACCATAGACCCAGGCGTCGAAGTGATTGCCTAACATAACATAACGATCTGGCTCCGTCTCGCCTTTTATGTAGCCGATTACATTTCGGATTTCTCTAAAAGTTTAGATCACTTTTCTTCACTTTAAAAAATTTTAAAAATGTTTAGAAAATAAACATAAACTGTAAAAGACTATACATCTTTGCAGCTACATAGTACCATACCGTTTCTCTAAGCTAGAATGTACATCAACCTCCAGTAAAGCATTATTTTTCATTTTTCCTCCAAATCGATATTGTACATTAAGTCCTCCCTGCCATTCTTTAGGCACTTCCTCTCCTTCCAATCGCTTGAATATCTCATAAGCATCAGTATAACTCAATGGTAACACTGGGACTGTCGGTAGCTTATTGTCTTTCTTTAACTAAAATTTGAAAACATAAACTACAATAATATATTAACTCTGACCACATTAAAGTCTATATCTAGTCTAAAAATCAGGACTTGATGTTTTATATCTATTGACTTACATCATCAATAGTAGTAGTATAAGTAAGGTCCTTCTTTGCTGGATACAAAGGAGAAGATGGATCTCCATCCCCTAGCTTTAGCGTTCCTCTTTGTACACCATGGTGAGGCATGTAGTCCTTGTTTGGGTATACGTTTTCTAAAAGATTCTTATGCATATTTGCTTCAAAAAGCCATAACTTACCTTCTTCAGTCCCAGCCTGAGCAGCCTCAGCTGGATCCGAGTACAATATCACTCCAACAGCTCCAGCATCTTGAGCAAACTTGATCTTGTTAGCTCTGAAGATCTGCCCATACCTAACCACAGCTATCTTGCCTTTTAGACTGATACCCAACTTCTTCAAAGTCTTAAAATCATTGGCAGTTCCATAATTACAGTACACTGGCTCTCCCTTGACATGCCCATCTCCAGCATACGCCAACCATTGAATATCAGCTCCAGGTGCACCTTGTTCTTCAGGAATGATTACTGTACTTTTGCCGGTACTGTGGAATACAGACTTTCCATTTTCAGATATTGTGATTGTGTTTGGGCTGGTAAAGTTGGGGTAGCTCAGTAAGACTTCGTATGTTTTGTAGCCAACGTCTGAAAACATTACAGTAGATTCATATAGAACCTATGTTCTATCTTGCCGCTCTTTACCTATTCTTGCTCTACTACATTTTACCTTGTCGTACTTCACCTTATCCCAGTCCTAACGCTTAAAAACTGACCTTCCAATCCATATTCTTTCCATTTCTCAGCAATTTTGCCAGCTACTTTTAGATTAGCTGGCGTCCCAGCCACATGAGGTTCCGTAGTGAAATACTGTAAGTTTTCTCGTATTACCTCAGGTTCTATATAATCCAAAAAGTCTTTGCAATGAACTAAAGTAGGTATAATAAACAATATTGACCACCAATTCATAGCTTCAAAACAAAAGTTGAGAGAGCTGTTTTGAAGTTATGAACGAATGACCGTTAACAAAGTGTTATCTTATCATAAATTTGCTTTAACAGTCGCACTGATTACATTTGAATGGTTTACACATAAATTACATTAAATTTAGATTTAAAAAACCATTTTAGGGTTCAAATGGGCTTTTAAATGATTTTTCAATTTGATTTTCAACACAATCAAAATTCAATTTAAATTTATTTTTTTACAAAAAATCAGCAAATCAAGGTTATTATGCAGCCTTTTTTAAACAATATTAATAAATGGTATAAAAAATAATGAGCTACTGCACTTCATTTTGCTATGAAAGACGTAGCTCATTCATTACAACCTAATACGTCATTTTAAAAACCAAAACTTTTCTACAATTATAAAATAACATTAAATGACTAATCAATCATTATACTACTATTGACATGAGATACTACTTTTGTACATTATGTTTACAAGTAAAGTTCAGAGTCTTAGTTGAGACAATCAGTCGATTGACCAGGGAAGTTGGTTTCCAAGTTCAGTTCTCCAGCATCGAATGGCTCCTGTTTCTCAATGTATTTCTTCGGAATCTCAATGGAGAACTTGGTATCACAGATTGGAATGGTCTTGCCACATTTGTGGTAACTAAAAAATGTTAAATTTCAGTTTTTTATTAATTTGTTAGTTTCTATCATAAAAATTTTTTTAAGCAAATGATTTTACAGGGTGTCCCAAGAAAAATGTCCGAAACTAAAACGATATATCTTGGTTATAAAAATAGCTAAAATTTTCAAACTTTGTACCGTGGTAGCTTAGTACTACAAGTTTTTCGTCGCAAAATTTTGCTTTTTTTGGGTACATTTTAAGGGCGTTATGATTTTTTGAAAAATCGTCATTTTCACCAAAATTACACATATTTTCATTTGGAAATGCTTTTTTTTGCCAAGTTTTTCAAAGGTTTTCATTGAGATTTTGCTTGAGAATAGATTTCTCGCAAAATTTTTCTAAGTTTCTTTTAGAAATTTTGCCGCTACCGCATTTTCAAATATCGGCGGAGAGTCGGCGGAGGCGCAAAAGTATCGGCGGAGGCTATAACTCACTTAAAAATGAACGTAAAAATATAAAACAAAAAGCAATATGTTTCAAATTACAGTATCTATAAACTTATGGGTTAAAATATTTTTATTTTTTAAAAAATATTATGATGTAATATTTTTGTTAACTATGTTTTTATATTTTAGGTTTTTTAAAATATTTTTTTCAATTATAAATTATATTAAAATTTATATATGGTTAACGAATCTCTTCAATGTCACCATTATTATCACGACAAAGACGTAGCCGGGGCAGAAAAGAATCAATGGCCCTATCAATCATTGATTGTGGAATAGATGCCATTTTTATTGTGTTTATTAAAATTTAGAATAAAATGATACTCATTAACTTATTAATATTATATTCTAGCATATTTGAAATATTTGAACTCATAAGTTTACAGATACTGTAATTTGAAACATATTGCTTTTTTTTATATTTTTACGTTCATTTTTAAGTGAGTTATAGCCTCCGCCGATACTTTTGCGCCTCCGCCGACTCTCCGCCGATATTTGAAAATGCGGTAGCGGCAAAATTTCTAAAAGAAACTTAGAAAATTTTGCGAGAAATCTATTCTCAAGCAAAATCTCAATGAAAACCTTTGAAAAACTTGGCAAAAAAAGCATTTCCAAATGAAAATATGTGTAATTTTGGTGAAAATGACGATTTTTCAAAAAATCATAACGCCCTTAAAATGTACCCAAAAAAAGCAAAATTTTGCGACGAAAAACTTGTAGTACTAAGCTACCACGGTACAAAGTTTGAAAATTTTAGCTATTTTTATAACCAAGATATATCGTTTTAGTTTCGGACATTTTTCTTGGGACACCCTGTAATTTACACTGAATAAAATGTTTTTTTCTGATTAGAATAAACCTAAAAGTGAAAAAATTTACCCCTCGAAGACCAATATTATTTGCTAGCACAAAGTTTTTACTTTTTTCCAAAGTTTGTAAATGATTTTGTCACTTACACATTCAGTTTGGGAGTAATACGAGTGATTTCATTAGCATCGCCAGAGATTTCAAAAAAGCCATCTTTGTCAGTTTGAGTTTCTCCGATCAAATCGTCCAAGGTGAATGTGTCTTTGTCGTACAATTTTACTTTCTAAAACCAAATTTTAAAAAACTAATTTTAAAACTATTATATATAAACTTTGTATTTCTCGTTACCTAAAGCAATGCCTCAAGGTTTTATTGTAAAATTTATAAGTAGCAAGGATAGAAATCGTATTTTACTTTCAATATATTTAAAATTGTATTTTTTCTCAATACCTTCGTATTTTACTTCTAATCTATCAGGTTGTCCAAATAATTATGTGCTTCCTTCTCTTTTTTACCTATCTTTTTGATGTTAGGGAGTACAGAATTATTTGAACAATCTAATATTATTTTACTCTTACTTATATAACATATTTATAACATAATTTACTTACAATGCCATCAGCGGGCTTGCCATTACACTTAAGCTTTCCATTTACCGAGATCTTCTGGCTTGGTCGAATGCCAATACCTACAACAACAGAAACCAAACACAACGCAATAATAACTTTCATCTTGGAAATGCCTTAAGAATTGTTGTCATCAGCTTTTATACCCATTACTTTGTTTACAGATTGCAACAAGATGTTATCAACAACACAGTAAAAATGTTACCATAACCAAAAGAAAAACATTAAAATGAAAACAAATATTTCACAAAGTTACCCTTTGATGTCATAACATGCCTACTGCAAGGTCAGAGAGCAGTGTTCAGCTGAAGGAAGTTACTGGTTTTTAAGTCAATGATCTTTTTGGGGGTAAAGGTGAAGTAAGTGAGTTGAGAAGAAGACATAAAATAATAGTGGCAACGTTTTTATTGTATCAGGTGTGTGTAATGTATTTTTTATGTATTAGTGAATATGAAAAAATGTAACCACTGTAAAGTTGCACTGTTTCAAAATAATTATAGTTAAGGGTACACTGCCTTCCCCTACCTTACCCTAGTCTACCTTGCCATAGTCTTCTTTATCATAACCTACCCTACCTTAACTGCCCTACCCTGTTTTATGCTACCCTCTCCTCTTTTAGCTTTAATGACGCCATGCCTTACTATAACCCGTCCATAATTTATTATTACTGTATTTTTACCCTAATCTACTATATACTAATACTACCTACTCCCTAGTTCGACCCCATATTTACCCTACCATTGCCTTACTCTACCCTATCCTATGCTTAATTTAATCTTACAGTACCAAAAACCTAAAAATATAAATTTCAAACCAGGAACCCCCAAACAATCTTGTCATTTCAACCTGTTAAACATATTACTTTCAAGTTTCGTCAAACACAGTTTAAAGTTGATCTGCTATGACTATGACAATGGACGAAAAACAGTTTTAAAACCCTTACTCGCGCGAACAGTCTCAGTTTATTACTTTCGAGAAATGCGATTGTTGACGTTTTTCTTGGTCTTCGCTTTGGTTTCGCTTGTAGCCACGATCGGTATTCGACCAAGCCAGAAGATCACGGTGTCTGGCAAACTGATTTGTAAGGGAAAGCCGGCCAAAGGCATTGTGAGTTTGTTTTGAAAGTTTAAAAATTTAAATTTAAAAAAATTAAGTTTTAAAATTTTAAAATCAAATTTTTTTTAAATTAAAAAATTCAAATTTCAAGCTTATTTAAAAAATTATTTTTAGAAAGTAAAACTCTACGACCATGACACCTTCACCTTGGACGATCTGATCGGTGAAACCAAGACCGACTCTTCTGGAAGCTTCCACATCTCTGGAAAAGCCCATGAAGTCACCAGAATTACTCCAAAGCTCAACGTGTAAGTTAATATACGCAATCGAAAAGAAATCGTATTTTACAACACATTACTCATGAGTATACTCATGCTTACCAAAGAATTCACCCTTTAAATGCAACTTACCTTTTAGATACCACAAATGTGGCAAAGTGATCCCAATCTGTGATACCAAGTTCTCCATCGAAGTACCCAAACGTTACATTGATTCTGGCAAAGAATTCGACGCCGGAACCTTGAACTTGGAAGGCAAATACCCAGGACAAAGCAATGATTGTCTCAACTAATATTATCTACGCACAATATCTCATATAAGCACAATATAAGGTTACAAATTAAAATCCTAGATCTAACTATCCATTTGCAAATCAGATAAACATATTTTACAAACAAAATGGTCTTTTAGCAAGACATATTAGGTAGAGCATAAAGCCTACTATACTGTAATATTTCTACAAGTTTTAGACCAAAAGTATGAAATTAGGAATTACAGGTCAAAAAAATAAAATCTACACCAGTATACTTCCCATATTAATCCTAAAATCTTTAAACTCTCAAAAACCAAACAAAATATCATTAAAAATCTTCAAACCTACTACAATATAAAAAGATACAAAATATAATTAGTCAAAACCAATAAATTAACTATCCACAACACGCCAAACCCAATTATTAAGTTCAAATTTATTCAAAATCGAGAATTCTTTATTAAAAGTTGTGAAAGATGGAGAATCAAAAATCGGTCAATAATAATATGTCTGGATGAGCAAGTATATCTGGGATTTAACAATACTTTTTTTAAGTTCAAACTTTCGAAAAATGAGAAAATGCCCCGAGAATCAGATAGGAATACTTATAAAGATGTAAATGGTAAGATTGCTGGGATACCAACGATATGAAGACGAATGGAAGGCACAAGGTAAAACAACATTACTCCGGTAAAACAATACTCTGGCAAAACAACGGTAATATATAACTCTGATAAAACATCCATTGGTATAGAAAAACAATATTACAGTAGAGAAAAAGAAAATGACAATTGATGAAGATGAAACAGATAATATAGATAATAGAGGCTGGCACAAGACCAGAAACAATCATACTTACAAAAGAACCTAGTGAAACAATAGTTACTGTACAAAAGATGGATATTGTCATAGGCCTTCCCAAGTCTTTTAACTAGTAAACCAACTAATATACAGTCAGTAAGTCACAGTAAGACTTAGAACTACCTACAACATCAAGATACAAAGTGAGAAGTTATAATTAATAATAACTCTTTAAAATTCTAATTAACTGCAAACAATACAGTAAACTTTACAATACAAAGGCAAAACAATAAATTAGATACAGAAACGGTAGTTACGGTAGCATTAATGTACAATCCTTTCTATAGCACCATACTAAGGCTCCTACAGTACCAACATCAAGATTTCACGATAACTCCACAAGGGTTATACAGTATTATCTTAATGCAGCCCTTCTACTCCTCTTCTGGTACATCATTCACTTCGCCAAAGTTTCCCTCGTCTACTGTAACATCGTAGTCTGTCTCGTTGATGAAATCTGGTGCCGATTCCAGCTTCTTCAGTACCATCTGACCATTTTCGATAATTCGTGTGAAACCGGCTCTGTGTACTGCCAACATCGTTTCCATTTTGATTCGATTGGCTTCGGCCAGCGTCCTTAAAGCAATGGCATTCTCTTTTCGAGCGCGTGCTGCCAGCAATCGTTCACGGAGGAGTTGGAGACGAGGTTTTCGGCGCTAAAGACGAAAAATTAGAATAACATTCAACTTATTGACATAAAACTATTAAAAATAGGTATGCAAACCCAAAAACTATTTAGTAAATCGCTAAAACTCCACCCATACCTAAAACACATACCCTAAAACCCACTACCCAAAACACCCCGCAACAAACTCACCCTAATCGTGGGCTGAGGCTTGATAGCACTGGCCGGCTTCAAGACCAGTCGATTCTTCATGGCCGTCACTGGCTTCATCTCCTTCACCTTGGGCTCTTTCTTCTCCACCACCGGGACGACTGGAGGAGGAGGTGTAGCCGGCTGTGATATCCTCGAGACCACTTCGTTGAAAGTGATCTCAAACTCCTTTTGCTTTTCCTTCTCTTTCTCTTGTAGATTGTGATGTATCTCGGCTTCCTCCAAGAATCGATTCAGGATTTCGCCTGAGGTGGTTTGGGTCGTCCAGTCGGCGAGAACGGCAGAGTCCGCGGTGAACACTGGAAAGGCAGAAATTAGAAAAAAGTTACAAAAAAATGTAGAATATCATAATTTAAGAAAAAAATTTTTTTAAAAATCAAAAAAATTCTGGAAAATTTTCAATTTTAGGTATAACCACAAATGTATTGGCCAAATATAAACCATAATATCATTCATCGTTATCCTAAAGCGTTGCTCGTTGATTATCAACCAACAACTTTTAAATGCATCAAACTTCATAAGTATTTTCATCAATCAGTACCTACTACAATATAACTTCCAAACAAAAATTTATCAAAAATGGTAACCATTCTCTTTAAAAAACAATCAAAGCAGACTATTCTACAACCTTCTATAATAAAAAACTAAAGTCTTTTATCTATCAATAGCATTTATAGATCCAAACATAATTTTAGGTAACAAAATTCAAAATTATTTTTAAAAAATAAAATTTTTCGTTTTTTTCAAAGTTTTACTTTCCATACTTTTAAATCTTCTCATTAACACTAAAATTTGTCCAACCGCTATCACAAAAAAAACAGAATATTTAGACAAACTGACATTTTCTCTTCCAAAAACAATCAAAAACACAAATTTTCCCCAAAAAAACTTGTTCGAAACTCATCCAAATTCGAAAAAAAATTGTCGCTAATCACGTGACGCGCCAATGAAGCTTGTAACCCCAGATGAAAAGCCCGCCAAAACCAAAAAACCTTATAAACATACGTCTGAGCCTCTGCCATCTCCTGCAAAGCCACGATATATCGCTTCGTTCGGTCCTCATTCTCTTTCTCTATGCTTTTCGATTTTGAAAACTCGAAAAAGGCGGCTCAAACTCAATTTGGAGAGCTTAAAAATTATGATGACCAAACTTGGCGCTCCCATCTTTGGATTCCCAGACGTTTTTTTTGGCTTTTTTGATCTTTTTGGGTCAAATTTTTATATTTTTTGATTGTTTTTCGTTAAAATCTCTTCTTTTTAGGTAATTTTTTAATTAAGATAGCCTCGTTATGCTCTTTCTCAGCAGTTTTTCCTATTCTTGCCATAATTTTAGATTTACCTTACAATCACCATCAAAAACTCTTTAATTAAACCAAAAACCCTTACTGTTTTCATCCTCCGCGTTACAATCCTCGTTGACGGTGTTGTTCAGATCGAATGACACTTCATTTCCGGGCCCATCGCCAAAACAGCGTGAGATCTTCAATCCGTGAGTTTCGCGCAAATGGCGTCGATTCGACGAGCTACTGTTATTGTGTACAAACACACGATGACACAGCTTGCAGAAGAAGTACAATGGGACTTGTGTGTTGGCATCGAAGATGCGGTCAATGTACTGGGCGACTTCGCCTGTTACCGGCTCTCGGCGTAGGGCTCCTTTGTCGATTTCTCTGTAAAGTAATAAGGTTTTAGACTTGAAAAAATGAAAATAGTATAAACTGACAAAAATGATAGTACACAAAGTAAATTTTAATGTACAGTACTAAAATTTAATAATAAAATATTTTAGTCTAGTCTAAACAACAACTTACTCCTTGAGGTCCTTCCATCGTGGTGCGCGTAGCCGGCCGCCTTTGCCAGCGGCTGCTTTCGAATCGTTTCCAGAATCACTTCCATTTTCTTCTTTAATTTGCGTATCACCTAAGGCTGAAAAACCGGGCAGTTGAAAGTTAGCTCCAAGCGCTGTAGCTATGCTCTCCATCTAAAAATTAACAATTATATAATTGATATTATGTTAAAACTATCCTTCGTCAAAATATCGTAAAACTTAAAATTATCATTATTTATAAAAAAAATATATAGTACCAATTCTTAGTAATAAATAGCACTTTAATAACTAAAAATTGTAGAACCCCAGAAAATATACTTAGCCTACGTAAAAAGACACAAGTTATAAAATAGTACAAAGATCAGCCAAGCACCAGTAGAAGATAAAAAAGACAAAAACACCAAAAGTACAAAAAATTATAGAAAGAGCAACAGATCAACATACCAAAGCGTAGTACTGAGTCATACTGATTACCAATCAACCTTAGATTATAAAGACAACCGTCTAACAGCAAACTCAAGTATAATACAAAAAAAAGTGAGAACTAGCACTTGAATGAGTACCGATTTCGTGGGAAAACTCAGCAAAACCAGTACTGAACTCCGAGTTTCATGCAAATTTTAGAGAAATACTGAGAAAAATAATTTTAAAATTCCATACTCATTTTTGAAAACAGTCATATTTGCGGTCTGTGCAAAAATTATGTTTAAAAATGATTTTTTACTTGGAAAAACTTACATTTTGTTTCTTATAATAAACCATTTTTTATCGATGAAAACAAAATTTAATCAAGAAAGCAACCAACGTAAAATACGTTATCGTGCAAGTGAGGATTAATCAAAAGAATGGGGTATTTATAGCCCCCAGAACAAGCGATTGCTCTTTCGCTTTTGCGCATCGACGCCTTCTATATCGCTATACAAAGATTCAAGGTGCAAAAACTACCCTTCTTGTATTATTATGCAGGTTACGTACCCGTACTTTTGATTTTATCAAGTGCTCTCTGATCTCTTATCTTTCGATTATGCGTGCTTTAACCTTATTTCGAAAATGAGTATTTTATTTAGTACTGACAATGAGAATTTTTCATTTAGTACGTTCTAAACTAAGCCTTTACAATATCACTGGTATCTCAATCTTCAAAATTCAAAACAATTTAAAAATATGTAACACAATCACTCATGTTACCAAACAAACAAAAAGTACCATTTTGACTACTCATACCCGAAACCCCACCCCCCCCGCTCCAACTCAAAAAAGTTTGGCGACCCAGAAAGCTGGTATCCCAGAAACTCGCGTCGTTTTTCGACTTCAGCGTGACTGATCTCTCAAGTGCTATGCAGCGAGTAAAAAGCCGTCTTCCCTTCTTTCCAAAAACACATTTTGAATCTCCCATCGCGGGTACCCACGTCACACACAAGTGCATTCTATCGCGCCGCGTACTGGCCAATAGAGTGTGCAGTGGGCGGAGGGCGCGCGACGACCAGCCGCGGTTCATAGATTTGGAGAAACGAAAAACAAAATCAAAAACGAGTTAAAAACGGTTCAGGCGATAATAAAAACAAGTACTTATAATACTTGTTAGATATTAATCTGACAGAGTGCGAACAACATTCGAAGCTGTCGAGTGCGTATCTTAACCATATTGATGGCAATTTCCTTACACTATACCAAAAAGTCCCGCCAAAAAGTTACAAAGCACGTCGCACAGTCGGCTGATACTAAAATCGCATCACAAATACCAAAAAAGGCCTCGGCGAGCAAGAACCGAAATAGCACGAAAGAGTGAGAGAGCCGCAGAGCACGCCGTAAAAAATCGCGGCCTTGACTGAAACCCCCTCACAACCAAAAACCGTCAACGATCGAAGTACGAGAGAGCACGGTGCGAAGTGTCAGAGAAACAAAGGAGCCGTGCAGACCCAGAATCAAAGTGGCGGGCTGATTTTGGGTGCGTTATGTTGTTTGAAAGACGAAATGGGGGAAACGGGTCTTCCAAGTGCACGAGAAGCATAAAAACACACGACCATAAATCAGACTGGTATTTGAGCGTACAGCGATTGTATAGGCAGTTTGTGACGTTTCAGCGCTTTAAAATAATTTCTAATTAAAGCCAAAGTGAAATTAATAGAAAAGTTCAGTAGGTGCACGACTTTAAGGTATAAAAAAGTATAGCAAAGCGATTTTACGGCAATTCCATCCCATTAAACCTTTAAAATTAACATAATGCAACAATCGTCTTGTTTTAAGCTACAAAGACATTAACTTTAGAGAAATTGCAGTGACTTTAAAATTCAGTGCTGGCTCGTGCTATGAGAGGAAAGAAAACAAACACTTTACAAATTTTTTCTTCGTGCTAGTAAGTACGAGCAGGACTTAAGCGTACACAACCAAGAAAAAACTTTGGAATACAAAACCAACAATGTACTGTTAGATTATTACATCATAAAGAAGAAACCGGAGTATTATCAAAGATGTCAAAGGCTTAGATTAAACTATCCGATAGTGTTACGTGGCACTGACTAATGTAAATCGAATATAAACACATAAGAATATACCTACCCAAATAGCTTATAAAAAACCTAGTATATCGCAATTTAAAACAGTAAAAATTGATTTCAAATTAAAAATTTTCACAAAAACTTTTTTCAATTTCCTTAGTAACACTTATACTAATCAGAAGCTATTTAACGTCATTAGTTTGTGATAACCCTAGCGAGACAACCGCGTATAAACCAAAATGCGAGCGAGAGCTGATCAACAGACATACATATTGGTGGTGACAAGCGACCAAAACAGTGAGAACCACCACACATTCTGATGCTCCGACGCACAAAAAGGTGGCTCCCGATACAAAATAGGAAGAGAGAAAGACTTGAATGTTTAAAACACCCTTAATGCTAGCACATGATGAATAGTCAGCCCAGACAAGTCGAATAGTAACAAAAAGTGTGACGAAATACTGGTTTCACCAACTCTCCACGGCTCTTCATACTTGTTTGACTAACCTATACTTTGATAAAAAATATTTGAGTCTTTTGTAAACCACACATTATTTTTAAAAACTTGAATTCAAGTAAGTAGTATTAAGATTGGCTGACATATTCACTGTTTTTGTTACCTAAACTCTTGTGAAACTAATACTCCAAACCTTAATTAATGAATTCCCACTACTTTCAATTTGTTTCACCAAACCGCAATCAATTCCACCAACTATTCAAACAACCCAAATCTTATATTAATTTACAGCACCGACCCCCACAAACGCCACCCAAAATACAGCCGAATCGAAGAGGGGGTCCGATAGTGCGGAGCGAGAATCAGCCCAATTTTCGCTCTGTCCTCCCTCTTCGATCGGTGCGATGCATACTGATGATGGTCGTGCTCTCTTTTCCAGTTTTTTAGTTCATATGACACATCGATTCTCGCTGCCTCCCCTTCTCCGTTTCGCCAGTCTATTGCACACGGCCTTGTTCAGCGGCAATCGAAGAGAGCTGAACAAAGTGCAATTCAGTTCCAGCTTATTCCCTTTTTCTCTTTCACACAGCCAATAGAGTATTATAGAGACCGAAAATGAGGTACTTGAATTCGAAAAAAAGTTGGAGACTTGTTATAAATGAAACACTAAGATCAGACAATTCAATAGCTATTTATTATTGAAGTCAATATTGTACTCTACCGAGAACTGAAAACTTTAAGAAGTCAAGACTTTGAAAAAGATTAAAGTTTCAACTTTTCTGTTAAAAAAATAAAATTCAGGCTTTAAAATCTTGGTTATTACAGTTTTTTATACCAAACAAAAAACAAAAACGGTTAGTACTATTTAGAACTAACTTATTAAACCTCTTTAAATCCTTTCAATCTGAATCAAAGAAAAACTGTGAGCGTTACAAAAATTGCAATTTTGTCATTCACCGAGTCCCATTCTCCAAATCCAATTTCCCCCTAACATTCCAGATCAATTACACGAAGGAATCGAATGGCGGAAAACACCGACTCATAACACGAATTCCCCCCAATTGCTCATTTCCCTTGAACAACAACGAATCTGGAGAGTATTGATTGATTTGCGTCTCGTCTCGCCCGCTTTAGCCGAAGAGTTGTGCATGGGCGGCTTGAGCACGGTGTGCTTGTCTTCCCTTTGCTTCTCCATTCCCACCGCCCAAATCGACAAGCGACATCTCGGCTGATTTTGGAGTGGTGGGCGAGGTGAGGGGTGCTCTGCGGCTAGCCGCCGGAATCTTCCCCCACATTCTCCCCAAACACGCACCGAATTTGGAGGGCGAGCGACAACGATGACGCGACAACAAAGAAGCCAGCATTAGAGGAAAAGAGAAGAGGGCCGTTACAGCACGGAAGACGCGTTTTCAAATTGTTAGAGGGTAATAAACATTGTATACAAAAGGTTCCTTCCGACCGGGTCGAAACAAGTCGCCAATTTGAGTTAATGTACTGTAGTTAAATGAAACGTACAGTTTATCACGTAATTTTAAGTAACTCAAGAAGAGAATATGGTTAGAAGTTACAAAGATAGAAGAAACAGAGACATCAAATTATAAAAAATATTTTACAATTTTTAACTCTTACAAATATACTAATACTGTAACCTTTGACTGAAAGATCATGTTTGAAATCCTAACTCTATTCTAACAATATTGTAGACAGAAAAATATCAAAAAGTTTCATCATTAAGCTACGGAATCTCCAAAAACAGAACTAGAAACCCAACTCCTCAGAATCTTGAAACCCTCTTTGAACATGCTACACGTTCGGTTACCTCATCCGACCACGGAGAAACAACAAAAAGCAAATCAAAAAACAAAACGGCTCCCCAAAGAATGCGCTGCTACCTTTTCAGACGAAAGACTGACGCTTCTTGTTCGCCTCCCCTCCATACCCAGCCAGGATTCACCTCGAACACACACAGAATCAGAGAGGAGACGTCGACGAAGGAGAAGATTGTAATGTCTTCGACGGCTGCATTAGAAATAAATCAAGTATCATCAATGGAGAATACTGGTTTCTGCTCGCTCTTCTCTTCCTCTTCGGTTCGACGTCGCGTCATTATCTTACAGCATTCATACTCGTAAAACTTGAATGGTATAGATGATGGTGAACATAAGATTATGATGGAGGATATCTGTCTAAAGAATTTGTAAAAAACATACCTTGAATTTTTAGATTGTGACATTATTGTAAGCTTAAGCCATAAAAAGCCAATTTCAGAACAACGTTGGTCCAGCATCTTATTCATTAAAAAATTTAAAAAAACTTCAAAAACAAACGTGTTATACCCGGATTTTGACAGATAAGTTAGCACAATTAACTTATATTTACGAATCAGTAAATTTCTTACTCATATCACACTCAAAAACCACGAATACTAAAATGTTAGGTAACAAACATGCTCAAGTACTAAATTATCCTTAGAAAAAACTGCCTCAAAACAAACAAAAACGTAAATGTTACCTAAAAAACCAACAAAAACTGAAATATTATCTAAAAAACCAAACCGTATTCAAAATACCAATTAAGAACTTTACAGCAACAAAAATATACCTAAAACCAATCGTAACACACAGTTTAGATAAAAGATCAACGACAGAATAAACATTACACAGTAAAAATGTAAATTAAGCCTTACAACCCTTAGCAACTTAAATCGACTCAAAAACTAACAGAAACCCTAGTATTACCTAAAGTACAAAACGAAAAACAATAAAAACCAAAAAACATACTCCGTAATACCCATTGTAATAGAGATTCTCCATCTTTCCAATTAGCTTGAACTTTTAGCACAAAATAATAATCCGCGGAACAGTATAGGACATAAAAGTACAAGTTCAGAACATATTTCGGGAAACTAGCTTATTTTTCACACCCGCGTCCCAGTTTTTTGCGAACTGCACGAACTTATTATACGAAAACAATAACTTTTACAAGAAGGTACACCGCCCGATTCAGAATATGTCAAAAATTTTAATGTAGACTGTTATTAACACATCAATAACTTTCAATTTTTATGTAAATTTTAATGTTACGTATTTGAATTACTTGTTTAATCGACAATTTTCAAGTTTTTGCTTTCTGCAACCTGCAACTCAAAAGTAGCCGCGGGCGCAACCCGAGATTAAAGCGATTGAGCGCGAAAGCAGATTTTGGGTAAATAAATTACAAAATTGTTAATCCTTCTGTATTTCTTATTGTAATTCAGGGTTAATATTGATTTTAAGTGTTAAAATGGAGGTAAAATCTTATTTTTATTAATTTCCGTTGTTAATTTAGTTATTAGCGGCATTTTTGATAATAAAGACTTGTAAAACGTAATTTTTTAGGGATCAGGAATGTCTCACGATGAATTTAACTTTAATCGTATGTCGACCACAGACGTAACTTTTTCTAGCGTGTATTCAACTGGCAGAGACACGACTGGAGACAATGCTGTTCTGGATTATGGTAAGGTCTTTTTATGGGAAATGTTGTGTTAGCTGCGTTTTTCAGTATTTTAAAGATTTGTTGTTAGTTTTGCGAGTTGCTCGATGAATTTTTTTTTTAATGGCAGCATAATTTATTGGCTATTTTACAAAAGTCTTGAAGTTTAATAAGTTTGACAATAAAATGGACCGATATAGATATCATAACGAAAACTGGTTTTGATGCATAATTTTGCATCAAGAAATATAATTTTTCAAAGATAAAATTTTTGTTTAGAAGGCCTGAAGGAGTTGACGAATGACACATCAAACGAACGTTATTCTACAAAGATCTTCGTTGGAGGTATTCCATTAGGAACAACTGATGCCTACCTACGTCAATGTTTTGGAGCTTACGATTTGTGTGAGGTCAACTGGCCAGGAAAGAAGAAGTTTGAGGATTCTCCGGCTAATGGTAAGTTTTTGCATTAAAAAGTAACCAGGCTATCGAAATATCGATACGCTATTATTTCTGTATATATTAATTTACTTGGTTTAGTGTGGATAATGTTTTATTTCATTTGGTGAACTAAATAATGTTGCAAAGAATTATCATTTATATAATATTTACAATTTGGAAAAGGTATTTTAAATTTCAGGATATTGTTTCATTCAATTTCGACATGCTGAAGCCGTCAGAGCTGTGTTGAACTCATGTGATTACCGTGACGGACGTTATTGCTATGCTCTGGGTCGTAGACGTGACATTGTGAGTGAAATATATATTATTTACTATATTTATTGTTAGTTCTGACTTATTATTGGTATTTTTTAAATTTATTTTATTTGAGTCTTATATTTTTTATAATTTAGGTACAAATCCGTCCATGGCGTCTCAACGATTCTACTTTTACTATCTCAACCTTGTGGAGTCGATTTGTGCGTTTGTCAGTGTTCGTTGGAGGTCTTCCTCGAACTTTGAAAGCAATGGAGCTTTTTGATTATGTTCAGAAAAAGTTTGGCAACGTTCTCCATTGTTCGATAGAGCTGGAGTTTGAAACATCTTATCCAAAAGGTGCAGCAAGAGTTATCTTTGGAGATATCGACAGTTATCGTGCTGCCGCAGCTGCTGGACATCTTGAACATCAATGGTATCCGGAAAATCACTTCAATACTAGATCTGTGAGTTCTTTTGTATGTTTTTATACTATTTACGGTTTTAAACTGGTTCAAAACTCCTTATGGTGTGTTTTAGAGATATTAACTAAAATAAGGACTTATTTCAGGTTGAATTCAAGCCGTTTGTCTACAAGAACATTGAGTGTGAAGTCTGTAGTTCAGCTACTTCGAAAACTGAGTTCTGTCCTGGAAAAGAATGTCTACTTTACTATTGTGCTCAGTGCTACAACAATGTGCACAGACCAGGAAATGGATTGTATTCGTTTCATCAGCGTTGCAATGTTGTTCCAAGAGACCTGCCAACCAGCTGTAGAACAGAGAAGAAGGATTTGGAGGAAGAAGCTAGAACTGAAAAGCTTTTGGCTCAAGCTAATGAGGTATGGTTTATATTGTCATTGGTTTTTGGTTTTTTTTTCTGTTTTTGGGTTTAAAATGGATATTATAATTGAACCGAGGTCAATTTTACTCGTAAATTTGTGTTTTTGATAATTTTTGTTAAAAGTTAGTTGTATTATTAACCTTATGATATTTTGTATTAGTTTTTAAAATCGTTTTCAAACTTTTTGTTTCGAACTGATGCATTGTATATTATAGTACTTTCAACAAGAAGAATTGTCGACTAGCTTCAGTCAGATGAGCACGGATGAAAATGTTCAGACGACTTCTTCAGGAAAGAAAAAAGATGGTGATAACAACCAAAAAAGACCGCCTAAGTTCAACATGCTTCAGAGCTATGGTGTTTTGCCTTGAATTGCTGTTGTTTATCTACAGCAATTAGATCAGGTGTAGCTTTCAGACTTCAATTTAATTGATATTTGTCGATCTTTTCAATTTTAAGTATTGGCTTCAGTTTTTGTCCTAACCGGATGATATTCATTATATATTAACCTATTTTCATTTAAGTACGACATGCTATTGAACTGAATATTTTTACTTTTGTTGTAATGCTTCTGTCATTATGATTACTATTATCGCGATTTAATCATTTTGTTTTGAGTTTTTAATATCTTCTTTTGTCGTATTTTATTAACATATATGTTGCTATATCCTTTGTAAAGCGTATATGTTATAATATTGTGTAATATGACAGTTTTGTTGTACTATTTATTGACTTTAACATACTAATAACAACCTTTATATTATATTTGTTTAACATGCACCGACACATTCTCTTCAGTAATATGTCATTTTTATTTGTTTTGCTTTTGCTGACATTATTTTTTGCTTTTCTATCCGTTGTTGATCATATTTTAACGTTTTGACTCTAATACTCATTAATAAATTTATATTGTAGTAGGTGTGGTAAGAGGAGTTTTTTTATATGTATTGACATTATTTCATAACTATTGCCTTTAAGCTAAATATATCTTGATCTTTGTTGCATATGATTGCGAAGTATCATAACACAACTTTAATCCTTTAATTTTACGTTCGAACTCGTTAATGTGACGTGACAGTACAAGCAAATTCTGTAGCAGAATGGTGATCCGCGTAGTGTCGGTGCAAGTAAACTGATCGTTTGACACGAGCTAAAGCAAATCTACTTAAACTGCGGCACCTTTTCGGGAAAACATCGGCTGTTCGATCGGATTTGAAGGCGGTTTGATCAAAAGCCTTTGGGGGGATGTTTTGAAATGAACTGTAAATGGCGGTAAGTTGGTGATAATCACTGTTATGGGCTTGATAACTGCGTGTTCTTTCATGTTTTTGTTTTGTTAGATTGTGTTGGCATTTTGGAATATAGTAGAATATTTTGTATATATATTACTGGTCTCTAAACACCCTTTTAGTCAAGGAACATATTATCTATGCTAAATTTGAGCCCCGACCAATTAGTTTGAACATTTTTAATTCTGATTCGCGCAATTCGAATCTTGTGAATTTATTCATTTGACAGGTGTTCGGCTATTACAAAAACGGACTGAGGGACCGAAGGAAATGACCGGATGTGGGATTTTGGGCGCCGGGGACACCGAGGGTTACCTTTTGCTCGTTTCGTGCAAATTCAAAGCTTACAGAAATGAATTTGGAAGTGAGAACGAAGGTCGTGACTTGTTATATTATATATTAGGTTATGGCATGTTAATTTTTAGTTATTTGTTGGGCTGTGCTTGGGAATATATTGTAGCAGCTATATAGTAGTGTAAATTACAGTAGAAAGATATTTTGTACCTATATATAAGGTTATAAAATATTCTTTAAAATGACTTACTGACAGTATTTTTTTAAATTTAAGTACTTTTGAACTCAAAAGAAGTTTTTTTTTCTGTTTACTATAACAACGGTTAAGTGCACGACGTTCAAACCCCTGCTTATCGGTATTTGTCTTTAATTAAGGAATGTTATTCTTTGTTCGAGTTCGTGATTATTAGATATTTATTTGTGTAGCGATAGGGTTTATTAGGCTTCTTGATTTATGTCCTTGCACAATGGTTTATGTAATTGAATAATAATATTGGAGGAAATTACAGGGTTTACATTTACATTATTTTTTGGATTTTTGTTTATTGTGGTACAAGCAATGTCGGGAGAGTTGTTTTGGTCTTGGGAAGAGCGGTGGTGAGGCCTTGGGGAAAGGGGTGAAGATTTTTTTAATTAGGGGTAGACCACGTTTGCTCCTTTAAAAAGTTGCCAAAAAGTTAAACATGGCTCTATTGCTGCTTCTAGAAAAGTTTTAAAAGGTTAAAAGTAAATTTTAAAACCTAAAACTTATTAAGTCCAACAACTTACAGTTTACCCTGAAGCCTCGAACAAATTGGTCAAAGTTTGCGAGGTTTTGTTTTTGCGGCGTTCGAATTTCAGTGCTCTGTAACTTGTTCTCGCGACATGTTATTTTATGATTTGGAATGACCGCAAGACGGAAACAGTGTGTGCACCTTTGTTTGAAAATGTGATTTGTTTGCACATTGTATTCTAAACCCTCTTGTCGGTAATCTTTTACGGCCTTGGTATTTGGGCTGATTGGGCAAAATTACTATGAAATGAAGGTCTTATGGGTACGTCAAGAGTATGATTGCTCTGATTGTTTTGGATGGTTTTTGTGGGTATAAAGAGAAAGGCTGAAGCTTGAGTTAGAAATTTAGATTTTTAGCTAAAATTGATGTTCTTATGAATCATATTTTTATTTTAAAGCTTTTTTCTTGTTATGATGGATATATTCCTCTTACTGTTCTCACCGTTACGTTGTTGTCGTCCCTTCTTCCGTTAAGAAAAAATTCAAAGAAATTTCTTCGCGCATCCCCCACGGTGCAAACCAGCATTCCATCATAAAACAGAAGAAGAATGCACTTTTATTTGTTTCGAAAACCCGAGTAATATTGCTCTTTCTGCAGTTTTATTAGAATTCACGGCTTCGTGCTGAGAAGCGGAATATTCAGCGCGGATTCTGTCACGTAACCTTATTGTTTTATACGTTGGAAGAGGGCTCTATATTACTCATGCGAGGTTAATTAGGGTTTTTATGACAGTTGTTTTGTTTTGGCTTTCAAAGTACGATTATAAAGGTACATTTGGGTGTGGTGTTTATTTTTTAAGGTAGGGTAGGGTAAGATTTTATTTTTAAAGGTAGGGTAAGGGGAGGGGTAGAAAAGGCTAAATTAGGATTGGGTGGGGTATTTAAGCGTGGGATATGGTAGGGTAAGGTAAGGTAGGGTAGAATATGACAAGGTAACGTAGGGCAGAATATGACAACATCAAATTATGTGCGGTATAGACTGAACTGTGTAGAGTTTAACCTCCACCCTAAAATCTCGTATGTTCAAACCCATACTAAACGTTTACAGTTTTACAGACCCGCGTTACCTTGAAGCGAAACAATTCACTTCTTTAAGTTTGCGCGCTCTCTCTTATTTTGTTTATACGCCAGATTCTGGTGGAAGACGATGGGCAGTGAAAGCCGTTTTTAAATATTCAAAACACTTCGAGACCCGGGCGGTTACGTATGTCGAGAATAATCGGTCGTATGATGGTATTATTCACAGACTGGGTCGATTTTTTGTGTCAATAAAGAATGGCAAGGGATTTTGAGGATAAGGGGATGCTGAGGACTATGAGAGATCAGGGTGGTGGCTTAGGTATCATTATGCAGTATTAAGTAGTTTTGTGTAGCATTTGTTACTTTTATACAGTATAATACCTACTATAACGTTATTTGTAATCTAAAAAAATCTTGATTGCAATGTCCGGAAAACTGAATATGTCATGTTCGCTGTAAGGATGACGTCGGAATAGCTGGTTTTTTTGGCTTGTATTTTATGGCTCATTTGAGATTAAATGCATCTTGATCGAGGGGGGGGGGATTTGTGGGTAGGAAGCGATCAGACAACTTTGTGACTTGACAATTATGTCCGACGGAAACGTACAATTAGTAAAACGCTAACAAATATTTTGGGATTACGTTTGCGACGTGAGGTTACGTATGGAGGTACGTGAGGTTTGTTGAGGAGCTGGAAAAATTTGGGGGTTGATGAAAATTGCTTTAAATTTAATTTTTTAAAAATTTTTTTGGACAAAAAAGGTCATTTTCAAAATTTTTACATTTATCTTGATTTCCCACTTTTCGCTTACGTGTAAAAGCACTTTCAATTTAGCATAACCTTGTATGCCAATCACAATTACGTACAGCCGACTGGTTCTACCGAAAAACGAGCCGCCGGGGCAATAAACCGTTATAACCGTAAGCGACGAAAGTCATAACTTTTTGGAAATGGAGATCTCAGACCAGCCAGAGAATGGGTTTATCCACCAGGCGGATCTCTCAAAGATAACAATCGAAAAATAATACAAGAGCGCGAGAATTCCAAAACCCGATGCCCTGAGGTTTTGTTTTTATAAACGGCGAGAGTGGGGTGGCGATTTCGTAAGTGCCGGAGGGGTTTGGCTAATTTTTAGGTATTTTTGTAAGGGTTTGAAGTGAAAGTTAGGTAGTTTGTACTATGATTGTTCTTGCAATGTTGGATTTTTTGTGAGGCGGGTTAGTTTGGTCTGGGTGTGGTAAAAAAGTCATTTTTGTCTTTATCTGGTCATATTTAAAATTTTTTTTGGAAACTTCAGAAAAGGGATCATTTTCAAAAAAAATGTTTTTTGCAATTAAACCAACCCGTTTGTCTCAAAAATGAGAAACTACCTACTGTTTGTAACGCAAAATTATTAAAACCCTTAGGCAGTTCATTTTTTGTTTTTCCCAGCTACTTTTGTTAAACCCACTTAAACTTTGATTTTAAACCCGAACTTTACTTTTGTAATAAGCTCCTTGCGCTAACATTAATATAATAGCTTGCCATTATTCAAGAAAATCATCTTTTTTTAAAAAAAAAGGTCGTAAAATACAGGATTCACTCCAAAGCTTTATTTATTTTGGCGTAGCGGAGAAGGTATTGTAGATGTTTTTTATTGGCTTTGCAATACGAACCTCCGGGATTTAAGATCAAGATTATTTTGATGGTCAAGAGGGTAGGATTTTGGGTATGATAAGATAATGTTTCTGGATTTTGAGGGCTTTGGGTGGATTTTATGGGATTTTTTTTGATTTTGCGGTTTAAGGGTATAAAATTTAAATTTTTATGGTTTCATTGTAAATTATGTTTACTCAGTAGTTTTTGCTTATAGTCTACCCTAACGGCAGGACTTTATGTTGTGATAATATTGCTTTTATTAAAAGTTTTGTCAACTTCACACACGCTATATTTTGTTGTTCAAATAATTCTGTGCCCCTTCTCAAATAGTAAAATCAAACTTTTCGTCTCAAAGACTTTCACAACGGTAGCTTACCAAAATACAGACCATCCAATTTCCCATTCATATTTACCCCACTTTTCACCTAAAGTTAAGGTAAATACGACTACAGCCCTGAGGTCTCGAAATTCGCCAATATTTTGCGAAATATTCAAATGTTTTCACCCAAAATCGGACCGCACTTCTCCCGCGCTTTCAAGTGGTATACTTTAATCGTCTTCATCATCATCCTTCCACTCCAATTTTTGCGCTAAAATTGAATAAATAATAAACAGATCGGGATCGGTGATAAACTCATTGTCACTTAACAATAAGGCTTACGAAATTGATAATTTTACATGAATTTTAGGTAAAAAATGTAATTACTGCTTTATCAGAGTAAAAAAGATTAAAACTATCATGTTATGGATGAAGGCAACTAAAAATGTCGCGTTTTTACGTTGTTAGACTGTAATATTGCTGAAAATGTTAATTTTAGCTCATTTCAGATAAGATACCTTAAAAAGCATTGTCATATCAAGGATATATTAACCGCCAATCAGCATTAGAATAGAAGTTGTGCCATATTGTGACTTTGCGTTGTAGTAGAAAAAGAAACGCATTATTTAAGCTACGCAATTTTGGATCACGAAAGCTAAACTACGTTACAGTATATTATTATCCTGAAGTCTATTGGAAGCCTATTACAACAACTTTCATTAGCAGTTATATGACTTTAAACTTGATCACGGCCTTAAGTTTTAAATTTGAAAGTTAGAGCAAGAACATCGCGACAAATACATAGTACCTTTATAAAACATCTACATATGAGATCAAGACAACAGAATACAGCTGCTTTACCTCCACATTTCGTGGATTCTCTTCAACGACTTTTCACTTTGTTGGATTCACAATGTGGTAACAGGGGAAAAGTACCATTAGAATTGGTAAGAATATTTTTTTTGTAAAATACGAATCGGACTTCATAGTTTTCTTATATTTTAGGTTATTCTTTGGATAAAAATTGAGATGCGCCATTTTTTTTGCATCAAAACTAAAATGCACTACTCTTTTTTGCATCAAAATCTAAATGCGCCATTCTTTTCGCATCAAATTTGCTTTTAGGATAAAAAATCCTCTATATTTGCCTAATATCTTTCAGATAGCCTCCCAATGGCAGAACCTACAACACCAGTTTCCAGCCGGCTTCCTGGAATGCCTGGGTCGTGTAGCTCCTCCAGATGGCCTTCTGAACTTCGAACGATTCCTTGCCGGCTTTCGACTGGTCATCGCGAGCAGACAGAAGAATGTTCGACTGAAAAGAGTGCGAAGCGAAGGGAAACTCGACGAGATTGGACCGTATGTTTAAATTATTTTATTTGTAATACTCGGTAAATACGCGATCCGACGTGTCTGACCCGGAAATTTGTTAGAAAAAGTGGGGGAACGGTCCTGAAATGGGTTTTGTATATTGTTCAGTGTAATATGAGTAAAGGGAGATTAGTTATGCTGGTTTTGAAGCGGTTTTTCAGCAGAAATAGTGTATTTTAGTGAAATTTAGTTTATTTTAAACTATTGTAAAGAGATAATATGAGTTTGTTATTTTTATAATCTTCAGTAATAACTTTATCATTTTAGTACCGCTCGCCACCCAGCTATGGGTATAAATGGCCTCTTGGTAGAACAAAATCGGCCATATTCAGCATCAAGCAACGCTCGTGCTCTGAAAGCTCAGTACGGCTCCCAACCATCTCTGAACACTAAGTATATTCAACCTCCAGCGCCAATCCTACGACTGCCAGAGTCTCGCGACTACAGTTCATCGAATTACGATTATGTCAAGAGTGAACCATTCAGAAGGCCGGCTTCAGCTGGAGCTGGTGTATTAGTGCGGGCGGGAACGGAGACTAACACTACAACTTCTGACTCGTCGCCTTCTGAAAGCAACAATTACAGCGTCGTGATGCGGAGCCGCAGCAAGGTAGGGTTATTATGAACTACGGTAATTTTGAGCTTTAATTTAAAGTATATGTTGAGTTAGGGATATACGCTGTTATAGGCCTTCTTCAAATGCCAAAGTCGACAATTGAAAGGAATATGTTGTTTTTAGGTTGTTTTAATTTTAAAAAATGATTCTGGGCCTTCTTTCAAAGCTTATTTTTGGGGCTAAGGGACGCAGTATTATTTGAACAACCAAATATAAAAAAATCAAGATTAAAAATACAAATTTTATTTTTAGGGACCTCCAGTAGCCTCTACAAAGCAGATGCGTGCTCCAGCACCTCCACAGTCAAAGTCGATACACAATTTGCATCAGATTTTGAATGGAAACAGATATCGACCGGCTTCTTTGACTTCTTCTGGTAGTGGTTCTTGTAAGTTAATAGCATCTTTTGCAAAATATGTTCTTGTATTATAATTGTAGATTTTCTATCTAAAGTAAAATTGACCATATTCGACGTATTTTACACAAAAAGTATTTTGAATATGTTTTGAGGCAAAATTTTTGTTTTTTTTTATTTTGTTAGCATTGCTAACTTAGCAACTTTTTATTTAAAAAATCATGCAGGTTTAAGGTATACAGTATTTTTTGTATTATGTTAGATAAAATTCAATTTACTTTGCTAAAGCGAACACTGTTATTAACGCATAATATTCTTTGCGACTTTCAATAGCTGTGAAACGGGATTCAGATGCATTTTAAGTCAATTATTTGACAAAAATTTAAGTTTTCTTAGGAGTTGCATTGACAAATTTGATTTTTAAAGTTTAGGCATTAATCGTATTTTTATCGATGGCAAAATTATGCGAAAATGAAAGACTTAAAAGCAAAATTTTGATATTTATTTTTTTTTAAAATTTGGTTAAAGTTATATTTTTTGTCAACTTTTTTTGCGCTTTTAGTTTTTTTCAAAAAAAAATTTATTTATTAATTTTATTTGGGAATATGTTTTTAGGCTCTGGATCAAGTGGAATGGCTGAGGTTAGGTGGAATAACTCACGACAATCATCTTCTAACTCACCACCAGATTCCATACGTCAATATTCTGAAGATCATCTACCTCAAGTTGTAAGTTTACCTTTTATTCTCAGATTTTTTTACAGTCGTACTTGGTACTTTAACAGTTATATTGAGCATAGCAAAGTAGGAAATTCTCTGGCTAAGCGACTTTTAAGAAAAAAGTTGACAGGTTTATGTCTATAGTATTGATAGAGGTACTGCTGATGACGTTCCGGTCTATTTTTACCCCAAACTTTACGTTTTTATCGCAAAATTTAAAACTTTACAACTATTTATTAATTTTTACATTCACATACACATTTATTGCATTCACGACTTACAAACTTTTATACAATATAATATCACGCAAAAACACAACGAGATGGATCTATTTTCGGGCCGGACGAAAGCCTGTCCTAGCCAGAACGTATCGTTTGTTTAGCCGCATCGTGGGCTGGAACATGTCTACGGGTTGGAGGTTGCCGGGCATTATTGAGCGTTTTCCAGGTCTGGAAATTAATGCCATGAGGATATGTTGTGATAGGGTATGAGTAAATTAATGATATGAGGATTTGTTATAGTTGAGGTATGGGTAACTGACGGTTTTGTAGGGGTGGAAAACGTTTGATTTTTGACTAGGTTAAGATAGATGTAAAGCTCACCTGAAGTTTAGTCTGCTGATAGCAACACTTCGCTTTTCATTTCTGATATCCGGCTCTGAGAATCTTTCTGCATAATCTAGCACTTCAGGTGATGATAAGTAGACGAACTGATCTTTTTGTGGCTCCGTCTAAATAGATATATTATACAAGGCAAAGCTATGTCTATTAAAGCCCAAATTTAAAAAAATTAGCATTTTAAAACTTTTTGCACTTTTTGCAGCTGCTAGATTAAACAAAGTCATTTTAGTGCTAAATTTTTTTAAACAATGTTTTTCAAATGCAAAATTAAAGATTTAAATGCATTTTTGACTTACCAGATCTTCTTTGACAATACCATTGAGTCTGGAGGGCAGCGCGTCGATCACTATGACTGATGCGATCGCGAGTGCAAGCATTAATCCCGACCACATAACTGGTATAAGGTAGTGAAGTGAACACCAAGTGTCTCGCTCTAAATTGGCAAGATAATTAAGGTTGCATGTTAAAATAGCATTCTACGCGTAGCACGGCGATTTTAGTATTAGCGTAGAACTTACAAGCATTAAAAAAATTAAGGCTTTTCAAATAATAATGTGTGCCTCTAAACCGGAAAATTTGCTTTGAAAGCAGCACAGAATTATTTGAACAACCTAATCTTTACAAATTTTAAGAAAGTTACTACTATAAATGTAATGATGAAGTAAGATCTGTCTAATAACTATACAGGAGAGTGTAAGTTAATATTGGCTCATTTTACACACCTTTTGATCCAAAAACCCAAAATAAAGAAAATCTGTTAGCCAATGTAATAAACACGATTATTTAAACAATTAAAAAACCTCAGCACCTTCTGGAGCACGAGCACAAAGTGAGGGAGTAAATTTAGACACGAAAATGTAATTCGTATGTTTCTCGCTTTTTGTGTCAAGACTGACGTGAGTTTAGGACGTCTTTTTTGTAAAGGTTAAGCAACATACAACAATTACACTAGCACATATTACGCTAGCGCGTCGCAGATATCTAAGAAAAGATGCAAAAATGAATGTTAACGTACTTCAACAGTACGTTGTTATGGTAAGGGGTACTGTAAAAAAAGTGTAATTAAAGAATATGATAGTTGAGTATGAGTAAGAATATAATAAAGGATAGTGATAAGACGCTGCTTACATAGGTAAACATAAACTTCAAAACTTAAGATATAGGTATGTATAACTTCTTTGTAATCTAAACATAAAGAAAAGAATAACATCTTATATAGTTAGTATTATATAGTTAATATCTTGAAGTGGTACAAACCTTTACGTAGGAACATGTAGTGCTTACTACGTAGCTTATGACTCAAGACGTTAGACTAACTTTAAAAACAACTACAGTTTCTGTCATAACTTATGTATGACATACAAACCCTGAGAGCTTGGGAAACAAATTACAATAGATTGTACCTTATGTTATGGTAATTACCACAAACTTATACTCTATTTACGAATGTTTACAGTAAATGTGGGAGTGGCATTGTAATTACCACAAGATTCTACGTAGTGTGTTACTGATTTCCGCTAGATTTTGGGAATATGCAAACTCAAGTACCACGTACTTGTTGAGTATGAAAATACAAAATCCAAGCTAATTAGTTAAACAAAACCGTGGTATAGACAGAGAACGTTATATAATAAACTGTTTTGAGAAAAGCTATTACTACAACGCATATATCAGGCGATATGTACATTATGATGTAGGTTAAGATGACGATGAAAGGCTAGGTTACTTTGGTTTATAGCAAAGCTTGTAAAAAGTACAGCGAATAGAGGTAAAACTATAGTCAAACATAGTATGACCATCTGAGGCTAGGAAAAGTACTGTAACATAAGTATGCTCTAAGGAAACTTAAGTTGCTTTGTCTTTTACTTTTTACACTATGTAATTCATACGATAACTAAAACAATACTGTAGAAACTACGCGAAGCAGAAAAGAAGAGTAGACTCATGATGGCCTACAAGAACATGTTCAAAACGCAACATATATCCATGAGATGGTAGCTTAAAAATAACATGTTTGTCCACTCTACTTGAACCGTTATATTGTTTACCCAAGATGCGGTTCAAGATTTGTGGATCTTGTGCCATTATTAAAAATAGGCAAAAGTTCAATAGAATAGATATAGAGGACGTTTATGTAGGCATAAGGGGTTATAGTAAGTGTATCGACGGAAGAATTGATTGGAAAAGTCACAAAGTGTTGATAATAAAATACGACTATCGATAAATCGTTATATAATAGATAGAATATAACGGCAATAATGGCAAAAATAGAAAATAAGGAAAACTTCGGAACATTTGTTTACTCTATTCCTAGGAGATTCATTAAACTATTTTCATTATCTTGTAATAAATAACATGGAACTTGGGTACATACACTATCGTAATAACATGGATGTGGGTACACGAGCTATATTGACATAGTGTATTTTGTATAACAATTTCTAGTAAGAGGTAGCTAATAATAGGCATATACACGCTTTATATTGTAGAAAGTAAACAATAGGACTTTTTTAGCCTGATGAATGTGAAAAATATAATTTTGTGTATCAAGTTGTACGAATATGGATGAGCCGAAATTTTCAAAGTTAGGCGCTTTGAGTGGCTCATCTATATTCGGACAACCTGATACTAAAGAAGCCAGTAAGGGTACTAAAGAAGACAGTATTATATAGTACTAAAGAAAAAAGTAATAGTTCGTAAGACCACACAGTTAACGGTGCACTTATTACATTTGGTTTCATACAAAAGGTTATAGTGTTTTATAGGATTATGAAGGAGTAAAGAACACAAATTTACATTACAAAACGAGCTTATAGTAATTGCAGCTTTTTTTGAAATTATTTCAAAAATTGGTTTAAAAATAGTTTTGAAAAGGATTTCGTATAGTAATAATAACCAGAAACCCTACAACATAAGCTTATGTATAGACCAAAACAGTTGGTAACATACGGAGGGAAATATGCTAGAAATACGGAGAGATATATGCTAGTAACTAATGGCAAAACTAAAGAGAAACTCCATATATTAACCTTGCTATAGTAGCAACAGTAAAGATCGTTTTGTACCCCGAAATATTATTGAAGTACTATGACTTCAATACTATGGCTTCAGGAATTGAAATGTGGGTTCAAGTTTGAAGGTTCGCCCCCTAAAGCGGCTTTTACGAAAAAATCTAAAAATGCTGTCATTTTTGGCATAAATTAATTGCGCGACAAAAACAATACGCTTAAAATGTTTGTGAAAGGTTTGCAGACAAATGTCTGGACTTATTTATAAATTTTATGGTAATTGGAAAGTTCATGCTGATCTACAGTGGCGTTACCTAGGCTATACCATAGTATTTTTATTTTTATACTATGGTGTAGCCTAGGTACCAACAAAATTTCTGAGTTAAGAAAAAAAGAGTTTTTAGTATTTAAAATTTAGAAAAATAGTACCAAACACACGTACTGCTACGTGCAATTTTAAGGTTATCGTGCTATTGCGTTTCAAAATTTCAATAATACTTTTTAAAATTAAAATGCTACGAAAAACTAAAGTACGACGTCTGCGGAACTAAAGCATTTTACAATTTTTAAAACTCATACAGTAAGCTCCTTAGGTTGTAAAAACTTATACTAAGTGTTTGACACTCTCAAATTCTAAGCCTGTACAGAAAGCTTCTAAAATTCAAAAAACGTAGAGTGAGCTTCTGAACTATACACAATAAGCTTCTCAATTTGCAAATACTGTTTTCGAATGAGAAAGCTCTTGATTATATAATAGTATAAATAGCCAGCCCTTGTTTTTAGTTTCCCCAAAACCTTTGATGACTAAACGAATGTGATGTAGCGAATAAATTATAAATTGAAAACGAATGTGAACAGCTTGTCAATGATGTTGTTCGTCTACGTTATTAGTTCAAATATATACGAATCATACAGTCATCATACAACACATCATCGTATTTTAATTTTACATAATAGTAAGGATATAAGTGGCTTCTTAAAATTTAAAAATTTAAAAGTTTAGACGTACAATGGAAGCACCTTAGGGCAGTTTTTTTAGAAACATAGGGTAAAGTATCATTTCGAACATTTTTATCATCGGAGTTTCTGATAACGAGCTTTTACAGTAAAAATAAAGATTTAGTACAAATTTTTACAGTTATTGTAGCTAGTACTAGCCAAAACCTGTAATATATTATCAAAACTGAACCTACAATAGCTAAACCTTTTGATCTAATAAAACACGCAGTAATTTACCTGTAATTACCTTTCAGATGTAAAATTGAATTTGCTCTACAAATTAACCTGAAAATGTAATTTAAATGTAACTGCACGTCAGTTGTAAAGTTTTGTAAACTTTTCGGGTTTTATAAAGGTTAAACTGACATGATATACATTTTGGTTTTTACCAATAACAAGTCATAGTGTAACATGACTTAATACAAATTTGGCAAAAATGTTAAACTGACATGTTATACATTTAAAACTGGCATGCTATACATGTTTACACATGTTGTTGTATCTCATGTCGAAAACACTAAAATAACTTATGGTTAGCTTGGCATGTTCAAAGTTACAAAAATACTCTTGACTTACACGATAACCTAGATTTCACTTGAAAACTTGGGTTATCCTGTTTTAAACTTTAAAAATGCTTCAAAGTTTGTTTAAAATTTTAAAAATATTTTGTCATTCGACCTTAAGAAAAATCTAAAGGTTTTATATAGCACAAAACATAGTACGTACGTTGACCAGGAACATGCAAAAAGTTGTAAAGTGTTCTAGTGACCTGATATTAGTAATGTCATTATTGCTGACTTAATATTACAATTCTAAAGGTTTTGCTTAGCTCATTCTTTGAAATTTGTTACGTAATTGAAATGATGATAAGTTACTAACCTTTGAGTTAGAATACGGCTTTACTTACTTAATAATAAAAATAAATAAAAGCTAAAAGGAAAATAACTAAAGTGTTAAAAATATACGTTATACTGATCTTATAATACATTTTCTGGCCGTTTAATAAAAAGCTAGTTTCGATTGAAAAATGTAAATATTCACCCTTGTGTAATGTAAATACTGCTGAGAAAGTAATTACTACAAGTTCATATGCGTTACAGTGGTATGAGAAAACGGTAAGTGATCTGTATATACAAGGCTTTGTGACTTTGTTTCTTGTTAATCACAAGAGAACGCGGTTAATTGAAAATATACTTAGGTATTGTAAGGTAACATGCACACTGTTGATATAGTAAGGTTAATGAAAACAAATAATTTTTGAATTTTATAAGTTAGCGTTTAAAGCAGCTTACTTTAGAAATTGAAAATGAAATAAACTAGTTATTATTATTGGTACTACTAATTGCTATCAAAATTTGACTGTTTACCATAGTACCTACCGTTAAATTAATATCGCAACAACACCCTACAGCCTCTTTCCTCTTCCACCTCATTTTAGTCTTTTAAACTCTAAAAAAAGCTTAAGGCAACGATTCTAATATCATAGTTTCAAGGATTTAATTTAATATCCTTATACTGACTCTTCCGTATATATTTACTATAACCCACACGTCATACGAAATGACTTGTCTATTGTCCCGGTGCCAAACTTCATTGTGCCCATAAATACGATAGGATTGTTTGGTCAGTATATAGTATGCAGAGGGGTGGGAGGGACTTCTTCTCACAGCAAATGTAAACGGAACGATGTTGCAATGGGGGCAGATTATGGGGAGGAAGATGTGTACTATATTGACAGACATCGTATGTTATACAGTAGACTTCTTAGTAACATACGAGGTCTGTGACAGAGATGCTATAAGTGTTACCCAAAACCATAAGAAATGACATAGGTCACAATGCCATCAAGGCCACGTGTTGTTATGATCACGTGGTTATTGTTCTGGGGAAAGATTACAATTGTAAAACTACCTCATGACTCATGTGTTTGTTTGTTGATGATACGATAAAACAAAGTGGTATAGGTTTATGACTCGTCTGCTATAGCATTAAACTGGATTGTAAATTCTTTATAATGACACTTTATATTGAATCTGATAGGATTCAGACCGATTTAACGTAAATTAATATTGTTCCAATTAGGCAAAGTAAAAAACAAGAGTTATGGCAATTTTCTACAAAATAAATGGGGATTTTAACATTGTAACTTACAAAAAATAGGAGGATTTTGAGATTATTAACAGACAATGCAGTAGTTTTGTCATTGTTATATTATATGCATTTGTAGGAAAGATACGTCTGCGACAGTGTTTTGCCGGACCGGACCGGACGGACCGAAACAGAAATTTTTGCGGACCGGACCGGACCGGACCCAAAAAAACCCTGCAGACCCGGACCGAAGAAAAAGCTCCGGACCGGTCCGGAAGAAAATTTTTTTTTAATTTTAAGAAAACTGTTTTAAAAATTGCAAATAAAACATATTTTTAGGTGTTTTTAAGCAAAAAGAAAGCAGTTTTAGCGACCCTTGCTTTTTTTAAAAATTAAAAAAAATTTTTTTGCGGACCGGACCCAAAAATTTTGGGTTTGGACCGGTCCGGACCGGACCCAAAAATTTGAAGTTTGGACCGGACCGGACCCAAAAAATCGCCGGACCGGACCGGTGAAAAACGCTCCGGACCGGTCCGGGCAAAACACTGGTTTGCGAGTAGACTATAAAACACAAAATTTAAAGTACTAGAGGGTGTTGTAGTCTTATCTTTATAGTGTTGGATAGGTAGGCTTTGGTAGGAGAAGGTAGGGTAGGTTAGGGTACGTTACAGTAGAGTAGGGTAAAGTAGTTTTGGGTGGGATGAGATGGGCCACGATAGGATAGGGTAAGATAGGGTTGGGTGGACTACAGTAGCAAAGTAAAATAATATTCTTAATATACCAAAAGCTAAAATTATCTTTTTTTTTGTAGTTGACGTAAGTAAATGAGTTCAAACCACACTATGTACAATTATGTAACACATACGACAATGTTCGTGTATGTATTTTTAGTCGTATGCAAATAAAAATACTGAAGTTTTGTCTCACGCTCGGTTACTTTCACAGAAACATCATATTGTTAAAGTAACAGGGTTTTGCATGTAATTCGATAAGGCCATTGATTGTACATGGTCTACAATTACCACAATGAACTTTTAGGTTTTATTCGATTATATTTTGCGTTGTGGTAGGCTAAGGTATCGTTGAAAATGTTGAGGGAGGACTAAGATATAGATGATAATAAAATATTATGTTAGGTGTTAGGGGATTTGCACAACTATAAACTACAATAAAAACTATAATAATATTACATTTAAGGTATGTATATTGTAAGAATAATAGTATATAATTAGTTACTAAACGGATATTCATTATATTACACATATGTACAGAAGAGTAGGTAATTAATTTAAATGATTGTAGGTGTTAATACGGATGTTTTAAACATATATAATTGCATGCAACTGTCTATCTTCTGAGAAGGCAACATATAATAATAGTATACAACATACAGTTATATAGAAAGTAATATAAATAAAAAAGAGCTTGCAATAGTATTTTATACCCTTTTACTGTAGTAAAAACTCTAAACTTTTTACACTTTTACCACAGTATAAAATTCAAAAATTAATAAAAAAGTGAATTACTTTGGCGCGTTTATATATCACGTCATTAATGACATGAACCGATATGTATTTAGCAAAGAATAGCCAAATAGCACCCTAAGGCAATAAACCCACAGTAAGCTTTTTGTGTAGGGCCGAGTAGAGTAAGATTGTTGTTTAGAGAACATGATATTATTGTTTAGGTTAAGTATAGTAAGGATGTTATTTCAGTGACCTGATGATTGTTTTTAAGGATACCAGGAAATGGTAGTTTATAGGTAGGGTAAGATAAGGTAGGGAGTTTTAAAAACAATGACATCTATTTTTGTTTTTCAAGGTATTAATAACGTCAAACAAGAAACAGTAGCATATGTAATAAGGGTAGACGGTAAATAAAACCAGAGGATTATATTATATAGGCATTATATATATTTTTATAGGCATTATTGGCAAATGAAAATCTTAAATTACTTAAATGATTAGGCTGCTCAAATAATTCTGTGCCCCCTAATCCCAAAAATGTGCTTTGAGAGGGGCACGGAATTATTTAAACAACCTAATAAGTCAACTTTAAAATAAAAACAATATACCCCACAAGAAAATTTCATTGCAAATAACAATATGTTATCTATAGTAAAGTCTACTAAAAATTTTTAACTAAAGTAAAGCCTTTATACTGTTATAGCAGAGTACAAGGTGATACCGAATACCGAAAGTTTCTTACAAAGACCAATGATAACATTGATTTTAAATACCTGGAATATGTTTCTGATACGTAGAATTGGCCAGATTACTATCTTACTTATATTATACTTAGTGACTATTCTGATAATAAGGAAGTCGACGTAACTATAAAAGGTATACGTGATTACTTAACACCTATAGATTTACGAGGGTTAAGCTATGTCATGTGGTAATCTTTAAGTACATTGATAGTATTAACTTGCTCAGAGATGTTACATGCAAAAATTTGTTTTTTGTGAAAAATATAGTTACAAAATTTTTAAGCGCTAAAATATGAAAAAATATGCTTTATTATATACTTTACAATATACAATATGGTAGTATGTGTTGTAAAACATTACAGTTTACCATATAAAAGCAAATTAAATTGAAAAAGCTTTATGTAAAAAGATATATGATCACACAAAAACGTACTAAAGATGCTGCACAATACCGTAAAGAGCACTTTCAAGGCTCGTATGGCTGTCTTCTATTTTGTGGCTCACTTCAAGCTCAAACCGTGAGAAACATGCCAAATTAGGGGGTGGTAAGTTGAGTAGGAAGTGTTTTTTAAAATAAAGTTCAGTAGGGTTCATGATTATAAAACAAGTTGACTTTCCAAAACACGCCATTTCTACATTTCAGTGTTAGCTTGCTAATGGTAACTACAATATATAGCGATATTTAAACCACAAGACGTATATATAGCACGTAAGCATAATTGTAATCGTATGTTCAAACAATAGATGTATCAAATTTTGATAAATGTTTAATTTGCCAATCCCAGACAGGTTATTATAAAACAATGTAAATTAAAACGGAAACCCGTTTCCTTTTTGGAAGATACGATGAGTTGTAGGAAGATACGATGAGGGGTAGGAAGACACTATGAGGGTAAAAAGATACGATGAATTATGAGATTTACAAGTCCGTTAATTATATATTACACTTCTAATTAACCGGTTTACTGTAACGTCTTTCTAGTTATATATTAAAAATGACGAGATAAATGGGGGGGGGGTTAGACTATATTGTTACAGTATTAGATTGCAAGGTAAACAACATAATATATGTTATGTAGGTAATGGTAAGCAAAAAAAGCAAGTTTGATTCACTAAAAAGTTACGGTAGTTTGAGAAGTATCAAGAAGATTACTGTAGCTTGAGGGTGAAATCGAAGGCGATAATAAGGGATATAACGAATTTGAGGGGGGGGTGGTTGACTTTACAATTTATAAGCGGTATTTAATAAAAAAGCACCTATTTTTCTTAAAGGACCAGTTCGCCCATTCAAATATCATTGGCATTCTGTCGCAAAAAGCGTCGAAAATCAGGCAATTTCAATCAAAATCATTTTTCTCAAAAAACGTGAGTGGGTCGGTGTCGAAATGAATTTTCCAATTTGGGACCGACCTGCTCAGGTTTTTTGCGAAATAAATGAACGTCGAATTTTTGCGACAGAATGCCAATGATATTTGAATGGGCGAACTGGTCCTTTAAATACGACAATGTATAGAAGTCAGTATCTATATATACATTTGAGTACAAGAAACCACCCTCTTTGCCATACTTCCTTATTGTGATGATAACATTTTACCTATCATAAATTTCCAAAAACTCTCAATGTTTCTTTCCCAGTACATACCATGTTCCTATAATAATACGACAGACGTTTACTGCGTATTTACACTTATAATTAAGACAGTCGTTTCAAAAGATTTGTAGAATTAATGTAAATCCAGCTTTTGTCAAGTAATCCATACGTATAAGTCGGTATACAATATGGTTAGCATAACAATAGGTAGGTGATATGTAAGAGTAGAGAACTGTGAGGTAGATGGCACTTTATCAATAGAAACTGTGGTACGTGATATGTATAAGGTGTACTAGAGCAAATTATGTATAGTATGTTGTCGTACTGGGAATCACATTTGGGAGGTGATGTGTCTGTCACAAATGTCACATTTTATTTGTCTACACATAGTTTGGATAGGATTACATTGCACTTTTACTATAGTAGAAAGGTTATATTTTTGTGGTTTTTTGATTTTTGATGACTAGAATATGACTTGAGTTTGTGTCATTGCATAAGTACAGTAGACTTTTGTTATAACGCCTAGCTTAAGTTGCACTACCTTGTCCGACTACATTCTACTCTACTTTACACTACCTTAACCTACTCTACCTTAACACCATACCTTGCTCTGCTTTATATTATCTTACCTTACCGTAGACCACCCACCCAACCGAGTCTCATAGTACTTATTAACATATCTAACGACTGTCACCATAGTAAACATATTTATATTTCAGGAAAAACACGAGCAGTTACTGAAAGAAGAAGGCCAAATTGTACAGAAAGGATTGGAGGTTACAAAACAATTACTCAAATGGTACGAAGACCGCATCCAAAGCCTGGAGAAGCGAAAGCGAATGCTAAATAAGGGCATGGTGGCATTGGTAAGTAATATAATGTATTTTTATGGCATTATATTACCCTTAACATATGATTTTTAATTTTTGCTACGACAGTTGCTCTATCTGCCTAGAAGGCTCATCTAACAGAAAACAAAGAGCAGAAGCACATTTTATATTATATAATATAATACATAACCTACACCCTAATCTATAACAATGCCATTTATAATGTTGCAGGACTCGGCCGTGCACGAGCAAAAGCTCAACTTCCAACGTGCCCAAATCACGGCATTAAACAGGCGAATGTGCACATTAATGGCATTCAACGAAAAGGGCTTTCCATCCCATGACAATCTACAACACATTCGGAATCCAGTAAAACCTCCAGAGAACTCGAATTACTCTGTCGTCGAACAACCAGCAACAACAGCGATGCAACTTCTGAAACAGAACAAGAAGCTGGCAGAAGAATTAGAAGCCAAAAGTAGACAGATCGACATTTTACAGAGAGAGAAGAGGCTACAGGACTTGAGGGACATCGAGAAACAGAGAAATTGCAATAAACGGTAAGTATGGGCCATATATGGGTATTACATTTTTGAAATTCTTGTTAAAAAATTTTGAAAATCTTATGAATTTTTAGTTGGTAATGCCAAAAATGGCAAAAAACGTTAAAATGCGAAAATTTTTAAGAAAAAATTCTTAAAATAAAAAAAAAATTTTAATTTTTGGAATTGAAATTCAGTTCCTTATGGCTAGGTTTTACACAACAACTTTCTTTTACTAAACAATGTACTAAAAGTGATCACAAATTTCTGGCCTACCTATTATAATATTTCAGAGACGTTCCCAACTACATTCACCGCCCAGCCGCTTTGGTAAGACCAGCCGTGGCTACAAAAAACTACTCACAAATCCCATTGAAGGTTCATGATACTTTACTGTGATTTTTCTATTTATAAATATATAATTGTAAAACAAAGGTACTAACATCATTTTATCATCACTTTTGGTAATTATCGTAGCTCTTCTGAAACCTTATAATTTATTTTGGAAAAGATTTTAGGTATGAATATTAAAAAAATTCTTTTACTATTCTAATTTTTCAACTTTTTACCATTTTTAAATGATTTACCAACGATATTCCACTGAAAACGCAATTCATAATATGATATTATCAAGCTTTTACTAACCAAAAACAACAATAATGTAAACCATAATCTAAAATCGACCAAATATATACCCATAAATGAATTTATGCCAAAATAAGTTTGTTTATGACATTATCTATCTTTCGACGAGTCCAAACTCGACCGTTTCTGTCTGTCACCGGCCAAAAGCAATGAAGCTGCTGCTTGACTCAAGCTCAAACTGTTGGTTTGACTTGTAATATTCTGTGGGTTATCGGCGGATCCTCGTCTCGATGGTACTGGGGATTGGAACAGTGAGTTTCGTTGTTCTCTTTCCACTATAAACACGTTTTTGCGTTCTTCCGTTTCACCAATTCTGAAATGAATAGAGTCAGAGTGTGTGGCAAACACAATCAAAAAAGTGAAAACTAAAAGAAAAAACGTATTTTTATACCTAAATTCATATAAAGCTATTAAAAAATAATGTTAAAATATGACGGAAATAATTGAGGTTTTTAAAATTACGAGAAAATAGATCAACGTTCCGATCGAAAAAAGACAAAAAGAAAAGTAAGAGGAAGGAGACCGTGGTCCCGTGGCGTAATGGATAACGCGTCTGACTTCTAATCAGAAGATTGCGGGTTCGACCCCCGCCGGGACCTATTGTTTTTTTGCTTCTTTTTAACGTGGCTATCATTTCAAAACTAAAAAAGATGTGATAATGGCAAAGTTTACACATTTAGTTTGTTGTCATAAACCTTATTTTTTTATAAATACTAATTATAAACCCTGATGTTCTTGTCTTCTCAATTTTTAAATTAAAAAAATACTACTATGCTAACAAAAAATTCAAGCAACGTATCAAAGTAATCAAATACTTACTTATCATAAATAATGCCCTCAACACATAAATCTCTTCTAAAATAGTCAATGTTTTTCGGTGCATCCAGATCGTCGCCCCAGACAAAGCTGACTAAACGTAGCCTTTTGGCTCTTTCGACCGGTCGGCGATCTTTCAGTAGCTCTTCTGAATGAAAATTACATCCCAAAATCTTTTCGGATTTCGCGAAATTAGCAGCTACAACAGAGTCGACGGATCGTTTGTCCACGAATGGCACGTATCGTTCCGTAGCTCCAACACATAGGAATAACGTTGGGAATAGGCACTGCTTTCTGGCGATCCTGCAAAAATGAGCTTTGAACAACATTATAAATGTTTTCTTTAAAAAGTTGAACTCTTGAACCGTAAAAAAAACCTTGATAAACCCCTAAAACGTCATAGTAAGCGCACTTACATTGAGCAAATGTCAGGTTCGAAGCTCGAAAACACTATCCTTCTGGTGCCAGCATTTTCAATGACATCGTGCAGGATGCGGTCGATAAATTCGTTCCTTTCAAAATAGTTTTTACATTCATGTGATCCATCCAGCAGCTCCATGGGGTACTTGACCTCTACATTAAAACCCGTATAAGCTGGTACCCGTCTCAGTACGTCTACTAGTGTTGGAAAGGGTCGATGTTCGTCAGATTCATCTGGTGCTCCTGTCACTTTCAACATATTCTTGTTTTCTTGGGCTTGATAGTGCTCTACCTAAAAAGGTACAGTTGAAATAGTTTAAAAAAGCCATATTATTCTTTTTAAACGTAACCTCTTATCTATACATTTTTTGGTTTAAAATGACTTTTTTCCAAACCTTCTAACCCTGACCTACTATAATAGAACAACTTACATGTAGTAGCCTCAATTGCTGTAACCGCAGGTCCTTTACAGCGATTTCATGGTAATCAGCATTCCCAATCTGAATATTCTCTGGATGTGGCTTCTGAGGGCCACTTTTGCCAAAAGCTGCTGCATCTGTACCTCGATTCACGTCGATTTCTTTGCTCGATGTGCTTCTTTTCGCTACAGCAACCAGGACATGAAAATCGTGAAAAACGACCGCAATCTTGTCTTTGGTCAATTGAACGTCAAATTCCACAAAATCAGCACCTTTTTGAGAAGCATGGCTCAATGAGTGAATCGTGTTTTCTCGGACTGTCGATGCTCTTAAAACCAGTACTTTAAGTTTTTAATTACAATTTTTTTTTGAATTTTGGATATTAGCCTCCCTTTATTTTTTTAAACATTAAAAAGTTTTTTGATGACAAAAATACAAAATTCAAACGTTTTTGTCACAAAACCCCTCTTCTCCAACTAACCTTGCAAAAAACCCCTCTTCATTTCTTTTCCTTTCTTCCTTTCGTTTTGAGAGAGAAAAAAGAGAATAAGAGCGTGTGGTCCCGTGGCGTAATGGATAACGCGTCTGACTTCTAATCAGAAGATTGCGGGTTCGACCCCCGCCGGGACCTAGTGTCTTTTTTGCCTTTTTTAAGTTGTTTTCGCCTAACTCTTATCATTATTTTACATTCTAACATAATTAAAACAGTAAAAGTTCTGTTTTTGCAACTTTTTTAAATTTTTATATTCAATTCTACTTTCAAAAAGTTCACTAATAAACGTTATTTCAATTTTCAAAAGCAATATGAAGAGAAGGAAGGTACATTTCGAAGTAAAACTCACTTTGTATACGAATTTCCAAAACCTCTGTGGCCGACTTCAACAGTTTTTCGTTTTTTCCAATGTCGTGTGTAACATCTTTCCATTGTGAGTCTGGTTGTGAGGTCATGAGACAGTGCTTTGATCAGTAAGTAGTCTACTATAACATAAAAAAAGTTAGAGCTCGTGTTTTAACTCAAAATTTTAAACTTTTCAAAGAAAAATAATCCAAAACTAATTTAGAGAAAGTCATTTTCATCAATTCCCACCTACTTATAGATATGCACCCACCTTTCAACTGCCCAATAGGCATTTGGTTCTTGGCCAGTATAGGTACCTGACTTTGGCCACAAGTGTCCATTTTGGCCGAAAACATAAAGTAGGCTATGCCAACTCGATCCACCTTGATTGACCTCTTATTCTCGGTGACATAGCTCACTTCCTTCAGTAGCGAGTTGTGAGTTTTCCTCGATATTCCACACGTTTCGAGGGTTGTTTCACAGACTTCGTCTTCTTCGATGGTAGGAGGTTGGGTGGGCTTCTTGGTACGGTGTTCTGTGAACAATTCTATTCGAAAGGCCTATAATATTACGTTTAAAAAAAATTGAAATAAACAACTTTTTTTTAATTGTTGAAATTTATCGTATAGTCCAACAATGAATGAGCCAAATAATGCCGTCCTCTTTGAACAGTTCATCCATAGCTTGACAACAAAATAACTTTTTTTTGAAAATTTTAGCTTTTTGAAACCTATTTTGAACTTAAAACTTTAAAAACTTTTAAATTAGACTAAACTTTCATTCAAAATGTCATCATACCAAAAACTCCGGGGCAATCGACTGTGTTCTGAAGATGAATATACTAGTGTTGTAGTAGAGCTGCCCAGACACTTTTTGGTCAGAAAACGTTGGATCTGCGTCGTGCTTTGACAATACCTACAAAAGATTTATGAAGCACAGAATTATTTGAAAAACCTAATATATTGACATAGACTTACAGCAATTTCAGTTTGAGAAAAGCTTGGAAGTGCAGGTAATTGGGTAGGATTAGAGGCATCTTTGTCATCTGTTTCGTCTTCTAGACTTCCTGCCTGAAAATATTACATTACCTTAGGTATATTACCGTAAGATTGGCATGAATATCCAATATGAAGGTATATGTATCTCTACAATACTATACAGTACTGACACCACAAAATATTATGTATAGTACTACACAATACTATACAGTACTAACACTATACAATATATACAGTATTAAGGCCTCACAACACATATATATACACATATATTACACTGTTCGTATATACAGATGACATTCGCCACAACGTGCGGCCCTTTTGGGCTCGGTTATAAGGGTTGTATTCCTGAAATACAGTATGCTATGGTAATGTCTTTTTCATTTTTTAATTTTTTTGAACTTTTTGTTTGATTACTATCATCAGTATACACCTTACGGTAGAAGATTTAATTTTTAAACATGGTTTGCTATGTAAAATACGCGTTTAATATCATACATGTGCAAGCAAAATTTGTATATTTCGGTCAAAAAGTTCTTAGAATCATTATTTTACCGTTATTTACTTATACTTCATGATTTCTACGTAATTTTTGACCAATCTGATACCACATCCTACTCATCAATAACCTAACTACTACCAAACCCTCCTCATCTATATATGTAGCTATAGCCCCGATATGTTATTAGGTTGTTCAAAAAATCCTGAGTCCCTTTCAAAGCACATTTTTGACGTTAGAAGGCACAGAATTATTTGAACAACCCACTATTACACAATAATCTTCATAACCCACCTCCTTCCTCCTCAAGTCGAATGGAGTTATCTTGATGTAGTATTGTCGCTGTTGATGTCGCTCTTTGTAGAATGTCATACAACGGTCATATAAAAATAGTCTGACTTCAGTCTGGACTTGGTGGTTTAGCCAGCCATCTGCTATCAACTTTTTTCCATCTATAATAAAATTAGTTTTTAAAAATTTTGAAAAAAATAAAAATTTTTAAAAGAATTTTAAATTTTAAAATTTCAAAAAATTTTAAATTTTTTAAATCGAGAACGTAAAAAGTCGTATTTTACCCTACCATAAATGCCGAACTCATGATTCTGATGAATGACAGGCTCGTCTGATAAGGGAATCAGAGATCGTGGCGTCCATTGAGCCTCCCATCGACTGACTATCCTAGTCTTACTGGACTGATCGTTAGAGGCTTGCAAGTAATATCCAATAAAATATCTGAATTTCAATGGTTCTTTCGGTCGAGGCTCGAATTTAATGGTCGTGTGCCATAGGCTAAAAGTTTGAAGTTAATATTGGATTTTTTTTTAAATTATAAAAATTGCTAAAATGAAGAGGGCTAGGTCTATAATTGACAAAAATAGACTTAAGTAGGACTAAAGTAAACAGGAATAAGCTTGAGCCAAGCTAAAATGAGCAGGGATAGGCTTGGATAATGCCATAATAGGCAGGGGTAGAAAATTAGATAAAACTGAAATAGACAGGCTTAACCTTAGGGAAGGCTAAAATGGTCAGGAGTAGGCTTGGGTAGGGTTAAAATGAGTTTACATTTAAGGGTAGCAGGAGAGGAGTGACATATTCAGTAAGGTAATCCATTTAAGGTAGCCTATTTCTAAAAGACCACAAATTTTCCCCCAGCCAATGATAAATCTACCTAAAAACCAAAAAAACAAAAAAACGTTACTTTTTGACCGGATCCCTCTCCAACTCGACCGCTCTGTCAGGTTCCCACTTCCCCAGTTGGCGGACGTTTCCAACGATGAACACCGACTCGAACTGTCGTATTAAGTGGCAGTGAACGTTGAAGTTAATCTCAAGCCCATTTGATGACATGGTTTACCCTAAAATCGACCGGTAACTCTCGGTTTTGGGCCGCCGACCGGTCGCGAAGTAAAAGAAAAATGAAAATTTAAAGTTTGAACTTTAAAAAATTGGATTTGAAAAGATTTAATGTGCTAAATTTGCATAAATTTGATTCAAAATAGCACAAATTCAAAAATCTAAAAAAATTGAAAATTTCGAAATTTTTAAATTTTTCAAGCTATCCTCGTCAAAAACCATAATTACGTGCCCGGCCAAACAGAATGTTCGAAAACAATCCCAAAACATACTCGAAACGAGAACAATACCAATATTCTTATCTGGCCTTTTTAGGAAAACTTGGCCGAACAAATCCAATAAATGCAAAAAACTTGGCCCAACACTTGTTTTCGGTCCAAAAAAGAACGTAACTCACTATAATATGACACATATACTCATGAGATGGGTTGGACTGTTTTCGTTACTTCATGATTAAGGGAGGGCGGAAAAGGGATTTAACTAAGGGTAGAGAGGGGCGAGGAAAAACCTTAAATAAGGGTTGGAAAAGGCGGGTAAGGGCTTTTAAAAAAGGTGGGCAGGGGCAGAGGAAAGTTTTAAATGCGTTAGAAATGGCAAATAAGAGCCTTAAATTAGAGTAGGGTAGACCAATAAAAAGGTCGGGCCCAATTTTTTGGCCTGGCTTAACAACCGGACTTTCCATTGAGCCTAAGTCCTCTGGCCCAAAAGTGCAAGCCCGGCCCGATCCGTTTCAAATTTTTTCCAGTGCGGTCCCCTTAATTAGTTCTAAAATAGGAGAAATTTTAACCTGCCAAAAATTTTAAAAAAAAGATTTATATGACCCCCCCCTGTTTATTATTAAAAACTTTTTCTTACTTTACCCTCCCCGTTCCCTGCCCAAAAACAAAATTTCCATCTAGCCTTAATGAACACAATAATAATCAAATTGTACCCCTGTCAGCTCTCAAAACTTTAATTTTAGCCATTTTCTGCCCTATCACAAGAACTTCCAAACCCTATTAAAACCTTTCCCACACCACAAAACCCCCCCCTTTGGCGGTGAAAAAGCTGAAAAACTAAATTAAGTTACTTAATAGAACTTTAGAAGAGCTTATGAGTCTGGAGAGGAGGCTAGGCCGAAACTAAAACAAATCATTTATAATTAATGCTCTCAAGGTTTCGGCCCAACCACAATTAATTTTGCTATGTGTTTTCCCAAGGAATTTCGAAAAATTTGACAAATTTGGGTTATTTTAGGTATAAAATAAATTATGGGTACTGTTAAGTTGTTCAAAAAATTCTGAGCCTCTTAACCCAAAAATTAGTTTTGAAGGAAGCACATAATTATTTGAACAACCTAATATTAACATGATATATGATAAAATCATTCTGTTGTCTTTGTTATACAAAATTAAATTTTAGGTATTAGTAATTGATATTGTGATAGACCTTAATTATATGTATATTGTGAACTAATGAAAACCATTTACAAGTATAACCTTAAAATATAACATCAAAATGCAACTAAATAGCACATATTACCTACATCAATATACATTTTTAATAAAAAACCTTCAATATGATTTTAAAAGTTAGAAAAACATAAAAAGTGACAAAAAATAGTAAAAAACTAAGTTAACTTGTAAAATACGACTGTCACAACATCAAAGCTTCGCAAAGGGGTTTCATCGTACGTTTTTTTCCCTAAAATATCGGATTTTTGGTAAGAGAAAAAGAAACCCAAAAGCGGCCGTGCTTTTATCGTTTCTGGCTTCTGTTCCGGCCCTCAGGGCTTTTGAAGAAGATTTGTCAAAATATCAAATTTAATTTTTTACTATGCTACTCTTACCGAGCTGCTCTTTGTTACTCCTATTGAGTTGTATATAAGTACGTCTACGTAAAGCATAATAATGTAATGTACACCACGTATAATATAATAATATAAGTGTAGTAGGAAAGTCTTGTCGCTTTTTATACTTTAAATAAGTTCATTAAAAGCGACAAGACTTTTTTAAACCTTCATATCATAAAGAATATACCATAGCTTATCATTTAGATATAGGTATAAGTAAATACGGCCTTACAACACTATAAAACCCCAAGTATAAACTTAAATACAACCATATCTTCATCATCAAAAAACCCACAGTAACTCCTTTATACGATAAACCAACAAAATACATGACATACAAACTGATATGTACAGTTACTCCTCAGTAATCTTGAAATTGGCCATTTTAAACGTCGGTCGTTTAAATACTCTGGCCGGGATCATTCGAGTGTAGAACACAAACCATAGTATTAGTGCTACGATGAGTACGATCATCTCCAGAAGCCACGCCATTTGAGGGCCAAACATTGTGTACAAGCGACTGAAATAGGCTAGTGTTAATGTAAATTCCAAAAGTAAACTGATTATAAATGGCATCTTTAATTATGAAGTTGTTCAAAATATTCTGAGCCACTTTCAAAGCAAATTTTCTTAATTTGAGGCGCAAAATTATTTGAACAACTTAATATTACCCTGTTACATATCCATTTTTTTAAATTTTATGCCTTACCTCAACAAAATAGGTCCAACGATCCTGCCAGCCGACCCACTCAACAAGAACCAGCTCTGAGGCTGAGCATCGTTCGTGTTCCCCAGAATCCTCAAGAACAACGTTCCCAATGCCAGATTCATATTCGGCATACAAACTCCGAATAGCACAGCAAAACAGATGATATACAACCAGAAGTTGATGGGTGTCACAATCTCGCACCAGCCATAGACATCGGTATCACAGCCGGCTTGGGTGGTGTTACCCATAAAGGTATGTAAACTGGCATTCGAAGAGTAGAAACTGATTTTTCCGGGAAAGAAGGGCCATGTGTAGGTAGCTAGGTAGAATAAGAGTAGACCACTTACTGCTGATAAGCAGATCTGACGAAGATTGATCCACTTTTCGATGTCAAAGAAGGTGTACATGTTGTGGATGGTAAAGGTTAAAAGACCCATCAGAAGTTGAGCTACTAGCATCGTGAAGACAGATTGTACTCGGTTGAAGGCAAACATTACCATCAGGAATACTGTGCCGACACTCAAAAGGTCTTACTTACTAGGTAAACAAGTTTATATACATATAAATACACCTATACCCATACCTATAGTTATGTTAAAGACTACATTTTAATCTATATCTACAGATATATCCTTCCTTGCCATATCAAAGCCAAAACCTTAATCCATATTCCTACCTTTATCTACAGCTACATCCCCACTTATATCCACAAATTCCACCTACAACAACATAACTTACGTCTCCAAGTTAGTAAATGCGAATAACTGTGCGAATCTGGTGAACAAACATACGACACATGCCCATCGATCGTATGGTAACGCAATAAACTCGTTCTCCTTCAACATCTCAGAATGCATACGATCAACGTAACATTCCTCGAATACGAACAATACCAAGAAGATACCCACAATATTGATTAGACAACACAGTAATGGAGCTCCAGTGTACATGTTGAGACGTACATTCTCGGTTATGGCAATACCATCTTCGGCCAGAAACCAGAAAATTAGTTGAAGGGCTGAAAGAATAATATTAATTAAAGTCTTCATATTGTAGTAGACAAAAATTAGAAATATATTGTAGTAGGCATACATTTAGACTCATAAATTTAAAATCTAATAAAAATATGTAGAATAGATAGTAAAATAATATAATCTGGTGTTACCTGGTCCCACAAAAGCTCCAAACGCCAAACTTGTGGTCGATATAGCAATGGCTTTTGGTCGATCTTTTGGCAAACTTGAAGAAGCCGCATAGCTTTGAAATATTGTCAAAGACGCTGAAAATAGCAATGATAAGTTGTCTTAAAACAGAAATACCAAAAAGAAAAAAGGGAATAAGGATAAAACATGGAAGATGCGAGAAAAACAATATATCTATTTTACAAGAAATCAACAACTCTGAAATCAATAAATTAAATTCATGTGTTGCGAAGTGCCAAAAATATAATTTTTTTTAATTTTTGGTTTTTCCGTTTTGATGGATAAGATTCTTGAATGAATTTGGATAATTGTTTAGATACAAGAATAAAATAACCTAATCACATCAGATCAGGACATCAACAGGTACGTTTTGTCTTCCAATTAGACCTGAAAGGGTGCCTATTTAGCCCGGGCCGCCTTCGGCCCGGATTTGTCCCGTTGACCGGCCTGAAGCAAATTTTAAAGGGCCCTGTCCGACACAAGTTGGGCTGAACATTTAGATTAAGCTTGTCCTTTTTACAATTCTAGAGGTGATGGATAATATTCGCGGATATATTTGGATAATTAGTTCGATAGAAGAACAATATAGCCGAATCACATCGAATTAGGACATCAAGTGGTATCTCTTTTAATACTTACATTCCCCAGTGCCGACAACAGCTCTAGAGACCAATATGGCCCATTTTGCATCTTCTTTAAAAGCTCCGGCCATAAAATACAAAGCATGGCCAATGAACATTAGTACTAAGCATACTAGTAAGATGGGTCTTAGAGCTTTCGAATCTTGACGCCATTTGTCAAAGAATGGAGCTGACACAAGATGGCCAAAGCTGTAGGCCGAGACGGTCAGGCCAAAGAAGAGGACTGTGGCTTCTTTGTCTAGCTAAAATATGTGTTGTATGTCTCGTAGTTTACATATTATATGAGGTATTACACTGCCAGAAACGGAAAATTATTCAGTAAAGCCTTTAACAATACATTGTTAATGTCATGCTACCTACATAGTTAAGATACGGCCACATCGGAGTAAAGTAAAGCGAGAACTGTATGGCTTGACACATGGCCAAAGCTGACATAACATATATAGATGGCCATGGCGTCTCATCAGCTTGTGTTGGTTCGAAAGATACCATAGACAACTTGGCTGATGCTATTGATATCTTGGAAGCTGTAGACGGTCTACCATGTCTTGGTTGGCGTTGTTGTGGGGTTTGGGACACTGTAGATGTTATACTGTCTATTCTGTCTGTCATTTTTGACTATGTAGCTAAAAGAGTAGTATGTTGTGGTACAAAGGAATACGGCAAGGTAGGGTAAAGTAGGGTAAGCTAGCATAAAACAGGATATAGTAGGGTAGAAAGGGTTTGGTGAGTAGAGTAGGGTAGAGTGTTACAGTAAACTCCAAACTTACAGTTGATAAATAAGATAATATTACTACAAGATATCTTATACGATGACAAAATATATGATGAATACCATAAAATGTCGTTAAAAATGTTGATCTTTAAACGTTACTGAGTAAAAGTTATTTCCAACAAAAATAACTGAAAACAAGGTTGTGTCGCCGAACATGTACTCCATGCAAGGCCTGTCACACAAGAGATTTGCATTTTGAATGGAAGTTTGGAAAGGCTGGGTACAAACCTCTGCTGTCTGATGATGATCCACACTTTAGATGATCTTCATATGACACAGAAACTTTACATCTTACTGAACATAGTGAACTAATAAGTTTTCCAAAACATAAATGTAGACAATAACTGACAATAAATGCCATGTAGCATAGTAAAACAATAACATAAATTTATAAAAGTATATTTAAAATTAATATTTTACTCTGTAAACTTTGATTACTAACCAAACAATACTTAATGACAGTATTTACCACGTAATAGGTAACACTTTCTAAAAACAGCCTTCACTTCCTTATTCTTATATTTAGTGTTATTACTATAATTTATTAGATTTACTGTCAAATTAAGTTTGGCGTTAGGAATACCTAGATCTCGAAATTGTATTTTATAGTAGAATAGTACAAGACTAATGATCGTATGTCTACAAGTCATGTTATGTATGCAATTTACTTTGTTTTTCTTTTGTGATTTTAATTTTTAATTGTACGGTTCAGAGTAAGGATATTGCAGTAGGTTAGTAGGTTACTTCTTTTGAGAATGGTAATGCTTTCTTATAAAGTAATGGCAGAAATTGAGTTATTTTGTTTTGGAAGTGTGACAAGTTGTAACAACAACAATATACTGTTTTGTACGTGGCTGTTTATTGTTTGTAGCTGTATGATTTTGTAAAAAAAGTCTTTTGACGTTTAAGTTTCAAAAATATTTTTAGATTTTTGTTGTTTCAAAACTAAAAATACTGCAAATTAAGCTACAACATGTGTAAAACTGCAAAAATCGCATACGAAGGACCCTTTATGGTGTCATAAGTTTTACTATCCTGGTACAATTTATTGTATTTTTTTCAAAACATTTGCTGATAACTTTAAGGAAGTTGAATAGAGAAGAGTAATGTCACGTTTACTGTAGTATACTGCTATATGTTGTGGCATTACGTAAGCTTTTATTATAAAAACTTACTTTCAAATATGACGTTCAGAATGTGGTTTTTATAGTTACGGTATATAGGGTTGCAACTTGCAAGTAACAGTTGCTGAGCAGGAACTTGGGAGATGTAAATGGGGGTACATAGATCCTTTAAAACAAGAAAAGAGCTCTAGCAACGGTTGTAATGCTGGTCGTCATCTATGTCTATTGTGTTTTATTAAGAAAACCGTTATAACGTTGTCATTATATAAAGTTTAGCAATATGGAAAAATTTGAACGTGGTATCTCATGATAGTAAAAACATGATATCTTATGTTTTTTACGTCTTATGACAGTTTTTAAGACAAATTTTATAGTAACATATAAATACAAGATAATATCAATATTAAAACAACTCAACTAATGCAAATACTTCTGACATTTCAACAAGGTTTTGAAGTTTCAAAACTACGTACATTGTGGTGATTCTACAGTAGAAGTTCTTCAATGTTTTTGCAATGCTTTTTGAGTTTACTGTAAGCTCAAAATGATTTTTAGTGCTTATAGATGTTATATCTTATATAATAGGCGTTCTACTATACTTACTGTAAGCTACTCTCTTTTGAACTTTTTTGAAAAAACTTTAATTTGAAATGTTATATTATACCTTATGTAGCTTTGCGACAATATGTGCTTTCCGACGTACCAAAACAGTTTGACTATTTGCAAAACTACGTACGTATATGAACATACTATACAATAAGTTGTTATAAGGTATAAATATACGATACAATTGGTCGAATTAACCTCGTGACTGCAAGCAATTGTATCCTCGTTTAAACATTGTATTTTAGTTATTTAGTATAATTATATCGCGTGGTACTATCATTTCTGTTCTTACATTTATATATATACAACTACGTACATTCCAATATATTTTTATTGTAATTCAAAGCAATATGTTATACATAGTTGGCAATATATATTTATATATGTATAATATATTGCTAAATCGAAGCTATGTTTTTAAAGTCATTGTTAGTCGTGGTAGCAAATTTCTATTGGCATATATAATAGTGCGAATATATTGCAGTAGTATGTACTACAAGTTTTGTCAAAACAATAATTACGCTTTTATTAAAGTTTTTTTAATTAAAATATTTTGATTGACATAGACAAAACAAGCATTATTTGGGCTACATACAGTCAATTTGACTGTATGTAGCCCAAAATAATGACTTTATGCTTTACAAGAAGTAGTAGATATAGAACGTTACATTATAGAAAGTACATTGAGCTTTATATTGTCATTGATTTACGTAGTAAGAGCGTTCGTTTACTTTTAGTTTACATTCTTGGAAATAGTTTTAAACCCAGTTATTATAGCAAGATTTCCTTGAAAAAACTATTAATTATTGTTATGTTTAATGCGTTTCGTATATCATAAACTGTATTACGTTCATTTTTACTTCGTATACATTAAGGGTTTTGTAACGTTATTAAGATGTACCACAAAAATAGTAAGAGCTACTTGTAGATTTTTTAAGACAGAGAGGTGGTATTGCTCTAACTTATTTTTTCTTTTTTTTTATCTGAACTCATTGACTGTAGTTAGTGCATGGTGTATTACACTACTCTCTCTGTATAAGCTGCCCAAAAGGATCGACATTTTGTGTTTACTATAAGGGGTGCTGTCTTCAAAGAGAGGCTTTTTAGTGCAAATCGACTTGGCGGGGCCAAATTTATTGTTTACTATAAGGAGAGTCGCTTATACAGATGGTTCACTATATAGAGAGACCACTGTATTCAAAAACGACATTAATTGGTTATTATAGTATTGACAAATTATTGTTTTCACGATTTTTTAATTGTAATCTAACGTTGCTTTACATTGTAGAGTTATCTTTCAAGTTTTTTCGTTATTCCTTTAGGGCTTCAAAAAACTCTTGTTGTTTTTAATCGTGCAAATGTTCTTTTAAAAAAGACAAGAATTTTTTGACTTTAAGGGATGCTTTCAAATACAGTATGACTTCTTTAGTATGATTTTCGATAGTGCGACACCCTTTTTATAATCAGCTTTCTGACTTTATTTTGTAATAGAACTTCTATCAAAATGTAACTCGGTAGTGTTACACCCTGGTTATAAGGACAGTTTTAAACCAATTCTTTTAGTGTCATACTAAATAGATTTGACTGTAAATAATATGTCATAGTTGGCTATATTTGCCACAGTAAAACATGTTTTAAAACCCATGTTCTTATTTGTTACACCCGCTTCTAAAAAATACAGTATTCTGAATGTTTTCCTCAATTTCTAAAATTACCAACTTAATTTGTTACCTACTTCTCTGTTGTTTTTGCTAATAACACTACGTTTGGTAGTAATTCGGTTTTCGTATTTACTGCGAGGGTTAACATACTCTACTCTTGGCTAAATTACATTACATTTTACAGGAAAATGGCGGTGAATACCGTGGCGTGGGGGGTTTGGTTTTTGGTTTGTGTTCACATTACCACGCCGCTCAATATACTGGTCGATTATGTAGGTTCTTGCTCATGTACTGTAATTTCTGTTAATTATGAGCTTTTGTTCACTTTAAAATGGCAAAATTTTAAAATTTTTGAAAATTTGAAATTACGAAATTTTAAAAAATTTTGTTTTTATGACGTTTCTAATAACACATCTTAATTCTAGGCAATATACAAACTCCCAAACCTAAAATATCGCCCAGCGATGAGGATTATGTTATCCTTGGCCTTATGTGAACTTGCTCAACTCTTAAATAGTGTAGTAGCGGCCTTTCGATGGTTGGTGGGATACGAAGCAGGTCATAAAATGACAATCTTTTTTAGTGTTATTAATAATGGCTTTTGGTGTATTACTGTATTTAACCATGTTTTACTGGTATTCGATCGACTTTTTGCTGTGCTTAACGTGACTCGGTTACAGCAGGATAAGAAGTCTAGGTGGAAGATTGATGTAAGTGTTATGTTAGACGTGGGATAGGTTTTGAAGTTATGTACTACTATATACTATAAGATACAGGGTTAGAAGTTACTTTGAAATTAAAGAATTTTTAAAAACTTACATTTTATGTTGCTTATAACGAGTTTTTTATTTTTACCACAATTTTTTACTTTCGAAAAGCACTTTTATCACAGTTTTTATTACGAACAAAGCTGTCTTTACTGTAATATACTACCCTAACAAAACTTTCTTTACTACAACATATTCTCTTTCAGCCCTCAATAGTTTTCATCTGGGTAGCAGGCTTTGTTCAAACCATAATATGGCATTTTACTGGAGCCTACGTCTTTTTTGATGTATCACAAATGAGATGGAATCCAAAACTGAAATTGTATTTCATCCTATAACAAACTCAATATTCGCCGTACTCAATTGCACAGTTTGTGCATTTGGTGTGATTGGGACTTGTAGTATCTTCGGGTTGATTTATTATAAGGTAAGGTTGTTTTTGAGAGTTTATTGTAGTTATAGTCTTATGTAATGATAGGTTGACTCTTGTTATAGACAATAGTAAAAGAGGGTTTTGTGTTAAGGATAATCACTGTAAAAGATAACGAGCATTACTATAGTACTATAATGTATAAGGAATCAAAAACGTTTTAATAAAAGCTCCAAAAGTCTTGTCGTTTCTCAACATTACTTTACACAAGTGAAAACGTCAAGACTTTTTTTACGGTCTAGTATGGCAACATTTACTCTAATTATATTAGAACACATACGTTTTTTGATGACATTTGTAATAACAGTATACATAGAATAAGGTACGCATCATTGTGTTTAAGATAATGTTGTTAACGTAGGTAAAAGTTTATTTTCTATTGTAAATTTAATATCTTAACATAATTACATGTTCGGAAAGCCTTTGTTAATAGTACTGAGGACATTATTAGGTTACATTGAAGATAGTTACACACTATCTTGTACCTATGTTTAATACGAACATGTGCTTTATGCCATGACTTTTATTTTTGGGGTTTGGACCTACTGGGTACTGTAACACTGTTTGATAACGTATTATATTACAGTAAGCTTTTGTTGTAGTTAGTTATAGTCTACTTTCATTAGGGTGATGAGGGTTTGTTACTTAAAAAATAAAAAAAGTTTTAAAGTTACTGTAACTTTCTATAACTACTCTACTTTCAGCGCCACTATGGTGAAGCAAAGTCTCTACCTCGTCGTCTAGAGTACCGCATCCTGATCCAAAATACCTTCATCTTCGCTTGTGCTGTACTAAGCATGTTTACGACAGTACTACTGCCATTTATAAATGAAACCATTAGAACTAACGTACTTAACGTTATCTTAATATGTGCTTCACCCTACTTGTACCTATGTTTGAATCGTGACATACGACGATCGTTTATCTCGATATTTTCAAAAGAAATGGCATCAAGACATACCAATTCTATGAGAGTTAGTGAGACTAATATCAAGACGATTACTGTAAACTCGTCTTCTTGGCCTAAAACTAAGGTCTTGCCTAGTGTAGCATAAGAAGTTAGGTACTGTAAGTTAACAAGTAGTTAATAATGTGTTTTTGCTGATATGAAAGATATTTTTTTGTTTTTATGACGTCTTTATACGTATTTCATATTTGGTTGAAATCTATATTTTCATTTTTTACTATAATATTATGTCTTAAAAGTACCATATCTTTTTTTAAAAACTAATGTCATAATCAAACTCATAAAACGTGCTTTTTATCCCTTACAATATAACTGTTTTTATCAAGAATTACTTATTATTTGATCAATAAAAAATTACACTGTTGTTACTTTTTAAAACACAAGAAAAGTAGCTAACCTGCCCCGCTCAATTTTTGTACCACCAATAGTACCAATTAAAAAAACTAGCTTTCGGTTTTTAGCTTTAACTATAAAAATATTAGAACTTTGAGGCCGGGCATGCACTTTTGGTCTGGAAACGGGTGTCGGAAAAATCGGCACAGGTAGCTGAAACCCAAAATGTAACTTTTTGATCTCAATTTTCTCGAGCTTGTTCTTTAAGCCTGGCTATCGCTGAGTAGAAAACTAAGTTTGAGTTAACATCAAACGCTTTAGGACATTTCTAAGTCATAGCTTTTTCTTTTTAAGTGCATATAAGCATGGTTAATGTAAAAAGGAAGTGTATTTGCTGTCCCTTCGTACGTTGACTTTAAAATAAATTATTTTAATGTTTTAGTAATTCTCAACTTTTTTTTCAATATTCATTGTAAAAATGAAAAATTTAGTTTTTATTTTTAAAATCTACTTCAGAAATTAAAGAAGGTTCAACTTTTCTGTTATATAGTATTAGTGAATAGACCTACTTAAAACATTTTGAAAAAACAAATGGAAACTTATGTCAAAATGAAGAGGGAGGTCGGCTTTTAAATTACAATAATATTTTTTATATCTTAACAGTGAAGCTGTATTAATAGTTTAATAATGTCATATAAAACGTACATTTTAAACTTTATAACTTTAGTTTATAGTATCTATTTTCGAATACAGTGTAAACCGTATACTACAAACAGTTTTGTGTTCAATGCTGAGATGTAGATAAGCAAAAAAAGTTAATTTAAGAAAGATAAGTTAGTCAGCCTCAATTTAAATTTACTAATTTTAGACCAACTTTCTTCTCTTTAAAGAAAAAAAAAAGAATATCAAGTTTGACTTTAGCCACAGAACGTCAACGTTTAGCAGATGCCGTGGTTATTCAAAATTCCAAAAATTATTTAAAAAATAAAGATTATAGATGGCAACAAATCAACCAGTAAAGCCGACAAAAGCCTTTTGTCTCAAAGCTCTAGATGAAGCTGTATATGAGATAATAAAAGACCAGACTTACAGTGACACTACAGTAAACTACTTGAATGATAAGATTGTTTCTGCATTAACTTTGAAGTTTAAAGGTAAGAGTATACGGATTGGTTTAAAGTAAAAGGATCTTAACCTTTTACAAATAAAGGCACAAGTCAGTACGGTACTATTGTAAATGACAAAATTATTTCAGAGTTTCCGTTTAATCGCTACAAATACGTGTTCCAAGTGATATTAACAGAGCCGCGCGGACAAGGCTTACGGTAAGAACCTTTAAATATAATATATTATAATAGCTTTTAAAACACCTTTTGACATTTTATTTTGTTATTTTTTGTTATTTATTACTTTTCTTGAAGACGCAACTACCTTACTAAAAGAACAAAATTTTTAACAACAGTTGCACTGAATATACTTCGAATTTAAAAACAAATCCTATAAAGGATGAACGAAAAAAAACGTTTTTAAAAACTGCTAAATGGCCTTGGCCAGCAAGTTACAGTACTAATATTACTGTGTTTTTTAAATTGATACTTTCAGAGCCCACATTGGCTGTTTTTGGGATCAAGCAAACGACGTTTTGACCAAATGGCGCTATATAAACGTATGTTTATTTACGAATACTACCATCCTTTATATTGCATACAATGTTTTAAAAGTAAAGTTGTTTAATTTTACTTTCATTTTTAAACACAAAACTTGTTATACAGCAGTTCCACTGTATTGGTGAACGTATTTTACCAAAGCTTTTCAGGACACGATTTGTTGCGAGATAATTGTCTTTGCCATTCTCACTTACACCTGAAACAAACTCGGGATTGGTGACACAATTAAAATCGTCAAGTCATTATAATTGAAGTGGATGTTGATTGACAACATACCAAGATACGATTGCGCAATAATTTAGTTTACATATATTATTAAAAATAATGTTGTTTTAGGTAATAAATAATGTAATTTTAGTTATTTGGTGGACTTAGAATTGTAATACAGAGACCTTTTTGAAGCATAATATAAATTTACAGTAATTTTATACAAGATGCTGTAATTTGACTTTATATGAGTACTTTTTTTATAAATGTTTATGCTGTTTTGTAAAAATTTTTATTTTTTTTAATTTGCAGCGTATTTTAAAATTAATTTTTTTTTTGAAATCGAATCGTGTCACCTCAAGACATAACAGATGTACCGCTCGGATTGGCATGTGTATATGTTGTGCGGTAATTGCGCAATTTGTGGCCAAAGACAAAAGAAAACGGCCAAAAGGTGCGCCAAAAGAGGAAGATGAGCTGAATAGACTAATGGCTAGAATTAGAGACTTCTCACTTCCTAGGCTTAAAAGGTTTGGGCTGGGCAGGGTAAACACCTTTTTATCTATATTTGACTTTTTTGAAGCTTAACTTTGAAATTAAAAAAAAATTTTGAATTTTAAAATTTAATTTTCTAAAATACGATAATGCGTCATTCTTTTTGCATCAAACTTTGAATAACGACAAAGCAGATTTAACTGTGTCATAATTCATATACGTTTCTAAAATCTACCCACGCCCTCACTAAAAATCCTTATTTTCGGGACCTCTTGAAAGTATAATGTCTGTTTTACCACGCCCTTAAGAATTGTTTTGGCAGCGCGCTTCATTATAAACTCTCGACCAATCTCTCCCAAGATCACAATTAGCGACCAATTGGGGTCAATTGCCGGCCATAAGGGGGTGGATATCGCTATTGCACAATCTATCGCCTAATAATGAAGAGACATGTTGCTTTAGCGGGGTTGGGGGAGGGTGGCATTTTATTTTTTGATATATTGAGTAGGGTAGATTAAAGTAAAGTAGGGCAAGGGGCAAGGCAAGGCAAGGCAAGGCAAGGCAAGGCAAGGCAAGGCAAGGCAAGGCAAGGCAAGGCAAGGCAAGGCAAGGCAAGGCAAGGCAAGGCAAGGCAAGGCAAGGCAAGGCAAGGCAAGGCAAGGCAGCACTTTCCAATCACCTCTACTATCAATGTCATTTCACATTCCTACAATCCACCTTGTCTCGATATTCCAAGGCCAAAACGGATCGTTTAATGCCTGAGGCGAGACAATTCCTGTCTAATTGCAAGCCCTCAAATTAAGCGTTTATTCGCACGCGATTCGCTTAATAAATTCTTTCCTTCAGGTGACACTGCCATATGGCGCCACAGTTACGTTTACATTCGTTGTTAAACGATGATGAACGGCATTTAGGGGGAGGAGGTTTATGCTTGGATGGCTATTCATTTATTTAGAGTGAGGGGGGGGGGATACGGTAGGGTAAAATTTTGTGTTTAGGGGCTGTGAGGATGAATAACTTTGGTTTGATAGGGGCAAAAATACATATAGTAATACTATTTTAGTGTAAGACATGTAGTCAAACATCATCCATATTAGGTAATACTAATTGTATTCGATGAGTATTTTCTTGTGATAATATTACATGCCTTCTTCCTTTCATATATTATACTACATGCTTCTTCCCTTTGTAATTGATGCTACACGTCTCTCTCAATCTATGTACACGATGCCACATGTCTCTTCCCTTTGCATATGACGCTACATATCTCATTCTAACACCTATAATATTACAGGCCCTTCTCCTTCAAAAAAACATGTCATCCCCACCCTACCGTACCCAATCGAAGTGCCATTTCGGGCCGAAAACGGTAGGAAAGGCATGACGAAAAAAAACGTCTTATGTCTGAATGCCTGAGGGGATCCTGCGGACGTTTCGTTTCGGCGAACAAAGACAAAAGCGGCCAATGAATGGCGCCTCCTCTCTCGGCCGCTCCGCCTGGGACACAATGGAAGTGTATTTGAAAGGAATCCATGGCATTCAAGCTCCCACCACCTTCTGACGCCTCTTTTGTCAGGTCAAGTTGGGGAAGGCCGTATTGTATAATAAATGAGGGATAGGTCGGGTTTGGGCTTCGGGGCAGATGAAGGGGTCGTTGGTGTTGTAGAGAAAGAAAAAAGGTAGAGTTTGGAGTTTTTAAAAGCAAAATGGGATGTAGGGTAAAATTGTTTTAAAATTTTAAAAATACAATAGCCAAAGGCAGTTTCAGAGGGAAGGGAGGGTAATTTTAATTCTAGAGTAGAGCGAAGCGTGAGAGGAAGAGAGAGGAAAAACCTTAATTTTAAAAAAAAATTTTTTGTTAAGAACATCCCTCTTCTTCCTAGAGGTGAGAAACAAGTTGGGCTTACTTTTGAATCCTGGCTGAAACCCGGGACTAAACTTTTAAGCTTCTTGACCTGTTGCAATTTTAGCTCAAGACCGCCCCGGCTTAATCGTATTGCCTTTCCAGGCCTAGAAGGCCGTTTCTCACTTCTAGACCCTCCCCCCCTCCCCCCCCCCTCTCCTCCTGTCTCTTAAAAAATTTATTGCAAATTCCATTAAAAAAAATTTTGACTATGCACTGCCCGCAGCACTATAGTAAACTCAACATCACCTTTTAACAATAAGTCAAAGTTAAAAGTTTCGAAATGAAATTCCATTTCATAAGTACTAATAAGTACCTTTAATCTCAAGTAATAAGTACATATAATACTTGAATTACCCGGATTATCGCTTCATTTCAACAGACTTACTGGTACTTATTGCTTTGTTTGTACCTAAAATCTTTATTCACCTTTGATTGCTTTTAGCTTCAACTTTTAAGTTTTAGCATTGCAATGCTGTTTTATGATTATTTTAGTGCTGATAAGGTTTTTTTTAGAATTAGTACAAGTGCAATTAAGAGATATGCTTTATTTTATCAGTACATTACGTTTAGGAGTACTAAAGTTGGTGTGATTGGTATTAAGTTGTTCAAATAATTCTGTGCCTTTTTTGAAGAAAATTTTTGTAGTTAAAGAGCACAGAACTATTTGAACAACATAAGATTTTACCAAAAATTAAAAAATTTTGGTTTTAAAAATTAAAAAAAATTTAAAATTTCTACAAATTTTTTTACAAACCTACCCTCTTTAGCAGTCTTGCACCGCCCATGCCCTTTTCCTCATTAAATGTTACACTTTGTTACCGGAGTGTAATCAACGCCAATTAACTCTATTCACTCGGACCGAAAGGCCCCTCGAGGGATTTGCGGCCGCGAAACAAATCGTACTAACTCAGGTGTTTCAATCTTACTTAGTACGGATTTACTTTCTAATTTATAATAGTATAATATGTTTGGTGGGGTAAGGGATGACACTTTGATACTTGAAGGGGCTGTTTTACTATTTTTTTTTGAGTTTTTGGGTAAAAAATAGAGAAAGTGAAAAGTTTTTTTGGAAATTTTAATTTTTTACAAGATTTTTTAGGTTGAAAATAGTAGAAATGGTATTTTCTTATACATAAGGGTAGTCTTAAAATGTATTTAGTTTATATTGTACTGGGTTCTTTCTGTAATCAACACCAAAAAATAGTTTTTCAAGTGTTTTTTTTTACTTTCTAACATGGTTTTGAAGGCTAATTGGCTGCTTATTGACTATAACGAGAGTTTTTTGTACAATGTGGTTAATTATAAGTGACGTAGCAAATTTCATTTGTTTAATAAAAATTTCTATTGTAAATTTTAAGATTTTGAGTACTAGTACTAGCCGGTTCTTAAAAAGAAAAGTTGTTTTACGTAGTGAAAAAGAAGGCTGATAACAGTAATTGTACTAAATTGCGTGTCCACCTTGTAATTTGTAAAAATTTGAGTTTGCTTTAAATTTTAAAAAGCAGGTGTAAGGCAACTTATTATAATACAGGAAACCTCTTTAGTATGACCCTAGAGATTCTGACATTCTCTTTATAATCTCCTTGTAAACTACAAAAGACTGTAATATTGGGTTGGCAATAGCGAGAGTTGTCTGTTCAATAGCTATAAGATAGGCTAGTATATTGTTTTCTATAAGGGGTAGTTGACTAGATAGAAGGTCACTTACCACTCTGTAAAATTTCTTTAGTATGATTTAGATAGTGTGGCACTATCTTTATAATGTCAACTTTCTGACCGTCTTTCGTAATAAAACTACTATCAAAAATTACATATATAATGTGTCACACTGATTGAAAAGGCTTTCTGCGCCAGTTTCTTGAGTGCAAAAGAGATTTTACTGTATACAGTATTTTAAGGTATACGGCTGAAAAAGCTACAATTGATAAAGTTTTCTTGATGACAAAGCGTTTTGCTAACAAAAGTTTTGTAATTTTTTTAAATTTTAAAATTTATCAAAATAACCCAAAACTTTCGTATATTATAAATCAACCCCCCCCTCCCTTTCTCTAATCTACCGTATAATTAAAAGTATACAACAGAGACCATCTACACACCCTTCTCCCCTTCCCTCCCTCCTACCTTGCTTCCGTTTCCATCCTTAATGAGCTGGGGTATGGTAGCGCTTTTGAAAAGCTGAAAGGCGCTCGAGGGACTTGTGAATAGCTGTTTATTAGACGCACCCTCAGGGACTGAAACTCTCCTCCTAATGAGACGGAATACTGGATAGGTGTAGTTGACATATGTCTGGATTGTTGGAATAGACGTTTGTAGGAGTGGTCTTGTGATGACTAGTAATAAATGGTGGGTAGTCGTATAATATTGTATTAAAAGTAGTTTTGGCAGTAGTAGAAATTGTAACGTTACAGTAGTCTTGTGCTGCGTAGTACTACAGTTGTATTAGTTCTAAAAGTATTAAAGAAGTAACAATTTGCGTAGAGCACTTGATTAATATTAGTATATCTAAGCAGGGCTGGACGAAACAAAAAAAATTGTTTCGCGAAACACGAAACGAAAGTAAATTATTTTCGCGCGAAACGAAAAGAAACACGA